ATATAAAACTATTTTTTAAAGCTATTACCCTCTTAATATTATATTAAACCTATTAAATAATAAATTAATTTTATAATTAAAATAAAATAGTATTTAGTTATATATAAAAGTTTATAAAGTAAGAAAATCTTCTTTTTTTAAATATTCCTTAAGTATAAAATATTTAATTTTATTATTACTTAATTTTAAAAAGTTTAAAATGCTTAGTATATAATATATAGTTTTTATATATATTAGCTATAATAGCTTACTAGCTTTAGTTATATATATAGTAAAAATAAAAATATAATTTTTATAGCTTTAATTCTTAATTTAAAATAATATTAAATTATATTTAAAACTATAACTATTATATTTTTTACTTTATTTTTATTATTTTTTATAACTAGTTCTTAATCTTTAAGTAAAATAAGGAGAGTTAAATTAATAGTATTTTTATTATATTTTAATTTTTATTTTTAAGTAAGTAAGAATAATTTAAAATATAAAAGTTAATTACTTTATATAAGTATTTATTAATATTAAATATACTTTTTATAAGTATTAAACCTATTATAAAGCTTATATTCTTTATTTATAAATAATTTTAACTTATTTAAACTTAAAAATAATATTAAATTAAAATTAATATTTATTATATTTATATTATTTTTATTTAATTTAGTATTTAAATATTATTTATAATATACTATATTAATAAGTAATTATTAATTATATAAAGATTATTATTATAGTTACTGCTATATATAATTATTAAAGGACTAACTTTAAATTAATTTTAAATTAATTTTTTTAAAAATACATTTTATATAACAGCAGCTTAAGTTAAAATAGTAATAAGTAGTTAAGCTATTTATATATAGCTTATCTTTAGTATAAGAAAAAAGACTACCTATATATAGATAGCTTACTGTTTTTTTAGCGCTAGGGATTACCTATATATGTCTATATATAGCTTATATAGGTACCCCATGGACAGCTTATCTATACACTCGTGCATCTTTAGTCTTTAATCTCCCAGCACTGAATCAACCGCCAGCTCCCCTGTAACTGCTGTAAATTCTGCCGCTCTTTCGGGCAGCCCCACCCGCGGGAGCCTAGCTCTAGCGCCGTCCATTCTCCACACAAGCCCACCGCCTGCCCAATCCGCAGCCGGACCCGCTGACAAAGCGACTCCTCTGTCCAATCGCAGCGCCCGGCTTCCCAGTTGGCATCTTGTTCCCCTACCAGCTCCGCCCACGAACCATCATCTCAAGCTTCGATTTCTTGCATCAACCGCCTGACGTGCTGCGAACCCAACAAGAGCATCAGGCTGCCGGATGTCCGCACCCCCGACCGGCTCGGCCTGGCCTCGCAGGCTGTACTCCCTCCCTTTCAGGATGGCGCTGCCGGATCTGGCGCAGGGCCCTGACTGATCCAGACCAGGAGTCATCCACCATGGCGCTCTTTGTCTGCTTGGTGCTGTCCCCTGGACGCATCACTGGAGGGGGGGCCGGGGGGCACAACGACATCGTCTGTGGAGAAGGGCCGCGGCTGCCTGGCTGGCTGTTCAACTTGTCAAATCCTCCAGCAGCAGCCGGGTCGAGATATAAGAAGCCGTGTTTGGCCTGGATTCATAGGTTGCTCTTGCTGTCTAGTCTATACGTTAAATCACCTTGACAGTCCTCCTTCAGTCTCCCTGGCCAACTGAGCGTTGCTTGTCGAGATCCAAGCCATCACTGCCTCTGCCAATGCGATAGTCTGTCGGCTCTCAAGTGCCCCAACACCCTTCACATCGTTTATACCTATAGCATCTATAGGACAATTGGAAGCACTTCTTCTCATCGTTTCACCATCTCCAATCAGCTCTTACTCCTTGCGCTGCTGTACCTGAAACTACCTTGGTGCTATACAGGACAGACGCCCAACGTCCATAGCCATGTTTAACACATTCAAGATCGACCCCGAGACGAACAGCGTCCAGGAGCTCAGGCGGGCCTCCGATCCCATCTCAGCCCGGTCGAGCCAGCACCAGGCGTGCAACAACTGCCACGCTAAAAAGGTATAAAGTCGCAGCAAGCGCGCCGCTTCCAGTCAAGTGATCAACTCTGTTGTTGTTCCTGCGCTAACAGTCACTCTCCCCCGATTAGCTCAAGTGCAGTGGTGACAAGAGTGGCTGTGAGCGCTGCATCGCCAGCCAGCTGCGATGCGAATACACTCGCTCTCCCTCTCGCAGAGGCGGCAGGAAGACCAGCGGCAGAAGCTCCACTGACAGCCGTGGCGGATTGGAGCCGGCCGGTGGTGACAGCAGCCCCGGCAGCCAGTCTGGCAAGTCGAGGCACAGAAGCAGCAGGCACTTGCATGCCGGGACTAGCAGCAGCAGCAGAGCCCGGGCCTCAGCGTCCAGGGAGGAAGAATATGGCGATGCGTTGGACTTGTTCGACCCCACGACGCTCGGTCCTGACGATGGCTTCGATCTACGATCCTTATCCTTGGAGGCTTCGGACAGTGGTTACGGCAACAGTGCCTATTACAACCAGCAGCAGCAGCAGCAGCAGCAACAACAGCATGGTGCAGGAAGCTGGCAACACGTGGCCTCCAGCGACCCGTACGGCAACTTGTCTGGCAGCTCATACATGGGCACGACCAGCTCCAGTGGCCAAGACTACGACGTGGATTACTACGGAAACTATGACGAGTACGGACAGTATCATGGCCAGCAAAACGATCCTAGATACTGGGGCGGGCAGCAACAATAGGCCTTGTCTAACCCCCTTTCTTTGTGTCTGTTTCTTGCGTTCTTTTCCCCTCCTGCGTTGTACTTTTTACCACGGGTTCTTCCTTTGTTATCTCTCTTTTGCTTTGAGACGCGTGATCAAGTCCATGCCGGCCACGTAAGTGAGTGCTTGGAAAGGACTTTGGCGCCTTCAGATTTTTTGTTTAGAATACCCTTCACAGCGACTACTTGTACACTTAGAAGTCCCTTTTCTTTCCTTCTCTTTTCTCGCTTGTTTTTCTTTTCTCATTCCTCTTCTTTTTCACATGTGGATTTTCTCTGCAGCTGCCCCTTTATGGTCGCTGCGAGTTTCTCTTCTCCCCGCAGACGTATGCCGTCTGCAGCTGCTCAGCTCCGCGAGAATGGGGTGCTCAAACTCGCCGTGTACTTTGTTTCTCTTCTTGCGATTTGATAGAGGCTTTGCCGGTAATGGGCTTATGATTGGATGATATCCTGGATTGGCTATAGACTATCTGCTATTGTAAGCATTATCAGATTCGATGTTACATTGGGATGCACGCGTCGTTCCTGGTCGGCTGTACAATACTGTGACGTTGCCTCTTTTTATTGAGGCAGCCTGATGGAAGACCTGCATGTAGTTAATCATGTGCCTGCGGCATTCCCTTCATCACGGGGTCCGATTTGACTCATTGCAGAGATGTCCATGAGTCTGAGTCAATATGAAGGCTCAAGCAATATGAATTCGCAGACACGAACAAAGACGACCATCCAGGCATCCATACTTGCAGAATACCACTGCCTAATAGCATATAAAGGACCGGATATAAAACGCCGAAAAGCGTCATCGTACTGCACTGTATATTTTCGGAGAATTAGGAGAAGGGGTAACGTGATGACATTGGGGTACGTCAACCGGTTCTGCGCACATTTGCAAAGTCAGCCCTGCGAGGCACGTCATTGCGTTGCATTGGATTTCCTCCGAAACATCAGTGTACGCTTTTTCTTGAGGGACACCCTTTATCTTTGAATGTGTTTCGGTGGTATTTATAGATTGCACTGAGCTTGAGTTGAGGGTGAGTGTATGAGAGGTAATAGGTAGGGAGGTGGTGCATGTTGGATGGCGAGGTCTGGATAGGCAGACACTGGACGCCGTTATGGGAAATAGATTCATTCTGATGAGAGGAGGTTATTGGCTGTTTTTTCTTCTTCTTTGGACTTACCTATGGTGTGTGGTGTTTAGACAGTTGGAGGTCTTGATTGAGGGGGGTTATTGCTGGATACGGGTTGGTGGTTCGCCGTGTTGGGTGCCTTGCATGGATGATGCGAAGATGGTGTGGACTTGAGTGTAGGTTGTCGGTGATGGCTACATGTACACATAGTACCTACTAGGTAGGTAGAGAGAGATACGCTGACTGCTTACGAACGACATGCAGCATATCAGCCTTGTTCTCACATTGCAATGCGTTGCTTCGGATGGCTATCTTGCGTGTAGGAAGTTCGTTGCATGTAGGATATATGAAGTGCTGTGCGGTTGCTTTGTGCCCGGTAATATACGGCCTTCCGTGCCATGACTTGACCGCCTATGCCGACTGCTGTTTCATGGAGAATAAAGACGAGATCAGAGCACTCGAGGTGCGATCCTTTGGCGGGGTGAATCTGTAGCCCGAGTCGTCTTGGCTTCATCTATGGTCTATAAAAGCAGGATCCATGACAATGATAACTAAGAAAGGAGTCATTCAAGGTAGAATTATGAGGGAAAGCAAAATTGACCGTAATCTACGCTTCTTAGCGTTCTTCTTTTCCCATGCTGGTACAATAGAAGTTATTCGTGTTCAGGCAGCAAAGGCTTTCTCTATGACAAAGACTTGGCGTTTTGTAAGCTGAATCCTTCAAAGTCGGAATTACGCAATGTTTTAACCACCCGCTGGATTGGGAATCTCGCCCTGCTCTAGGCTGCGCTCTTGTCTTCCATGAGACGAGATTCCACAGGGGCCGTTGACTTGGGACGGCTCGCGTCCATGTAGGCCTCATCGTCATCCCTAATGGACCTGAACAGCGCCCTCGCAATGACTAGCCGCAAGATAAGCGACAGCAGCGAAGTGAGCATGATGCCGCACGCAGCAAGCAGCTGAATCCCAATGTACTTGCCCGTGCTATTCAAGATGGCACCCGAAATGGGCGGCCCGATGAGCGAGCCTATCCCCTTGAGTATAGACACCATGCCCAGCCTCGTCCCCAGCCGGCTCAGGTCCGGGGTGATGGACGTCAGGACGACGGAGCCGAGGGCCACGACGCTGCCGGACCAGAAGCCGTACAGGACGGCAAAGGCAATGTTTCCCGCGGCGTTTGTGACGCTGATCCAGTAAAAGACGCTGGCGCTGCTGAGGGCGCAGACGACGACGTACGTGTCCAGCGATCCGACCCTGTCGGCGACGAACCCCGGGATGATCCTGCCCGGGATGGAGGACGCGTTGAGGATGGGGAGCAGGTATGCGGCCAGGGCATGGCCCTGCATGCCGTGCAGGACGGCGTAGCTCTGCAGGTAGTATGGCGGGTTGAAGAAGGACAGGTTGTTGAAGAAGATGGCCACGCAGTAGAGCAGGTACGTGCGCTCCCGAAGCGCGGACGAGTCCCAGAACCAGCGGATTGAGAAGCCGGGCTTCCTGTGAGCTGCTGCTGCTGCTGCTGCTGCTGGTGGTGCCGAGCGCGGCCGGATGATGGCGAGGGCAAACGAGCACATGGCAAAGGCCACGAAGCCCATGGCCCGCATCGTCCACCCGAAGCCAATCCTGGGGCGGAGCTTCTCAAACATGAGGGGATACAGCGTGGCGCCGAGGCCGCTGCCCACGGTGGCGAGGCCCATGGCCCTGGCCCTGCGGCGCATGAAGTACATGGGCACGATGGCGATGGACGGGATGGACAGGCAGCACGTGCCCAGGCCGAGGCAGATGCCCTGCGCGAGGAGGACGTGCCAGTAGCGCGTGCTGATGCTGGTGAGCGCGAAGCCGAGCGTGACGAGGAGCGTGCCGGCGGCGAGCAGGGCGCGGCAGTAGCCGGCGTCGTAGAGCGGGCCGATGAGGGCGCCGACGGACATGAGGCAGAAGATTTGGATGGAGCCGATCCAGGAGATGGATGAGGGCGAGGAGCTGCTCAGGAGGGCTGTTTCGTAGTAGGACTGGAAGACGCCGAAGCTGTTGAGGAGGCCCCTGGATGGAGAGCGCCAATCGTCATGTGGCCACGGTTAATAATGACACACGCATGCTGTTTTTTGGGGGGGGATATGTGCCTGGTTTGGAATTCATGTTGTGTGTGGGAAATGATGTGGTGGGCAGCGTACAGGTGGTTGAAGTAGAGGAAGAAGGAGGCCACGACCTGGAGCCATGCTTGCAGTCCGCCGTCTGGGGGCGCGCTGCTCTCATCCCTCTGGTCTTGGTTCTGGTTCTGGTTTTCATTACGATGCTGATTCTGGTTTTCGTTCTGATTCTGATTCTGGTCTTGGGTATCTTGCTCCGAGAGCTGCACCTCAAGTCGTGCCGGCTCTTTCAGAATGGCGGCATCCGCATCGGTGGCACCGACTGGCTGCTCGTGTTGCAGCTTAATGATCGACATGGCGGGGATATCGCTTGCGCAGTGAGCGGCGTGACGAGACGAAGCATTGTCTACATGTATGCGTTGCTGTCTCAATGTCGAGACGAGGAGGATTCATGAGGATACGCAGATATGGCGCGCAACTCCCCGTTTTTGAAGGGAGAGATGGGCGAGGATGATCGCCGGAAATCGGCTCGTAAGGTTGTATTTCCCCGCTGGGGGAGCGGTGGACGGCAATGGCACTGAGATACTACGGCATTTGTTGATGGGAGAATGGGAAAGATGGAGGGGATCTGTATAAGGGTGTTGTTGGGGGGGTTTTGCAGGGAATAAGTCGGGGAGAGGGACGGGTAAGGCTGTGGAGGTTGGTTGATTGCGGGGGGCTGAGATGTGAGAGTGAATGACTTGGACATGAGATCTCTCAGGGTCCAGTCTGTATTGTATGGGCACATCTTGAAAGAAGTCGTTGGCCTGAGAAAGGGGGGTTTAACCCAAGTTTGAATATTTGTCTGTATGAGTGCAGATTGAAATGAAGTTCGTCAGAGGCCAAGGTCGGATTGCATCAGCCATCCATATGATCAATGCATTGGACCTCTGGCATCTCCAAGTCCAGAAAAGCATCGAGGATCCAGCTTGGATGGCCAACAAGAACAGGGAGCCATTGCTAGTACTATACACTTTGGATAAAGCAAATGTATATACTGTCCCTCATGATGATTCACAGGCGTTGGGCGCTCAAGGAGCTTCACTGGCATCATTTGACAACCTATCCAGCGTACCTATGTAAGCACTGGACACCTACATCTTTTTCCACAGGGACGACGTCGATTCACTTAAAGTCCGTAGTTTGACTCGCCGTTTGATGCTGGCACTTGACTCGCCCCCACGGCACTTCCATCCACTTACAGAGATACACATCTTCACGTCTACGACAAGAACGAGCGCTCTGGATCTCCATCTTCTGTCGGTGCCGCTTCGGCCTGGGCTGTTTTGCCTTCAGGTCTGTTCCAGCGTCTTGGGCTAATGTCCGAAGCAAATGCACACAGTGCACGCAGCCAGTATGTAGAGACATGATCATCTGACAAACAGCTCCAGCTCCAGCTCCCATTCAGCTTTCTTTTCTTCTTTTGTTCCAGGGTCGCATCGTGACCCGCTGGTGCCGGGCAGCAATCTAGGCTTGCATAGCTAGCTCGCGGCCGAGGCGTGAAGCTCGGTGACGAAAACCGGTAGCTTGTCGTGTGTTTTTTTTCGCAATTGCCCATGTCTAGCATCACAGGAATAGAGTCAAATCTTAAAGACACGGGCATTGCGCGAGGCTTGAGCTCTTGAGCTTCGGTTCATTTGCCACTAGTATACATCTCCCGGCTTTGAATGAAGGGATTGCACTGTCGAGGATGAAGGGGGATCTAAAACAGGAACTTGGATAGGAATAGCATTCCAGCGCTTTGCCGACGATATGGAAGCTCGCACGTGTGTGCAATCCATGTTACTTGTATCTAGATACCTGCCATGCTCGTACTGTTCTCACCCCCACGGTGCCGGCATGAACCTATGCAGCAAGTACTGCTAAGACTCGTCCTGCACTGTGTCGCGTGGCCCTGTTTTGGCCCTTGTCCGGGTTTGCCATTTACATCATGTATGTCCCCCCCCCAATAAAGTCAATTGGCGCACGCTGCAAAAGAAGAGGTCCGAACTCCGTGGTCCCTGATTATTGGAGGGCATTAATTAATAATGACGCCCAGGTGGACGGATTGGTAATGATGCTACTACTGTAGTAAGTACTGATATTATCAACTGCCGGCGTGGGCAGGAATCGGGGGTATTGTCCAATTCAAGAGGCTGTACTGTAGACTACTACACAGCCAGCCCAGATTGAGATGTAGGCAGAGTCACGGCTAGAACGTGCTCAGGTTAAGTGAATGGATGCTTGTTAAATTAAGGTACTGTGATACTGGCTGCAGCCTATCCGCGCGTAAAAGCGTCAATACCTAGATAAACCTTGTCGCTGCAGTAATTACGGCTTTGCGGAGTATCACATCCGTCTCGAGACGAGACGACAGCCGCCGGCCGTCCGGGCCGCGTCTCGTCTCCCTTTTGCCATCGTTTACAGAGAGTATGTACTTGTGATACCAGCGGCCGAAGGTGCTGAGGCAGCAGGTAGCAATTACCTTCTCCATACCTGCCTACCTACAGTACAGTAGGTCGTCTAGATCTCTAGAGCCCCTTTTCCACGCCCGTTCTATGCCTGTTCCATGGGGTAACACCGTAACACCGCAACACCCTAAACGGCCTGGGGGCTTGGGCATGTGGCCTCAGGTGACTGCCTCTGCTCCGTCCTAATCTTCGCATCCGGGAGTCACACAAGTCAATGTGAACGAGGACATGTTAAGTACAGTATGTATCTACAGACCCTTGTGCTATGGCTGAGAAAGCGCTCGTAGGGGTATCACAAGCAGTTCGGAACACGTTATGTTGTATGCGAGGATGAGGTGATGCGCATGCTCATGCTAGAGCTGACGACTTGCGTGATGGATGATTCGTCGGGCGTGAGCATCACCAGTTAGGAAGGTTGCAGGAAGCAGTAATGCGTACTCGTAAGTGCAACGGGCACGGCGAGTAACGACTGCATCTTCGGTATCTAGTCTGGACTACTAGTGCATCTTTCTCGGTCTCATGATGCGTTGGATAAGCTGTGTTGAATAATTCTCCCAGCGGCTTGGGACCGCTTTTAGCCTGGAGTAATAGACAAAGGACCATACTCGCTGATTTTGGAGATATTTCCGCCACAGCAACGCAGTCTTTGACGTTCCAAAATCTCCCAATCTCCGAGCTTTCGACGAGGACGCATCGCCAGAGTGTCGGAAGTGAGCTGGGCAGTCTGTAACGCAGTCCGGAAGATTCTCGATCCAAGCTGCTTCGATAAGCAGCACGTCGCTGCATCGACGGTCCGATCCGGCCAGGGAAAATCAGCAAAGAGAATTTTGATATCATCATGCAGCCAATCTATTTTTACATCATCGCATCCTTCATCAGACGCGGGGTGACATGTGAGGAGACTTCCCCCCAACGTGCTGCTCTCTCTCCACAGTCAATTGTTACCAAGCTTGCGCCCCCCTTGCTGGGGACCTGACAATCACATTGGTGCTAGGGAGGTATGTACATATGTATGTCCTACCTACCTAGGCAATGTGAAGCAAAAAGTAAAATTATCAAGACAACACACGCACATGCTTAAATGTGAGTGCCTACGAAAAGATCGCGCAGGCTGTCCCGCGTGCGTCAATTTCCGCATCTAGACCTTTGTTGGATGGGGAAATCCCAACGGCGAATAAACGCTGCAGCAAATCTCGAGCCTTGAAGTGATATGACGAGTCGATGTGGTTGGTGTCTCAGGGTCCAATGGCAGAGTTCAAGGTGGGCTTATTGTCTGTCCGAGCAATTAGCAGTGGTCGTTTTGCCCCAGTGGCTCCTCGGAATCGAGACAAGACACGGATCGAATACGTAAGGCTCTTGTTAGGCTACAAGACTTCGATGATTACCTGTTGATCTGTTGATACTGCAGGAGCTTGAATAGGGAGAGTGAATATGATCAAGGGGTAGGAGAGTCGACAGAAACGAAAAGCAGTGATCTAAAGTAGTCAGTCTGGCCTGTCACTCATGTCCCGTCACAGAGACGGCTCAATCGCTGAGATTATTGCATGTCGCGTGAGCACTTCCGGACCACTTCAAGTCGCTGCGTAATCCCGCGCATGCAATCATTCGTAGGTAATGCACTCTCCCCCCATCAAGCTTGCAGGTATCATTGCTGGGCAACTGGGATTGATCCGATGTCTTTGGGAGCCGTCAGCCCCAAGTCCTTCTGCATGCAGCATTGCCCGTCTCGACGAGCCATAACGCATCATGTATGTACCTATACACAGTAACAGCCCAGCCGACAGGAGTTCAACCCTTCTCGCTGTGAGAAGCTCGCCACAGCAGGAGAAAGGGGAAAGAAAGCCACCAATTCATTTACGGGGTCATCCCAGACAAAGCCGTGATGTGCAGAACGCAGCTGAGAGGGAGCAAAGCGTACCTTGGATCAGCGTACCTTGTTGTTCCAGATCAGGGCAAGGTCCAAGGTCCAAGGTACTGTACATTTGGAGTACCTCCACCACAGTGGACGCGTCAGGGCTTTGCTCGGCGAGTTTCAGCCATCGGCACATCCAAGGCCTTTTTGAGACAGACAGACACACATAGTCAGCACCGCAATGCCGAGTGAAAGGATGACGGGAGTTCTTCAGGGCCAGCTCCAACGTAGGTACTCGTACCAACCAGCTGTGCCGTGGAAGTGCTTCGGTCATGGCACAGCACTAACCGCGACTACCTGCAATAAAACCACTCTACTAGCAGCTTCTCGCCATCTCTCCAGTGTATTAATCGCGAACACCGACCGGTACGTACCTGCCTGAGTTACCCATTCAGAGCGCAACTGGAAAAGCGCTGGACGATCCGCTGCAGCCGCGATCCGGGACGGGAGTCCGGCGGTTGTACCGCTACAAGGGCGCCTCAGGAGGGATCAGCGCCAACAGGTTGGGCCAGTCAATGCCAGCGAGTCACCGCCACTAAATCCATCGCTAAAATGAGCCCGCTACGTGCGCAATCCAGGTGCAGCTTGTACCCGCTACTCGCCCACCCGTGCCAGCGTGTACCTCTGTACGAGTACTCGTACTGCACGGTCCCGAGTCCTGTCCTGATGCGGGCTTGACGCACCATCCATGGAGATGTCACCCCACCCGTCCAGTGCAAAGGCCGCACCAACAGCCTGGCCCATCAATTCCGGCCCCAAACCTGCAAAAAGGGACTTTGTTGTTTGGGTCGCCAGTCACAAACAAGGCCTGCACTGAAGCTGCCTGGACAAGGGGTGGGGGGTCTCGGGGAGGATGCAGTGAGGGCACTGGGACCTCTGGTGCTCGGGAGCCGGCAGAGCAAGCCTCGTACAGGCTACTCCTTTCGGGCCTTGTCCACAGCCGCATCCTGAGCTAAGTATTGTATCCAGTACTCGCTGCGCTATCTCCAGCCAAGTCCCGGCTACCTCGCTTGCAAGTCGCGCCTCTTCACCCCGTGCCGGGCCCCAAGGGCTGCTCGCCCGGGCAGGTACCTCGTACCCTCTGTTTCCAGTACCCTCCACAGCACTTTACGCCGTTAGTGCTCAGAATCCACCCCCATGTCCGTCCGCCTCAGTCGACTTCAGACCTTGGCCTGCCATTCTCTCCCACAAATCCTCCCACTCCCACGCGACCTTGCCTCTTCTTCCTGACCGAAGCCTGCCCTCGCTCGTCCCTTTTCTCTTCTGCCTCTAAAACCATCACACTCGCCTTCACCTCCGTCACGATGGCCTCTCAACTCCCGCTCAATTCTTCCAGAAGGAATCCCGCCCTTCTGTAGGCCCTCGCCCTGCCCGCGGAGCACGACGAAGCTACAATTGTCGACCACCAGAAAACCTTGATCCCCAACCTTGTCTACAACTCTCTTCCTCTCGGACCTCTCTGCTACTCTACGATATATCCATCGTCGAATTAATACGTTCTCATTCTCCGATATTCCCCATACCATTCTCTTCTCCTCTTCCGTCACTAGCTCGCGAGACCAATTTTCACACAATTTCGGACACTTGCCTTGGTCGACTGGCAGTGACTTGCTTGACTACTTCGAACCACCTCGATATCCCTTCTTCACTTCGTCCTTCGACCCTCACGCCACAAAGCTCCATTAGCTTGGCAGCCGGAAAAGCCAAATACCCATCCACCAAACAACCGAGCCGTATCGCGCCCTAAGCTGGTCGGCATGGCACTCAATATCCTTTCCGACAGCAAAGTCGTTCCATTTGTGTCCGAAGCAGCTTCACTCACAACGTCTTCGCTATATCCAAGCTTGAGTCGGTCCGACGAGCGCGACCTAATGTTCGAAAGCTCGTCCATTGTTGCAACTGAGATGAAGAGCCACGGTGCGGTGGATGAGCAGCCTGCCAACGGAGAAGAAGCCCCCTCGCGCCTTCAGCGTCGCGCCGTGGTCCAGCAAGTATCATTGTCCTCAACACTGCCGAGAGCCCATGCCACATCCGGTGAGTTTTTTTCATCTGTTGATCTCTCTCTTCATTGGCGACGGCCGAGGCTGACCATGTTGCCAGATTCTGCAGTAGACGGGTCATCATTGTCAACTACGTCACATTCCTCCGACATCCCCCTGGCTCCCATAGAGGGCAGGCCCGTCAATTTCGGCTTAGTCGTCCCTGGGGTGTACCGAAGCAGCTACCCCAAGAAGGAGGATTTTGCCTTCTTGAAGGGCTTAAAGCTCAAGACGATAGTGTACGTGTCGTCATCACCTCTGGATTGCGACACTCAAAAGCTAATCTTGCCACAGCACGCTGGTCAAGAAGGATGAGCCCGACCATGATCTCGAGGCTTTTATCGCCGCCAACGGCATCCAGCAGATCATCTTCAACATGAAGGGTACAAAGAAAGAGCCAATCCCCCCCAGTACGATGGCGGCTATCTTGGAAATCGTCCTCGACCGTCAAAACTACCCGCTCGTGATCCACTGCAACCATGGCAAGCACCGCACCGGATGCGTCGTCGCCGTCGTGCGCAAGCTTTCGGGCTGGAATCTCGAGAGGGCTCTTGACGAATACAAAAGCTACGCTACCCCCAAGGTCAGGGAATGCGACGTCGACTACATCACCGCATTTCAACCCAGTTCACTGGAGATGATTCGGATCCGACCAGCCCGTGGCGAACATGGCCGCTTCAGCCCTCTTCAAGTGCGGTCATTCGTCAGGACGCTGATGTTTACCGTGGTGGTCACGTCAATATGGCTCTTCTCCGGCTCTCGCATGGTCGTCCCCCGTGGCAGTCCTCCCAGCTAGACGTCGCGATGACGAGAGCAGCATTATGAAGTGCGCTTGACAAGCACACATGACAGCACCGGCGAATGACCGGGTTTTCAATCACACCCTAAAAGGGAGATATTCGACAGAGCATCAGCAAGCATGGAGAGCGAGACGTGGAAAAAGATTAGAGCGGGGTACGGAATACCCTCGCATCTTGGTGTTGTGGAACAGGCACAATGAGACAGATATCCATTGGATCATTTGGGTTGGGGACTGGGCTCGCAGAGATTCAAGAGCTGACACCGTCTGCGAATTGGCGTTTGGGTTTTGTTTCCTTGTCTTTTTTTTCTTTGCGGGTGCGCATTTCATTGCAAGCGGTATTAACAGCTGTGGAGAGAACAGATGCGGTACGCTGTCTGAGTTCAATTGCCTTCTGTTCTCTTATGTCCGCTTTTTGCAGTATACAATAATTTGTTGGTTTTGTCTCGGTGTTGCGCAATTGGCACGTGGATATCACGGCAACTTTGCATCAACTTTTGGGATAGATAGATGGGTCCAGCCATAATACCAACCCTTTGCATAACCGGAGATTTACTCCGAGAGCATGTCTTTCATGGCATACAATGATTCAATATGTGATGTGCGTGAAGTCGTGTTGCACGCTTTCATGTCCAAGTAATAAGTAGTGTACACGAGGCCCTGGTGATCCCACAACGCCTCTCTCATCTCCCTCAGCCCGTCTTCCTCTGTCCCATCCATCCATCTTGCTGGTTCTCTTTCCCTCCGTCATCAGCTCCATTGACGACCACAGCGCTCACTTCTTCTCCTCAAACTGCCCCCACCGATTCCTCTTGAGCCTCTCCTCCCTGTCCCGATCTTTGCTCCCATGCAAATACACCCATCCGCCAGCCACGCAGTTGGCCGCCCCCAGGCCGACGGCGGTGCCCCGGACGATGCCCCTGATGGAAAACTTTGCCCTCAAGGGCTGTCGTCTGCGCAGGGCGAGGAGGGCGTAGAGGCCGGACCAGGCGGCGGTGAGGCCGGCGCTGGCGGTGGGGTAGCCGGAGAGGTTGAGGTAGCTGGAGAAGAGGAGGGTAGGGGTGAAGAGGGTTAGGGGGAGGGCCTGGAGGGGGCGGGCGTGGAGGGCTGTGATGAGGGTTGCGAGGAGGGATGGGGGCAGGGATGATGCTGGGGGAAAGTTTTGTTAGCGATCTTTGTCATGGGAGGAATTGGAGGAGAGAGAGAGAGAAAGAGAGGTTTGGGTGGATGTGGTGAAATCTTTTGTGAGTTTTATGATTGTGTAAGTAGGTGATATGTGTGGTTGAGAAGGAGGATGAGGAGGAGGAGGAGGAAGGATTGTGTGTTGGGGTGTGTGTGTGTGGGATGGAGGAAGGACTTACAGCCCCATTCGGTGAGGTGTTCGGAGATTGATTTCTGGGCTGCGGTCTTGGTTGACGCCATGATGGGTGTGCCTTTTGTGATTTGTTGAATGTGTATAATGCGTGGGTGACTCTTCTATGGTGGTGTTTTGGGATTTTGGCATGTGAGATGTCAGTCTATCACAGGTGAGGCTCTGACGTGATGAATCTTGAATGATGACTAAGCACGTTTCTCAAGGGACAGAGGCTCTTCTCAGTCAAGAGTCGTTTGCTGTGAAGAATGAGCTTGGCTTGAGAAACGAGTAGCATAGACGTTGAGGATTGGATGTTATTTTAGTGCTATCAAGTAATTACTGCAATTGATCTACTCTCTATAGTGCAATGCGTGTCTTGGTCGAGCAAGACAGGCAGGTATGGGCAGTGAGATGCCATGGCGGGGCGCGGCGGAATGATTCGCCGACGACACCCAAAATTTCGAGCTTACCGTGATGCATCGCACGACTTGTCATATCCACCATCGAAATCCCACTCGACAAACGACGAATCCAGGCGAATCGCCTTCAATCCAACAGCTCCAAACATCTAGCTCGCCAATACCACGATCCTCATCCGCCGCAAACTGAACCTAGGTCACCTTACACCGCCCGAAACCCTCGTCCTCCTCAGTAAACCACCGCCATGGGCGGCAGACAGATCCGCCCGGCGGGCGTCTACAAGGCCGTCAGCCAAGAACTCAAGCACGCGCCGATGCCAGGGTACGCCGTGCCCGCGCCGCCGTGGTTCGCCGTCATGAATTCGGTTCCGCCCTCGGAGACGCTCGTGCGCAACGTCACGCCGCGCCACCGCATGCCCAACCCCAAGGCCATCAGGGCCGGCGGCGGCAGCGGCAAGCCCAAGAAGCTGTTCCGCCCGCAGAGCGTGTCGTACCCGGAGGATGCGCTGCGGACGAGCTTCTACAAGGACCATCCGTGGGAGCTGGCGCGGCCGAGGGTCGTGCTGGAGCTGGACGGCAAGGATTATCAGAGGTGTGATTGGAGCAAAGGGCTGCGGCAGCCGGGGATTCCCTTGACGGGCGAGAGGTAATAGAAAAAATGCCCGCGATGATTTCACGGTTGGATATGAAGGGGCTGTTTTGGCTGACTGTTGTTATCATAGTGTCGTACAACGTCAGCTGTGGTTGATGGAAAACGAACTGGTGGACGGCGTCAAGATGAGCAAGCGCAAGGCGTACGACATTGTCCGCCGCGAATTCTACAGGCTGCGCCAGGAAGAAGAGGTGGAGAAGAGGATAGCGGTCGAGGAGGCGCGCTACGTCGGCGCCTACTTTGGCAAGACGAGGCTCGACGTGGGCATGCAGCTCGAGGACCAGGAGTACGAGAACTGGAAGATTTGGGCCGGCAAGGAGACGGCGAACCGGGAGGCCAGGGCCAGCTCGGAAATCGAGACGTTTGGGCTGGAGGAGGAGGAGGATGCGGCGCTGGAGACGGCCGAGGCGCAGCCTCTGCCGGTGGCGGCGTAGAGATAGATCTGTGCTTGGGGTAGGTTTGTATTATATGAAGTGTACGAAGAATTTATATCAGGGACATGGTTATCGAAAAAAAGAGGCGGGGATGTAGAAGGGTTTGTTAGCATTTGACAGGACTGGGCTCTATGTCATCTAGACGGCGGGAATTAAAGACAATTTCTCCCGCGTTCTGCACGCCGTACCGCGCGGCAACCTCCTGGTGCTGCGTGACAAAGACGTCGGCGATGCCCGTGTAGAGCAGCAGCTTCCCCGTCAAGCTCAGCGTCGAGATGCGCGCCCAGGACTCAATGTAGATGACCTTGCAGCAGCTCTCGGGAATGACGTAGCCCATCTTCAACAGATGCACCGCCAGCGCGACGAAGAAGCCCGTGGCCGGCCCGTTGGAGAAGACGCGGCCGGGATAGCGCAGCGCCCTGCCGACGTCGTTGTCCGGCGGCGTGAGCAGCGCGGGGAAGATGTCGACGATGCTCAGCAGGGCGGTCAGGGGCGTGGACCAGAGGGGCTGGTGGACGCGGCGGGCGCGGGTGACGGTGCGCTTGTCGTGGGTGCCGGGTGAGCAGGATGAGGAGGAGGAGGAGGAGGTGCCGCCGCGGGTTTGGGCGCAGAGAGTCTGGAGGCGGGCTTCGTAGTCGGCGAGGTGGTGCTCTGACATGGTGTCGCCGCGGGAGATGAGGTAGCGGCGGTGGGTATTGGCGAAGGGTAATGTGCCGTCGTCCATCATCATGAGCATTTCTTTGGTGTGGCCGCCGGAGCCGAGGACGAAGAGGGTGTAGTCCATGGATGGTGGTTTGGATGGGTCATTTTGTTGTTGTTGTTGTTGGAGATTGATGGGAGGTTGGGGAGCGGCGCGTCTTTGACGGTTGCGGTGGGAGAGGAGCTGGATGTGGCGTGTCTGAGGAAGAGGCTGTTGGTTAATGATGGGTGCGTGCTTTTAGTTGGGAGGGATGGGTGATGACTTGCTGAGGCGAAGACGAAGAGGGTGATAGCAGAGATGATGATGGTGAGAAGTCCGTGTCTTGTGAAGAGAAGCGAGGAGATGGATGAGATGAGAGCCGCGGAGAGGGCGATGAGGAGGATTGGCTTTGAGAGGGCCATGATGGTTGAGTCTTGGAGTCGTTGGGCTGAGCTGCTGCAATTTGTGAGTATATGCCTAATGTTACAATATACGGGCTGTCGGGTGACTGACTGTGTGCGAGCAGCTATCACGTCATTCTCTTGATTTCATGCATCGGACACTCAAGGACGTGGTGTTTTATGAGTGAAATGCTGAGAGTCTGAGCTTGATACTGGCTCAAGTACAGATTGCACTGAATTGAAGGAAGTACATTGTATTGATAGTACCTGGTAGTGGCTTCACTGAGCGGACCCACTCTCATTACTTGTACTCTTTCCGCATCTCTCGTTCTATTAATCCGTACCTTCTCAGGACAAAACACCATCGACAGGTCAATTGAAACAATCACAATCATATATGGCGACCATGGCAGCTGAGAATAATGCACACTGTATTTCAGATTCGACAACTAATTGGAAGTAACAACTTTGAGAGCCCTGGTCACAAACATCGCCATTCAAGCGTCTGCGAAGGCGCCGGCTACGCAACACGGCCCAAAGCAGAGTGCGTCTCGCACAACATGGCCTCACATCAAGGGCTGCTCTCCTTCTCCAAGCGCACACTTTACACTCTGCTCCGCTGAAAACCTCACATTCCAGAGGGCGGCACAGGCCGCTGTGGGTAGAAGAGGCGTCGCTGGGTAGGCATCTGTTGCTGTCTGCGGGCGGCTTCGATGGCTCGTCGCGTTGCTTCCTGGCCGGCTCGTTCGAACAGGCTGTCCATGCCTTCACCAGTGGCCGCGGAGCACTCGGCATAGCCCCAGCAGCGGAGGTGACGAGACATGAAGAGGCCCTGCCAGATTCCCCAGGTCAGTTTGTCTGGCTGAGTGTCGGCGATGGTCAAGGGACAACGTACCTCTTGTGGCATCACACAGCAGTTGGGAACCGTGGTCTCGGCCGGATGGCCAGGGAGAAGGGTAACGCGATGGCTCGCGTCGGCGCACTCCCCGCGGACGTCCTTCTTCAGTCCGAGGAGGACGACGAGCACCTCGTTCTCCTGCTGGTTGAGAAAGCCACGCTCCACAGCATCAATCCACTGAACGCGGATGTCGTTAGTCCTGCACGCCTCCCGCAGCATCCTCAGAAGAAGCGACATGAGTGACTTACCCATCTGGCAACCGCGCTCATAGACTGCTTCTCCTTGATGTCAAAGCATAGGAAGATGCAATCCCACTGCACGTACGAGAGGCTCTCGACGGTGGTCATGTCAGGCGCGCCGGAAGTGTCCTACATTTCGACGCGGACCGGCTGGGAGTCGTACATGCGGATGTTGGTGTACGTCTCATAGCAGGTGCGGGTGATGGCACTCGACTGCGTGCTGTCAGCATATCCTCTCGGAGTCAAGATGAATTCCTCTGCAGTTTCATCTTACATCAGGGAAGCATCCATAACGGGAACGGCTATGCCATTGTCAGCACGAAGCGTTCAAAAGCAGCTCACGAAACGAAGAAGTCAAGTCTTACAAAAGCAGTGAAGTCTGGCCAGAGCCCGGGGGGCCGACAAACAAAAAGTGAAGAGTCAGCGGCGCTGCGAGACGGACGGTGGGAGCGGGCGACACCGACGGGCTGCGGCGCTTGCGCTTACGACCAAAGAGCGCGAAGAAGCCGCGGATAGGGTTCCTGGTCTGCGCTGCCTCGGGCTCGTCGTTATCGTCATCGCGCACTCCCAGCGCCGTCTCGGGCCGCTCCATGAGGGACTCGCCCAGGGCGTTGGGGCCGTCGCGGCGGCGAAACAGCGGGATGGCGGAGCGCATCAGGGCGACCCGGTTTGAGGGGCGGCGGGAAGGCCTCGCGGGTTCATGAAAGGCCTGCTCCCCGGGGAAAAGGCGGTCGACATGTCAGCTCAGCACGAGAGAAGTCGATGTAAAAAGAGGATGATACTCACGACGCGAGTGCTGGGCCGTTCCTCGAAGCCATCGTTGTCAAACGGATCTTCGCGCTCCATGCGGCTCGGCACCGACCGTCGCCAGGTGTCGATGGACTCGGCGAGTTGTTCCGGCATTTGCTGCGGGCGGTGCACGATGCCGTCGTCTGGAAAGACTCCAGGTTCTGGGTGCGCGCGGTAACGGGGGGGCATCAAAGTGCTTAGCCTATACTGGTCGGCTCGCAGACGAGGGTGAAGGTGAGAACGGGGGAGAATCCCTGAGAGTGCCAGTTGATCCGCAAGCGAGGGGAAAGGCGGCGCCATGCTCGGGGTGAGGGGGAGTTCGGTTGGTCAGTTGGGAAGGGGAGGAAGAAAAGTAAACAAACGAGGGAGCGTGTCTCGACGCGTTGTGTTGTAGGGACGCGAGCAGGTGGCGGGCAAGGTGAGCGCGAGGTGAATTGGATGATTGGATGGGCGTGGGACTGGCGGCGCGTGGGTGGCAGCTGGCAACACCTGGTGGCTCATCACGAGGCTGGCAAATGTACGCATCATATGTCGTTGTTTATGGAGAGTACCTATGGCAATTCCCCTTTTGCGGTTCTCGGGGAATTGTGTGGCTATTGGACGTGATGGCTCTCAGTGTTGTTACTGCAACTGGTCCTCCCTAGGGCATGGCCAAGAAGTTCTCACGACCGTCTTCTAGGGACAACTTCGGGCTGAATAATCTCCACGCCGCAATTGTAGGGATGAAGCTGGGCAACGTCAAGCTGTCGTCCAGACCACAGTCATCCCTTGAGTCCATGAATAAATCGCGATGAAATGGAGCACGCTTTTTATCACTCCTTTTCCCTACTAGGTAGTCAACGTTGGTCTACTCTATAACTATCTTTGAATAGCAGCTTTGGCGGATGAGAACCATCATGATTCCATAATAACACATCCCTAAGATGCTTCGTGGGATGTAGCTGTTTGTTCACTAACTAGAGATGCCTTGCACAGCTTGCCGCCGCTGCACTTGCGTTTGATGACGTTGAGCCATCATGTCCTCTACAGGGTTGATGAGGACGACGAAAGAACAGCATCCCCTTTTCGCTCTATGTGATATTGTGATGCTTCTTTACCGGTACATAATGCTAGCATGCATAGTCGCATCTCGTCCATGTTTAGCATATGGGATTTGACAGAGATTCGAGACATACCTTAGATATATACTTCTTTACCCTAAGGTATGCAACGACTCTCGATACTTGGAACAAGTAGGTAATAGAGCCGGCGGAAGTGGCTTCACAAGTTTGTGAACTAACTGCGAGCGTCCTTGTCTTGGAGAGTACATATCCTGAAACGGAGTGCTTTTCTTTCCCTCGCTGAGAAGCTTTGCTTGGTGGTAGCTCGAAACACATTTGAGGCTGATTACAACGTGTAAACGGACGAAATGGATGGGCTGATTATGGGGAGTATAGCTTTTCGCTTTCTGGCTTAAGAAGCTGTAAGGCTAGTAGATGATAGGTATTGGATGAGTTGCTGCGACTGCTCTCAGATCGGCGTGTTTGAGAAAGCATCAAGATCCGTCTCCAGCCAGGCGTTGGGTGGATGAAGTTGCTTTAGAAGAGTGATCTGATGTTGACCGTGCTTTCGAAAGGGGTCACTAGGAGAACCGGGGGATTTGTATCCATCTTTTAGAGGGAGCCGACTCTGGACGATGTGATACTTAGGCATGCTTAGCATCTGCGCTGAGCTTTGTGGAAGTGAGACCTAGTGATAATGAGGTGGATGACAGAAGTCTTATGCTAAAACGTAACCAATCCATACACTTATGATATAGGGGTTCATTTACCTGTCTACTAAGACAAGCTTCATACATGTACTTCAATATTGGCACACCATGGTGCCATGAAGAGCTGAAGCACCGGCTTATCATGTCGACAGCAACAGACATTTGTGTCCTTCTTCCGATTCGCTGACTTGACTTAGGATCTTGGACCACAAGCCAATCCATTGCCACTTGGATGTCGAAGAGCCGATGGAGCATGCTTGTTGATTGGCCGAATATGATGCTGTGCATGAGAGCCGGAAAGAAAGAGTCTTTTCACGATGATTGGTGAACGCTTACACCGAAACTACAAAAGGCCTGAAGAGCGGGGGAAGCTCGTTGGGCATCATTCTATGAGGATCACATACAACCGAAGGGGCCAAAGCCTCCTCCAACTTGCCTCACGTAGCTAAGATAGCCTCACTCGCGCAAGCACTTTGGTGCGCGTCACTTTCCCTCGGATGTGGTCATTTCCAACATCGCTCATTTCGCCTCTTCCGTCGCGCACAACCATTTCCCTCAATTTGTTCGCGTCGTGCGAAGTAGTCTGTGAGATTTACCAAACCGCACAGATCGATCCCGGCCCCAACTATCAAATCTACTCGAAGCTGCAAACAGCCCCGTCATTGCAGTATGGCCTCGCCAGAGTCCAAAGTCTACCGCCTTCGGCACATCCCGGCGTACCTGGATCGTCTCGGCCTCATCCAGTTGATGCAGCCTTTGCTACCCGATGGAAAGCTGGAAGACATCACGGTGGCATCACTCGCTCTTAGCTGCGGCCGGTCTAGAACTCCAACCAAAACGGCAACACTCACTCTCCGAAGCCTTCCAGATGTCGTGCGTACAGCCCCTGGGGCTGGCGAATGGCTGCTTCCTGTTTCTGGTTTGCCGAAACCGCTCATTCTGGACGATACATTCTATGGACTCACCCCTCTCAATGACGTTGCGGGACTTGAACATCATCATGAGTAAGTCACCTGAAAGGCTTTGCTGGATACAGTCTAACAATCCACCAGCTGCATCGTGATATCCGGTCTTGCAAGCCATCCGATGGGATCATGGCAGCCCCGTGGCAACGACAAATCCTTCAATTGGATACGGGATGCACTACCCGAGCTCGTTCCCGGTGTCAGATTCATTCTCTACGGATATAACACCAAGCTAGTGGGGAGCAAGTCTTTCCAGACTGTCCCCGACCTCGCCATTAACCTGATCAACGAACTGAAAACGGGGGGCTGGTCAACGCCCAGCGCAAAAGACCTCGCTTTTCTGGCCCATAGCCTTGGTGGTGTAGTATTGAAGCAATGCCTATTCATGCTAGCTGACAGCGGAGCGGAATACGAATCAATACTCGGGAGAACGAAGGGTGCAATCTTCTTTGGCGTGCCCAGCGAAGGCATGAGCATTGAGGATCTCCGCAGTATGCTTGGGGACCAGCCAAACAAAAGCGCGCTTGTGGACCAGATATCAGACAATTCAGAGTTTCTCTCCAACTTGGAGGAACGCATCACGGGTATTTCTCGCATTCGAGAAATGAGGCTCTTCTGGGCTTACGAGACTCAAACAACACCTACTGTGGAGGTAAGCCAACTTGCGAGTATAACAACCCTTGAGATAGACTCAACTAATATTCTCATATTTGGCAGTTTATCAACAACACATATCGCAGATCAGGACCCGGGACTGTTTTGGTATCGCGAGAATCCGCCACAGGCGATCGCTGCACTTCAGACCCTTCATCGACTATCCAGATTGACGCCAGTCACTCCGAGATGGTCAAGTTCTCTTCCGGAAGTCATATGATTGGGCCCATTGCGAACAAGCTACGAGATGTTGTTGCCAGTCACTGCCATGATCTCGGCCACGATTCAAAACCCTTAGCTACCCGTATACTTTCAGTTCCGGCCAACCCCACCATTACCCAGGCCTCTATGGAGAGTAGCTCAAAAGATACCGGACATCCCAACCCGAATCTCGACCTCTGGAATCTCGATGGTGAGGAATGTCTGACTATACTCTCTGAATTCGTAGCTGATACACTGATAGAGATTCTGCAATCGCTATGTGCTCCTGAAAGAGACGACAGACTCAGGCAAATTGACGATAGCGCCGGTTGTTCATTTGAATGGGTGTTCGAAAAGCCTTCAATTGGATTAACCAACTGGCTGCAGAAGGGAGAGGGTCTCTACTGGGTTTCTGGCCGCCCTGCCTCTGGGAAATCAACCTTCATGAAGTTCCTACGCAACGACAAACGCACACCACAGCTGCTGCGTGGATGTAACAGCCAGTCCGAACACGTTCATGCCAACTTCTTCTTCCATTATCGTGGTAGTCCGATTCAAAAGTCATTCGAGGGCTTGCTGAGGGGCATTCTCAGTCAAATCCTAGAGCAAGCTCCCGGAACATTATCAATCTTCCAGTCGATGCTTCAGCACCACTGTCAGCAGCTTCCTGACGCACAATCCCTTGGAAGCCTGTACGCGGACTTGGAGGATCTATGGCTGGCGAATGAACTAAAGCTTGACGCCGACACTCGAAGAGATCTTGTCTCACTTCTTGAGTGCGAAGCTTCCAGCAAATTGTTTCGCACAATGGTTGTTCAGCCTCTACGTGCCAAATACGAAAAAAGAATCGATGAGAAGCAAATTGAGAAACTGGTGGTTCCTCATTTGAAGGATTTTCTGGCGTCTCTGGAAGAACAAAAACTTCTAGAGGCGTGCTCCGCTATATGTCCGCCATATTGGAGCAGCGACATGGAAAACGACTTTCGGTCTTGCTTGCCTGATTGGCTCGAGGCCGTAGACCTGAAAAAGAAGTTGTTGAAATTGGGTGGAATGTCGACATTCCAGCGTGCTCACCCATCGACACAATCTCAAGCCAAAGCAAAGTTCGCTCAACATGTTGAACATATTGTAAGTCGACATTACATGCGACTCGATGTGCGACAATCTACTCAGCGCAGTGTTTGGACAATCGACAACTTGGAGCGAGCACTCTTCAAAATCATCAACCAGCAATCTATTGATCTGGATCTGTGCCTTTTTTTGGATGCTCTTGATGAGTACGATGGACAACCAGAATTTATTGCCGAGTTTCTGAAGGAAATCTCCCAGCAGAGAAGCAGTCGTACACGCCTCAAGATTCTGTTCTCTAGTCGACCATGGGACAAGTTTACGGATGCATTTAAAGACTGCCCAGGTTTCCGCATTCACGAGCATACGGAGAATGACATCCGCGAGTTGTGTATCCATATGATACACATGGAATGCCCGCGTTCTCGGGAACTCTTTCTGCTGGTAGAAGAGATTGTCAAGCAAGCCAATGGCGTGTTCTTGTGGGCAAAGCTGGTATTGCTCGACTTATCCAAGATTGCATCAGCCGCTGTAGGACGACGCGACACCCGAACTCTGTCCGACGACCTACAAAAGGCGCTGAAAGACCTTCCTCGAGACTTAGTCGAATATTATAGCACCATAGTCGAGCGGATTCCGCAGTGCTTTCGCCGTGAGGCTTTTTGTCTGCTCGAAGTTGTTGCTAAGGGGGATCATATCTTTCTAGAAGACATTCCCAGGATTCTCAGCTGTCTCAACTTCACTCAGTTCTACGAAAATGAGCAAATCATAGAGAGACTAGAAAGGCCCGATTCTCAAGCCCCGGAAGCTTTGTTGAGGACCTACACGGGAGGCCTCATCGAGATTCATGGGACGCCACCTGATCAAAAGCTTCAGTTGCTGCACCAGACAACGGTTGACTTTGTTCAACTGCCTAAATTCAAAAACATCATGTTGCGATCAGGAGCACACGCTATGAATGATAATGGACACACTTTTCTTGCGAAGTTCGAGCTGCTTGAGGAGTCAGGGCATGAGGATGGTATTGTTCTCTTGAGTCAAGACTTTTTCAAGCATGCGAAGCGTTCAGAAGAAACTACGGGAAGGAGCTTATATTCGTTCTTTTCAAAGACTTGGCATCAATTTACTCTGGACGATCCTTCCCCTAGAATTTACTCGCGCGAACGGCACATGCCTCTACTATTGTTCTTGCCTGCCAAGCCGACTCTTCACATTTTTGCAGCAGCATGTTGCGCCAATCTTCGCCTATTCATGGATGAGGCTTTACAAGCGAATTCACAGATATTATTCGAGCCGTCCGCTTGTTGCATCACGGCTATCATCCTGTCGCCCTTTCTTACACTTAGTCAGCATGAAGCTGTACAGATGCTAGAATGGCTGGCTTCTCACGATTTCCCATTCGAAAATCACATAGCTTGCGGTCTATTAAGGGTATTTCTGTCACTGAGGTCAGCGTTGCTTAGCTTCGAACGAGTTGAACCGTTGATCGTCAACGTTGTGAGGCGCTTCAAGGATCCGAACATCAGCTTTTATCTTCCCCCGCCTGAGACCAACCTCTATGATTCCCCATCCAAGGCGGCGGATGATATTTCAAGAGGGGCCGTACATATGATTCATTTATCTTCCAGTACAATCACCAAAGCCCTACTCGAAAGGGGCGCAAATCCCAATGTGATGGGGGAATACGGTCACACGCCGTTGGATTGTTACGCAAAGGGCAATCTCGGCAGCAGCGCCTACAGGCCAAAATACGTCTTCGAATTGATGGCGCTACTCGTTCAAAAAGGAGGACGTCTCAATACATGCGACAAAGGAGAATGGAAGTCGAAGATGGAAGAATTCAAGCGTGATGGTCTCGACGTGTCGCTATTCAAAAGGTTGGGATATCCTAAATGGGTCAAGAAGAAGAAGGTGTCTTCCAGGGGGTTCCTATACAAGGAAATCACTCATCTCTTCAGAAAGTAATCGAAGGGTAAAATAGGTGACGAGCTTCTCCTCACATATCATTTGCATCCTTTCGTTACCGGAAATCGAGCTTGTAATAGCCGTATGCTATCGACTTAACTAATGACTGCTTGTGTTTTATCAGGCTTTTTCTCTACGTTATACCAAGTAAAAGAATAGAAGCAAGTATATATTTACAGAGCTTTAAATACAAGTCCTCCTATTTAAACTATAGCATATCTCTATTAAAACTATAGTAGTTTATACCACTAGCTATTATACTAACCCCCTAGGTAAAATAAAATATCCTATACCTAAGCCCTAGAATATAGTACTATATACTGGAAGTTAATACTGTTAAGGAGATATTATAAGGTAAAGGGCATATAAGATTAATATTATATAAAGTATCTGCTACTGCTGCTACTGCTGCTACTGCTGCTACTGCTGCTACTGCTGCTACTACTATCGGTCCAGTTCACACCGTAAGAATTGATATCTCTAGAGAGGGTAGTGCGCATCGAGGCGCTGGCCGCAGATCATGATGCAAATCTTTGGCCATCTTTGTGTTTGTTTATTTATGCATTTGTCTCTATAGCTATTCATTTCATTAAGCGCATATCCTATACTGGGGAGGCCAAGTCAACTGCCTTTGCCTTCTTCTCATCATTAGTGGAGAGAAAAGCGCGGAGCTGGTATCAGGCAAACAACTGTGATGCGGCTATTCTCTTGGCATAGTGCGTTGTCTGTGTGCTCTCATCTTCGTGTTGGAGTTCTCCTCGTGATAATGCCGATTTCACTGCTGAAGGCACTGCTAGGTCATTTGTTGCAAGGTCATTGAATTTGAACAACTCCGCCACCAGAAACAAGCTACTTGGCATTTATTCAATTTTATTACAAGATTAGTCAAAGAAAAACATTAAGAATCCAGCAGATATTTTCTTCCAGTTGCCTCGTGGAATGTAGCGCTTTTCGCAGGCCAGTAGTTTGCTTGGCCAAAGTTGAGGCGCAGTCAATGTTCCAGGCTCCAGGGCTTTCTCCTAGGCGCACAAACAAAAGCAAACAAGGCCTTTGTCAAGCGCCAGCGCATGCGTGGGTTTTCAAATATTGGTCAAGGGGCCTCCGTTCTGGAAATCTTGCATGTGATTTGCTTCGTTGTTGTTATAAAAGCTAGCTCATCATCAGTCAGTCCGTTTAACCGTTTTGCACGACTTGTGTCGATCTTCTCAAATTCGGCCCTCACTCTGATGTTGCATGATGGGTGGTTTCGTACCTTTTATCAAAGCCTTACCACCTTGTTTCGGATTCTATGATCCTGTCAAAGAGGAAGACGACTGCGAGGTGTGTCATACGAGCAAGTTTCAGGAAGTTGACTTTGACGGCGAGGATATCACACAAGAGGAGGGCCTGGTTAGGGTGAGCTTTGTCTATTCCATTCCCATATCAACTTGCTGTCATTGGAACGGTCACTCATTTTTAGAAGGTAAATCGAAAAGTCAAGATAGTCAACGATATACGTCCAGCAGGGAATCACCACTGGCTCATCCTGCCGAGGGAACATATCCGAGATATCGAACAGCTTCAGGCCAAAGACCTTGATCTCTGTGAGCCCTGTTTGCCAGTGTAGAGTTCGTATGGAAGACTCACTACTGACGCATATCCCCAGTGCTCGAGATGCGTTCAGTGAGGGACGAGCTCCTTAGAAGACACTGTAGTGCCACTGATCGAATACACTGCGGATATCACCGAGCTCGAGAGCGCGTGCTCGGCCCATTACACACGATTGATAGAATCTCGGTTCCGCACTTGCACCTCCATGTCATTGCTCGGCCACACGAGGGTACGATACCGGACAAATACTCTCATTGGTTTGTATGGACGTCGGAGGAAGAGGTCTTTGAACGAGTCGAAAAGATGGCCAAGGCCAGCAGTGAGAGGATAGATGTGAGTCTGGGTCAAGAAGTTCGCTCAGATGCAAAGCTGGAGAAGGAGTACACAAGTTCAAAGCCAGGTTCAACGCCGCAAATAGAGTAACATCATCCATCATGAAACCTTCTCCTCCTAGTAGGCAGCCAATGTATACGTAAAGCTTCCACCCAGGGACAACAAAATGTTAGACTAACATCTCAGCGCGAATCACACCGTCTCGGTTCTTCAATAGGCATGCCTCCTCACAGCTTCATTCGCAAACGCCCCCGCATAATTCTTCCTCGAAGCCGTCCTCTGATCCAACGCATACCTCACATTCACCAAGACGAGAATCACGATAAACAGCGCCCCCACAAACAGCGATATAACCGGCGCCAAGATGGAAAACATGCTAAAGATGTACGAGGCGCGATTAAACACCCTGTTATCGACCAACTCGCTCGTGGCCAGGCCGACTTGCATGGCAGACAACACGACGGTGATGTAGATGAACGCTGTCAAGACCCATCGGAAGTTCCTCTCCAAGTACGTCGAATACTGTCGATAGCCGTATTCGTAGCCTCGAATAATGGTACCAAACGAAAACGTCCTTGAGCAGAATCTGCAGATCAGATTCAGGCGGGCAAGACGTAGTTCGCCGTAGATATAGCGAGGGTTTACGTCGCATAGATCCTCACTGATATTCGAGACCACGGCCGCCGAAAAGGGCGCCCACTGCTCCCACTTGACGTCCTCTGAAACCAGTCCCTGCTCATGCGCAATCCGCAAGTCGCTTTTGCTGCAAATCAGCCAAGTATATGAGAACAGAAACCCCTTGGCACTCTCATACAGTTGGCGATCCGCGCAAAAGATGTCGGTCCAGGAGGAGTAGCTCAGGAGATAGTCCGGGAGTGGCTTCAGATAGAGGATGTTGTCCCGCCAGACGAGGTGCAGGTCTGCCCGTTCTGTGATGTGCACTTGACGGCCTACTCGGATCTGGTTGTGCAGGGCTCGAGAGACTTGGGGGAGGCCGGCGAGCCAGAGGTGTTTGTGGATGGCGTTGAGCCGGGAGACGTCGAGGTCGTCTTTGATGTAAGTCTGGATGGAGGTTGGGTCGGATTTGTCGATGCGGATGACTTTTTTGTCGCGCTGGTATATGCCGGGGATCAGGGGCTCTTCTTTCAAGATGGCTTGCTTTGCGCTGAACGGAGGAAGCGGTTGGATGCACGGGGCTGAGCCAAGGGGATAAAAACGTCAGTCGGACCTTGACAGTGATGGAGATGTGCTGCGAGTGTGAACACATACCGCGAGACGCTTCATCAGGAACTAGAGTCGTATTGTGGCTCAACCCGCCATTTATCGTGTATGTTGAATCAACTCGTCCTGCTGTGATTCCAGATTAATCTCGTCTGCCATCAAAGCATTTGTGCACCATCTGCTCCGAAGCAGCGTCCACTCCATTGGCCAGCAGAACATGACCAGCCCTGTAGAGTCAGAAGAGTAAGGGCGGGAATCAAAAGTCAGACTTACTCTCAAGAGCGCTCATCACCTTGTCGCCGTCCATCGTTACCCTCCGAAGCCGTGGGACTCTCACAGCCAAAGGTACTATAACGGGAGACAAAAATCGGGAGCGAGATCCAGAAGTGCCTGGCCGGAAAATGCGGTCTCCTCTAACAATGAACGTTTAGGCAATCAAGGCGGAGTGAAACTCTAAGGTTACCTGCAGTCTTTTCTCAGAAGCTTGAAAAAAACGTGAAAAGGCTCGAGATATCGAGACAAAAGCGATGGAGACGGCTGGAGGCTGGGTCATCAGGCAGAAAGGTCTCCAGCAACATCATTGTACAGTACACACAATCAGGCTCCGCTGCTGGGGTGTTTTCTTATGCCATGTACGAGATTCGATTGGAGGTTGACAAAAGGCAGATTGAACATCAGCCACACCTGTAGATGCGACCCAAACGTGACAAGGCAAACAGGGGGGGGCTTGGACAGCAGGGCGCTTAACAGGGGTGTACTGCCACTTCCATTGGTCCCTGGAAACGCTGTCGGCGGCAGCCCTTGGTGATGCCTCAAGTTTACACAGAAGACACGTAAATGTTGAGACTGGAATGACATTCTGAAAGGAGCAGAGCAGTGGTCGTCTGTTCTATGTAGTTGGATTGCAGTAGTAGATAGTAGTCAGGATGTGTGAGTTCACTGAGTTGCCAGATCACCAGATTATGAGGCTGCATAACCACTCCCAACATATGGTGTTTTATCAGATTATACACAGCAACACTGTCGAGCAGACATCATATTCTTCAACACGTCAGCAGACATATTAGAAGCAATATCTACAAAAAGATACATATAGGCGAATAAAAAAAGGAACAATTCTTTTTCATCCCCCAAGCTCCCAAACTCCACCAGCCATGATTGATGCCAGAGCAACAAGTTAGTCAAGAAAAAAGACAAAGGAAAAAAAAGAGGTATCTACAAATAACTCTAAATGAAACCCGACGCAACGACCTTTTCCATCCATCTCCCATCATATGAACTTTTTGAACAATGTCCGTGCCCTTTGCTTTACAGGTACAAGCTCTGGGCGGCCACAATGTCTCTCCGAATCTTCTGCAGAGACTCTTCAAACTTCTTCATGAGGTCGTCATTGCCCATGACCTTGGCGGCCTGGGCCATCTGTCGGATGAGCTCCTCGAGACGGCGGAAGATGCGGATAAATGAGCCTTCGTACACGTTGGCCATTTTGCTACACACAAAAACAGGTCAGTAAATGAAAATCTTTTTCATACGTCAAGACACAAAAGTCGGGAGGTTAAACTCACCAAATCTCAGCAAAGGTTCGTCCCTGTGCCCATGCATACACAGTCTCCATGAGCTGCCACTTCAAGCTCTGCACATACTGGTCCTCGTTGACGTCCAGCTTAGACTCCTGGCTGACCTTGGCAATCATGCGGGCCTTGGCCTGGATCTCACGGAAGGGCTTCTGCAGCTCCTCCTTGAGCGCCTGGGCCTCCAGCTTCTCGTCAAAGACGAAGCAGCTGAGAACAGCGGCAATCAGCTCGGGCGTCATCTCGTTGAAGAAGCGATCAAAGAGGAGCTCGGACAGGAGCAGCTCGTGGCCCTCAGTGGAGGAGATCTCGCAGGCGACGCGGGCCTTGAGCTGGACGACTTCGGCATCGTTGATGAATCCCAAACGACGCAGCACACGCTTGCGCGACTTGAGCTCGTCCATCTGCGCAATGCTGTGAGCCTTGGCAATCTCCTTCTTCTTCTCCTTGATCTTGTCCAGGATCTGCACTTTGGCGTGATACTGGTCCCACAGTGACGGGAGCAAGGGCGAGAGATGCAGAGGGTTCGCCACAAGCCTGGACTCGAGCACTTCAATCTTGCGGAGAAGCTGCTTAAACGATTCATCCGTAATGTCCATGTTCTCCAGCGGGTCCAGAATGGGCACGCCGTCGGGGAAGCGGCGCTGCACTTCGCTAAGCGCCTTGCCAGCATCTCTACGGTCGTCATCGGACTTGAGGCCGTCCTTGGGCATGAAGACGCGAATCTGGCTGATGGCCTTGATGCAGGTGAGGAGACAGGGGACAACCGCAAACATGCCGTCGTCCTCGTCGGCTGCCGGCTTCAGGCCGGGCGGTATGTCGCCAGCCAGGTGGCCGGGGATGATGTCGGCGCTCGACTTGGAAATGTACAGGAGGACCTCGATGATGTGAGACTCCTGAGGCGGGTATTCGGGCTCGCCCAGCTTGGGGGGTCGTCGCGCATACTGATCGGTTATGACGCCCCAGCCAAAGTCGAGCCCACCACCAAGCTTCTCCGCCGACTCCTTGACGTTGTGGATCTGGACAAGGCGGCCGGGTTGCAAAAAGGGAAGGCAGTAGTTTGGGTGCTGAATGACCGCTCGCATGTCCTTGGTGTACGTGTTGAGCTGTTGTCGGATCGTGTAGTAGTCCTTGACAGTGGCCTCGTCGGGTATCGTGAGAGCGTCCTTCTCCTGCTGCAGCGCCATCAGGTCCTTCTCCAGGGCAGGGACGCTAGCCGCATTCTGGAACTGGTGGAAGCATCGCTCCAGCATGAACTCGGGTGAGATGGCCTCGATTCGGAGCAGGTTGAGGATCATGTTGTATCCGAGGTAAAAGGCCGAGTTGAGTCTGTCTTGCTGACCGGTGACAATCTGCTTGGCCACCTCTGGCTCGAGCTTGTCGTCAATCATCATGATGACCACACCGCGGGCATCGAGGCCACGACGACCAGCACGTCCCGCCATCTGAACGTATTCGGAAGAGGTGATGGGGCGTCTCTGGACACCGTCCCACTTTGTGACTTGAGTGAAGACGACGGTCTTGGCAGGCATGTTGAGGCCGATAGAAAAGGTCTCGGTCGCAAAGAGAACCTTGATCAAGGACTCCTGGAACAGAATCTCGATCGTCTCCTTGAGAATGGGCAGAAGACCCGAGTGATGGACGCCGACGCCCTTTTGCAGCAATGGTAGGAGGTTCTGGATCTGCGGCAGCTCGCGGTCCGCTTCTGACAAGCTCTCAATAGCACTCTGGAAGACCTTGTTGACCATTGCCTTTTCCGAATCGTCGTTGAAGTTGAGGTTGGAGATCTTGAGGGCCATGTTCTCGCACTCCCGCTTGGAGAAGTTGAACACAATGACGGGGTTGAAGTTCTTCCTGACCGTCATCCGAATGATCTTGTTAATGTCGGAGCCCTCGTCGGCGCCGCCCTTGTTCGTCTTCTTATTCTTTCCTTTTCCTTTCATCTTGGCGTTGAAGTCGGCCGGATCGGAGCCCTTCTTCTCTTCCACCTCTGCCATGACAAGGTTAAAGTTCTCCTCGTTGAAGGTGCCCCTCTCGTCAACCACCATTCTCGCGCCCTTTCCTCCCATGGGGTAAAAGTAGTTTTGTAGAGGGGTAGGTCTGAAATCGGTGTAGACGACGTGACACGCTTGGTGGTGGATCTTGGCAATCCATTCGGCGAACTGGAAGGCGTTCGGAATGGTGGCCGAGAGGAAAACATATCGGACCTTGTCGGGAAGCATGATGATGGTCTCCTCCCACACCACGCCTCGCGTCTTGTCTCGCATGTAGTGGATCTCGTCAAACACGACCCAGGCCACTTCGCGCATAATCTCCGAACCGCGGTACAGCATCGACCGCAAAATCTCCGTCGTCATGACCAGGCAGCTGGCCGTGGGATTGATGGTGACATCACCCGTCATCAGGCCCACGTCGCCGAAGATGGCCTCGAAGTCTCGATATTTCTGGTTACTCAAGGCCTTGATGGGACTGGTGTAGATGACCCTCTGGTTGCGCTTGAGGCACTGCGCAACCGCATACTCTGCCACCACCGTCTTTCCGGCACTTGTATGCGCCGATACCAGGACGCTCTCTTCGCGCTCAATCGATGCGACAGACAGGCTCTGGAAGGGATCCAGCTTGAAGGGGTATGTCCGCGCCGGCTCCTCGGGGGACTTGTGCTCTGAGAGGGGAATGTATTCGTAGTTGAGATCCGGCGGCAGGGCGACCTGGTGCTGGATGTTGTGTGACAGCACGAGCGATGAGTCCTGCGACACAAACGTCGAGGCGCCCGCGACCTCTCTTGACTCTGCCGTCTGGAAGTTGTCCGTCATGACCGGGCCGGCCTCGTCCGTCTTCTTGCGCCGCTTCTTGTCCTGGTGATCAGGCGCCTCAGAGTCGTCCTCGCCCTCGGAGGCCTCGTCTCGGGACGTCTCGGCGGCATCAGCCATGCCGGTGTCGGCGTCGTCGTTGGTCCCGTCCATGTCGGCGTCGGCATTTCCGTTCATGGCCTCGTCGGCCTTTCGCTTCTTGCTCTGGGCTCGGCTGCGACTCCTCTGGGGCACTCTCTCGTCTTCGCTGGCGCTGGGGGGCTCCGCCTTGCCCTCGAACACGTCAAACATTTCATCCATCTTGGGCGGGTGCTGCCACAATCGTGGCTAGAAAAGAGGCGGGAGGAGGATGAAGGATGGAAGATAAAAGAAGAGGTTCTACACAAAAAGTGTCGAATCGCTGGATGGTTGATTGAGACTCTGGATTTTGTAAAAACTGGCGCTCCAGCTATGAAAATAAAAATCAAAGCTGACAATCAATGAATATCATCAAGACAACCAGGAGAATCTGCCCACACAAGCCGAAACTGCACCTGGAAAGACAGAAACGCTGGAGGGATGAGAAAAAGCAAAAGATTGCTCGACCAAACTTTCGCGAAGAAAGAAGTGGGTTTCGGGACGGCAGAAAAGAAAATAGTCGGTGCCAAGAGAAGGCGGTGACGGCGCAATCGAAGATCGAAAAAGAAGAAAAAGCTGAGTCAGCTGCAGCTTGTCAACGGCAACTTGGAACCTTGAAGTTCAAGTTGATGTGGATGCGGCGTTACATAAGCAGACGGGAATGCTGCCGGCAGAGCTGCACGTGACGCGCAGCGCCAAGCATTCTCGTTTTGACCTCAATCGAACCATACCAACCAATTAATCCCGGGACAAGCTTCCAACGCCGCAGACAAAACAAGCACAAACAACTCCGGTCAACTCTCACCAAGCCGCACAAAGTCCGCCTCTCCTCCTCCTCCTCCTCCTCCTCCTCCTCCACGCCTCGTCTCTCTCTCTTCTAAACTAATTGGTCTCTCTCTCCTAACCTTCGTGCAGATGCTCTCCCGCGCCGCCACCCGCACCGCTTCCCAGGTCGCCCGCCGAGGCTTCCACACCACCCGCCCTCGCATGTCCTCCCCCTACCACTACCCCGAGGGCCCCTACTCCAACCTGCCCTTCAACCCGCGCAGCAAGTGGTTCGGCGCCGGCTACTGGTCCTTCATGGCCACCGGCTTCTTCCTCCCCTTTGGCATTGCCGGTGAGTTTGCGATTGCGGTCTTTGGGGGGCGGGCAGCTTCTTGGGCTGCTTGCCCCGCCAAGGCTGCTCGCTCGTTTTTGCCGCGGGAAAAAGGCTGACGGAAGCTTTGTGTTTAGTCTACCAAACCTACAAGACTCAGTAAACGGTGGTTTAGCTATCGGATTTCGAACGAGAATGGCTTCGGCCATGGGCTGTATGTTACGATGATGGGGCGTTGTGAATGGGCAGTGAGTGGGCTGCTTGCGACGGGAGTAAATAGCTCGAATAGAACGCGGACCACTTCGCAAGTTCATACATGACAAACCCTTTTTTGTCCGTGCAGGTTTTGTACTGCGCTCGCATGGGAGACTACGAGGAAGAGGCTTCTCATTGCAAAATCGTCATCGAATTGCATGATTGTCCCAAACGACGGAGGACAGGGCTAGTCTATAAATCTGGCATGACATAGGTACATGAACAACTTTATTACATTGCTCTCCAAACGACTCATAACCACGACGCATCTTTGCCGCGCCACTGCTCAAGTCCATCGTTCCGTGTAGACTTGAGATCCTTGTCGTGCAGAATGTTTTCAAGCAGCGCGTGCATAAACTGCTGCCGCTCTGGGCTGATGACCCATCGCTGGGACATGGACTCAAACGTCTGGATCACAGCCTCGTTTGAAGAGCACTTCTTCACGGCGCGGAGTGCCCAAATCACGACCCATTGGTCTATGCGGAAATCGGCACCACGCTCGTCATGGGCTTGGTAGAAGCCCGCGAGCACTCCTTCGAGGCGCTGCTCAGACCAGTCCGAGCCGGGATACCCCCCGTGCATGTAGAAGCCCTTGAAGAGGGCCAGGAAGATGGTGGGATGGATGGCGACCTTGAGATGCTTCATCTCGTCGAGATATTGGGCAACCTTTTGGAGGTTGCCGACTCGGGTAGCGTAGTGATTGACCAGCAGCTTGTACGTGCGCAGGTCCGGAGCCAAGCGCACGTTTGTCTGAAACGACTTCTTCAGCTCCGGATGTTGCTTGCCAACTCGGCTAAACATCATGAGGACCTTTGTGACGACCTTGTTCATCATGTAATCTTTTTGCGGCATCTCCGACGCCGTGTCGTGGTCGCTCTTCATGCGCTGGTACGTCTCTTCAGCGGCCGCTTCCTCGCCACACCTGAGCAGGCCTGAGATGACGCAGTTGAGGACCACCGTGTCAATCATCTCGCCCGACTCCACCATTTCTCGGTACGCCGCCCGAACCCCCCCAGAGTCGAGCTTCAGTCCAAAGTAGTGGATGAGGCTGACGTGGTGGAAGCGGTTGAACTCGATTCCGCGCTTCTCCATCTCCTTGTATATCATGTCGGCCAGGGTAAAGTTGCCCGCCTTGGCAGCGACGTCGAAGAGAATGTTGAACGTGACTTCGTTTCCCGTCATATGGGCTTCCTTCTCCATCTCCTTCCATATCCTCAGCGCCGACTCCATCTCCTGCGTCGACGCTCTGGCGGCATACTTGGTGGCAAAGGCCAGCGCAAAGTTCCATTGCGAGCGGCGCAGAGTGAGCCCTGCATTCTTGACATCGGCAACCAGGGCAAAGTACCGCAGCATCGAGTCCATGTCCCTCTTCTGAGGCGTGCCCATGACCTTCAGCAGCCTATTGCGCCACTGCCAAGTGAGGCACAGCATGCGCGGCTCCGGGAGCTGGCAGTATAGCTTGTGTATGTCATCCAGCGAGTACCGATGCGGATGCCGCAGCCGCTGTCCGATGGCGGCCTGAAGTCTATCCAGAACAGGCTGCGTCTCCTCACGGACCATGGCCGTCTCGTCCTTTGACGGAAACTGAACGTCCCTCTTGTTCTCCGATACCCTCAGCCTGGGTCCATCCGGAGCCGCATAGCCACGGCGATACGGGTCCCTGTAGAAATCAAAGTATTCCTCGGCGCTCCCCACGTCGGATTGGTCGACGTAGGAGAGCATGGTGTCCTTGTCCTGCACTACAGCGGGCGGCGGTCGTTGTCGTGTGCCTGGGCTATGCGAGGCCTGCGAGGCAGCGGCCGTTGCGTAGGCTCGAGCGATTCGTCTTGGGTTCTGCGCCGGGGTGGTGCGGTGCTTGTGCGCCTCGAGGCCCGCCATAAAGGTCGATAGCAGCCATTGCGAGCTCCGGGGGCAGAAGAAGCCCTGGTTCGTTACCGGCGAGGCTGCTGCTGGCTTTGCTGCTGGCCTTGGTCTCGCCGCCTCGGGAGCGTCTCTGGCTGCGTGAGGCCTCGGAAAGACATTGTTGCGCGCCACGCCGGCTGTGGATCGGGGCACGAGCACCGCACCGCAGAAAGAGCCGTCCACTCGCCCGGAGAGTTTCATGAGCTCCTCCTCATGGTGTTGTCGAGGGGGTTGATATGGGAGAGTTGGGTTGGGGTTTGGAGTATTCACTATTAGCAGGCCGAAAAAAGTATGGGAAACTGAGATAATTGCAGGTGGGGGGTGGAGGTGGTGGCATGTGCAGCTGCGGCCAATCAAGAGCGAGGCAATTGGTGCGGCAATTGGTGCGAAGGACTATTCGCACAGTATTGATATCAATAGATACTATCCATGGATGCCATCAGTTGCTGCAGACGAGCAGAGCTTGTAGTCCGCTTTCAAGTCTACATAGGTATCTAGTTATATGGTATGCATCATTCAATGCCCTCGGCCATGAGATTACATGTCTCAGTCATAGCTGCGGGAACTTTTACGATTGCGATAGAAGGGAAGCGTGCTACATGAGTTATAGTTGAGGGGTATACGTATGTAGGAGGACAACTTGTTCCCTACTTGGCTGCCTTTGATTATCATAAGCAGTGTTTATCGGCTTATTAAATAAGCAAACATCTGTGTGAGATCATGTAAGGCTGGATAGTGAGTTTGTTAGTATGTAGAGGTCTGCGGGACTCAAGCTGTATAATCTCGGCCGAATCAAGTTGCGGGCCTCGGAGTCGGTCAGTTGAGACTCGCCCGGGCAATCCGAGGAATCGCTTCCATGTAGGTCCTACAATCCATTCATTTTCTTTTTTTTTCTACTTGTGCCCTTTTCCGTCTCGTTGCTGCCAATTGCAAACTTGGTCAGTAGTCTCTGCTTTTGCACTTTTTTTTTTCCAAAGCCAGTCTGAGCGCCTTTGATGCCTCTACATTGACGTTTCCAACTCCAGGGTATCATGGCCAGAGTAAGCTAGATAAGGTAAGGTACATAGCTCGAGTTGGCGCCGCGATGACATGAATCAAATTGACCTCCACCATGTCTGTGAATGCTCGTTCACGGCTAACTGCCACAAGCATTTTTTTTTTTTTTTGGATCAAATTCAAGCTTCAAAATAAGAGACGCTTCTGCTCTGTTGAAATCCTTCGTAGGTTCCACCAGCAACGTGAAAGACTCGGGCATGTGCTCGAAACGTGCAACACCAGCCACGGCGTCTGGCTCCTTGCGCCCAGTGACACAAACCGCCAGCCCAGCTCGACGCCGCTTTTCGACCAACAGGCGCACCAGCAACCCGCAAACAGATTCATCCCAGCATCGAACACAATTTTTTGTTAGTCTAGAATCCAGGGAAAAAGAAAACAAAAAGAATGACGGAAAAAATAAGAAGCCGCCCAGCTGTCAGACAGAATCTCCATGGGGGGGGAGGGGAAGAAGAAGAAGAAGAAGAAGAAGAAGCGCCGTTCCCCAGAAAGTTGCCGTCTTGTGGGCAGCCCCCTGATTGGCCAGCCACGTGTGTCCAAGCCGGGGGACGGACCCTCGACTTTCACATGTCAGCTGCCTCTCCTGACGCCTCATACATACAGTAACCCGCACCCCCGTCACGAGGCCCCCAAAGGACGGAACAAGGCGAATGGACCGAGAGAGAGGGATGCTACTAAGCCGAGAACTGGGGTGGCAGCAATGACATGTGCCTGTCATGGGGGGGTTGGTTTGGGCTTGATCCTGGCATCCTCCGTTTCCGCAGCTTTGCTCGCTGCTGTTTGTAAAAAAAGAGCTCCCCATAAGCACTCACTTGTTCTCATTGCCATCCTTCTTGTACACAGTTTCATTAGTTGGCATCGCCACGTCCGACCGGCGAACGGACCTCCCGACCTTCAGATTTCAGCTTTGTTTCGCTTGAGTCTTTTCTGTTCTGATTTCCTGTCATCCATCATCAGCGTTGTCCTCGTTGATACGCACCGGCCGCACCATCCGATGACGACGGTCGTTATACGAAGCTCGACTTGAAGCGACGCGGCGACGAAGCGAACGGCGCGAAGTCTCGACAATCGCTTCTGAAGCATAGACGACGACTCAATATATCGACTGTCGAACGGCATGAGATGAGACGCTGTTGCGCCGTCGATCCGACATCTTTTCGTCTCCCTCTCATAGGCCGTCGCATCGGACAAGACGCACTCATCCCATGTACCACCACACCTCAAGCATTCTGATATAGACCATCACGTCCCTCGCGGCCAGCCTGTTTTGCCTCCCTTTGTTGTTTTATTTCACTTCGTTTCTTCGTTTCAGCATCATGATAGACCACGTCCTCGGACGGCCATCGTCCAAGTCGCGGCGCCTGCAGGTCCTGGCCGTCCTGTCCTTTTGGACGTTTTATCTCTACAGGCATGTTGTTGTCTCATCTCTCGTTTGATCTTCGATTGGAAAAGAAACCGAAGCACTGACTGTATGTCCAGAGGCCACAAACATGGCCCGCCCATTGCGCAGAACATGTCAAAGTTCCTCTCCCGCAAGCTGACGGCATGGCAGACGGTCGTCATCACCATGCTGTACCTCTACGCCGCGCGCAACTTCAGCGCCCTCGTCGGGCTGGCCAGCCCCGAGCCCATGGCCAACATGTACGACCCGACGTACTACCGGGCGACGTGGGTGCTGACGGCGCTGGACGCCGGCTTCTGGACGGCCATGAAGATCCGGTCCAAGTGGCTGCGGGACCTGGCCAGCATCGTCTTCTCGCTCTACTACCTGGTGGCGGCGGAGCGGGCGGACGAAAAGGTGCGCAAGGTGCGCGGCATGATCACGGTCGAGCACCTGCGCGTGGCCTGGAACAAGGGCACGACGCCGTACCTGGGCTTCCTGCAGCGCCTGATGCGGCCGCGCTTCACGAGGTGGCCTCCGCGACAGGTGCGCATCCCGCGGCCCGCCAACAGCGACTACAACGAGGCCGTCTCCGCCTGGCTCTACTACGACGGCCCGCTGGCGGACCTGGCGCATCACAGCCGCGTCGTGCTGGACATCCCCGGCGGCGGCTTCGTGGCCATGGACCCGCGCTGCAACGACGACAAGCTGTTCGCCTGGGCCTCCAAGACGGGACTCCCCATCCTGAGCGTCGACTACAAGAAGGCGCCCGAGTACCCGTACCCGTACGCGCTCAACGAGTGCTTCGACGTCTACGTGACGCTCGTGCGGTCGCGCGGCCGCTGCATCGGCATGTCCGGGCGCGAGACGCCGCGCATCGTCGTCACGGGCGACAGCGCCGGCGGCAACCTGGCCGTCGCGGCGACGCTCATGGTGCTCGAGACGGGCATCGGCCACTTCCGGAGGGCGGCGGGCGTGGGCAGGCTGCCGCCGCCCGACGGGCTCGTGTGCTTCTACCCGACGCTCGACATGAACATTGGCAACTGGATGACGGACGAGCAGATGTCGCTCATCCGGGACCGCCGGTCGAGGCGGACGAACCGCTCCATTGTCAAGCGCAAGAGCATGCAGTACAACGACCTGGTCGGCACGCCGCATCATTCGGACAATGAAGACGAGACGCCACCGCCGCCGTCGTCGTCCTCTAACAAACAGCCTCCAGCTGTTGAGAACGCCGCGTCCTCGACCGGAGGGACGACGAGGCCCGAGTATTGCCACGCCGGGCCCAGGGCGCTCAGCACCTCGCAGAGCCCTGTCGGGAAGAGAGACAACGGCGCCGCCGCCGCCGCCGCCGTCTCGCATCGCGCCGAGCCCATGAAGACGCGCCTGGCGACGTCGTCGATGATCTCCTACTTCAACGACCGCGTCCTCACGCCCGAGATGATGCGGGCCATGATCATCCTGTACATTGGCGCGCACAACCGCCCCGACTTCACGCAGGACTACTTCCTCAGCCCCGTCCTCGCCCCCGAGGAGCTGCTCGAAAACTTCCCCAAGACGTACTTTATGACGGGTGAGCGGGATCCCCTTGTCGACGACACCGTCATCTTCGCGGGACGCCTAAGGCGGGCAAAGGAGGCAGCGGCACGACGACGACGTCGGTTGGCCCGGACGGCGGCGGGTATGGATGACGACGACGACAACTGGACGTTTGACGACAAGGAGGTGACCGAGGTGCTTCTCATCCCCGGGACGTCGCACGGCTTCATGCAGTTCCCGGGGGTGTATCCGCCGGCCTGGAAGCACTTTGATCGCAGCGCTGCGTGGTTCGACCAGCTCTTTGCCGATGCCGAGGCGCAGAGGGTAGAAGAGGCTCGACGAGCGGCTGCGGCTGCAGCTGCTTCGTCTAGGATCGGTCATCAGAACCAGCAGACGACTCCTCGCAATGGCTTCCGGCGGCAGTCCATTGCCGAGTCGAGCGGTGACGAGGACAGGCCGCTCGAGATTCGCATGACGAAAATGTCGCGCGGGCGGACGTTGACGCAGAATGGGGATGCTGCGAACGGGCAGGGACGTGTGATTGCCGAGGAGACGACGTCGAGTTCGCCGCCTGTTGACGGCGGTGCCAATGTCAACGGAAATGGAGACGACGCCGCCAACAATGGGAGTGTCGCCGGAGAGAAGAATGGGGCTGGGGCTGGGGCTGGGGCTGGGGCTGGCAAGAGGACGGCGAAGAAGGGCGGCATCAGGGGGAACAAGAGCCTGGTGAAGCTGACGAGCTCGGATGACTTGCTGGGGCGGCGGATGCATGGGCTTGCGAGCGGGTTGACGAGCACGGGGGATGACGAGCAGCTGTACATGTGAGTTTGCGGGAATTTTGTATCGAAAAGGAGAATCGAGGGTTGGGATTCTGGTAGAGTGTTGTTGTTGTTGTGTGGTGGCTTGTGGTGGTTTGTGGAATATAGAGGCGTTATGAAGCATGCTTTGATGCTGTATAGGTACGGTATACATGTATGCATCGTGTGAGGAGTGTACATGTATGTATGTGGTGGCTTGGAAAAGCACATTTTGCTGCCAGAACACCTAGACTCTTGATCCCGCCTTATTCATCCGTCCGGTTCAAACAGTCTGGTCTATATGGCGACATGAAGCGTAGGGGATTGTCATTCCCGGTGTGCTTTGTAGTTGTGTTCCCATATCGGGCTGATTGAGTCTATGTATGATTCCTAGGTACACGTATGCTGTAAACCACCACTCCTGAAGTGCTTCATGCCTCTGTACAGCGGAAAGCACGCATGGAAATGCAGATGATATCGTTCCATGTAAAGCAAAGCAATGATTTGTATAAATGGCAAGCTGCCGGACGTACACTGTGCATGAACTAAACGCATGAATAAATCTGCAAAAAAAGTGTCTATCTTGTCCTTCCGGCTGGTTCACCTCGGTAGTCAAACAAAAAGGGGGAAAAAGAAGAAGACCACCAAAAAAAAACCCACCTCCTCAATTCCAGAACCCTTCTTCAACAGTCTCAAAAATTGTCTCGCTATAATACCACGTATTTCATACAGGTAGTAGGCACATCATAATCGGCGCAGCGCCACAGCGGAGCCGTTCCGAAAATAACGAGCAAAGCTTCAGCTTTCCGACCAGGGCGAGGATCCTCAAGACACCAGTAATACATAGGTAGGTTCGGGTTGCCGGCACATGTGGAAAAAGGGATCTGCCAAGCAACTTGGCAAAAGTGACGAAACGGCGGGAATCGATTTTGCCCTGAAGAAATGGGGGGCGCTTTTTTTTGGGATTGATTATCAAGCCTCTCCAACTGAGTAGCAAGCCTCTCAAGATGCAAGCTGCCAATCACCTATTGGTCTAACTCGGGGATGCCTCAAGACGCATATTACTTTCCTAGTACATATATATCTAATGTTACCCATTAACCCTAACACTAACCACTAACCCTAACTTAATTAGCTAACCCTAACAGCTAACCTGAGGTTTGCTCTATATACAGACCTTTTTTTTTATGTTACTATGACTTTTTTATGGTAAGATATATGGTCTTGAATATAGCGGTAGATTGTGCTTCTTAGGTACTGAAGAGGCTTGCTACTCAGTTGGAGAGGCTTGATAATCAATCCCTTTTTTTTTTCTGTTTGGGCTTGTATGACATACTTGCCCAGCTTAAGCCGTCAGATCCGATGGGGGAAGCTGTTTGGTGGGGAAGTTGGGTTAGTAGTAGTCGATCTGGGTAGGGATTTGAAGAGGAGGGGGGACTTTGTATGGAGTGAAGGTTGTGTGTGTAACAGCTTTGCATGAGGAGAGCTGTGGAAGAGGGGGAGGGGCAAAGCAAGACAGGGTGAGCCGGCAAAAGGGCAAGCAAGGACAGCAGGGGTCTTCGGCTATGGGAAGTTGGAGTATAGTATTCACGGCTATGATGGTGGTGAAGGATGAAAAAGAAGGAGAAGAAGAAGATGAAGAAGAGGAAGAAGAAGAAGAAAAGGGGGAGGGAAAAAGATGCAACTACTCGGACCTACGTGGAAAACATACCTACCGATGTATATGGACAGGGATGAAATCGTTTGATTTTCGCGTGTGAAAGAAGTGCCCGGATCTAGACGGATGCATTGCATCGGCTCTTCCAATGCGCGCCGTCTTGCGTTGTCAGAGCAGGTTTCCCAAGACCCAAGATGCATCAACGAAAAGCAACACCCAACTCACCTCTCTTCAGCCATTGGATCTTCCTGCTGCATCTCCCAGCTCCTTTCAAGACCCCGCTGCTAGATCCAGCAACAACCAACCAACCAGGCCGTGGATCTAGTGGCTTGCCGGCCGGAAGATGGTGGCCGAAGCTAGAGTCGCAACCAATTGGTGATGATGATGCGTCGTCATGCATGCCCGGTGCTAGTACAAGTAGTAGCTTGACCAGCTTCTCATAGGGGGGGGAAGATTGACGAAACAGGGTCAATGCTGCTACTATGTTGCATTGGTATTACTTACTACTCGTATGTATGTATGTATGACTGTATGTATGTATGTTGCTGCAAGCTGGGCTAGGGGACATGGCTTGATTCGAGGCAAAGCCGTGCCCAGTCATGTTGGCTTGCTCGCTCAAAGGTGGACTTTTTGATGGGCGTCTAGACTCTGTGACCCCTCATCATGACATGACATGTTTTGATGTGCAGTTGGCGGCCTCGTAATAAATCGACACCACTGCTCCCACTTATACGAGAAGCTATACAGACACACACCACACACACACACACACACATATATATATACTCCTCTCCCCCAATTTGAACCCTCCCGCCTCACTCATTCCTCTCTCCTTATATCCTCTCTTCCTCTTCCTCTTCTGCCTACACCCCCTCCCTCAATCACCACATCCCACAACACTCACACACACACACACAATAAAAGCTTCAGCAACTCATCATGGTCCACCTCACCGCAATCAGCCGCTCCGGCTCCGTCACGCCCTCCGAGGAGCCGACAGCAGCGCAAGCAGCAGCTCCCGCCGGCGCCTCGGGCCCAACCCTCTCCGTCAACGACCGGCCGAGCCTGCACAAGAGCCTCTCGCAGGTCAAGCTGTCGAGCTACGCCGACGAGTTCACCACGAGCGTCTACGGCTCGCAGTTTGCGGGCCAGGACCTGCCCAAGCACAGCATGCCCGCGGGCGCGATGCCGCGGGACGTTGCCTACCACATGATTAAGGACCATTTGAGTCTGGACAACAACCCGAAGCTCAAGTGCGTTTTTCTGCTTTCTCCTTGAAGGAAGTAGAGAATCATTGAAATGCTAATTCTTGCGGATTGTTTAGCTTGGCGTCTTTCGTCACGACTTACATGGTACCGTCCATCCAACTCCTCCCAAACAAAGCCAACTATATATGCTGAATATCTGAAAACACAGGAAGACGAAGCCGAAAAGCTCATGACAGAAGCCTTTTCCAAAAACTTCATCGACTACGAGGAATACCCGCAGTCGGCCGACATCCAGAACCGCTGCGTCAACATGATCGGCGACCTGTTCCACGCGCCCCACGGCGGCGACAGCATCGGCACCTCGTGCATCGGCTCGTCCGAGGCCATCATGCTGGCCGTCCTGGCCATGAAGCGCCGCTGGAAGCTGCGCCGCCAGGCCGAGGGCAAGCCCACCGACCGGCCCAACATCATCATGTCGTCCGCCGTCCAGGTCTGCTGGGAAAAGGCGGCGCGCTACTTCGAGGTCGAGGAGAAGTACGTCTACTGCACCGAGACGCGGTACACCATCGATCCCGACGAGGCGGTTGCCCTCATTGACGAGAACACGATTGGCATCGCGGCCATCTTGGGCACTACCTACACGGGCCACTACGAGGACGTCAAGGGCATCAACGACTTGCTTGTCGAAAAGGGGCTGGATGTGCCGATCCACGTCGATGCCGCCAGCGGTGGCTTTGTTGCGCCGTTTGTGCTGCCGGACCTGGAGTGGGATTTCAGACTGCCTCAGGTGGTTTCCATCAACGTCTCCGGCCACAAGGTAATGCCCTCGTCTTATTACTTGTCATTCAATGGTGTTTGCTCCAACCCTTCTGACACGGCATTCATCAGTACGGCCTCGTCTACCCCGGCGTCGGCTGGGTCGTCTGGCGCTCGCACGAGTACCTCCCCCAGGACCTCATCTTCAACATCAACTACCTCGGCGCCGAGCAGTCCTCCTTCACCCTCAACTTCTCAAAGGGCGCCTCCCAGGTCATCGGCCAGTACTACCAGTTCATCCGCCTCGGCCGCCGCGGCTACGAGTCCATCATGAGCAACCTCACCCGCACCGCCGACTACCTGACCGACGTGCTCGAGAAGTCGCTCGGCTTCGTCATCATGTCCGAGCGCCAGGGCCAGGGCCTGCCCCTCGTGGCCTTCCGCTTCAAGACCGCCCAGGAGGGCGGCAAGCAGCGCCACTACGACGAGTTTGCCCTCGCGCACCATCTCAGGAGCAGGGGCTGGGTTGTCCCCGCGTATACCATGGCGCCGCATACGAATGAGATGAAGATGCTCAGGGTCGTGGTCAGGGAGGACTTTTCAAAGAGCAGGTGTGATTTGCTGATTCATGATATTAAGCTGTGCGTCGCCATGCTGGAGAATATGGATGCCGAAACGGTGAGGAAGCAGGAGGAGTTTATCAAGGAGCATATTGCGACCCATGGCAAGACGAAGCATCAGCACAGGCACCATGCCTCCAAGCACTACACGGTGAGCCTCTCCCCCTATTGAGAATTGCTGATTGTTTGAGATTGGGTGTGACGTGATGATGAATGCTGACGGATGAGTTTTTTGTGACAGGGCGAGGAACATTCGCTGCAGGGCAAGACTGGCAAGACGCATGCCATTTGCTAAACGTGCTCCATGCGGGGGACATGGCATGGGAACAACAAAAGTCTGAGTCGGCGCAAAAGGGAATCAGATACAGGGTCAATATTTATCTATATTGAGAATCATGATGCTTTTTTTTGTCTATACAGCCATCTGCCACCCCAACCCCTCCCCCTTTTCCATCCATTGAGCAGAAATGTTATACGCTCGCCAAAAAACCATTGATACACTCCGGCCCAGGCAAAAAAACAAAGTGAGAAAAGAAAAAAAAAAAAAAAGAGTCACAGCATCAACTTACAAGCGCCGCCGCCCCTCCCCCCTTACTTGCGCGTAGCAACAATCGCCTCCTCCAGGATATCCAGCCCCTGCCCAATCTCCTCCTCCGTCATCACCAGGCTCGGCAGGAACCGCAGCGTGTTCGTCCCCGCCGTAATCACCAGCAGGCCCCTCTCCCGCGCCGCCGTCACAATCGCCGCCGGATCCTCCGTCAGCTGCAGGCCCAGGATCAGTCCGCGGCCGCGCGCCTCCGTGATGAGCTCCGGGAACTTTTGCCTCAGCTTGGCGAAGCGGTCCATGAAGACCTTGCTCTTGGCCGCCACGCCGTCGCGGATCTCCTTGGACGACAGCCGCGAGACGACGTAGTGCGCCAGCCGGCAGGCGAGCGGGTTGCCGCCAAACGTCGTCCCGTGGTCACCCAGCTTAATCTTTTCGGCAACGGCCTCGGTGACGAGCACGGCCGCGACGGGGAACCCGTTGCCGAGCGCCTTGGCCGTCGTCAGAATGTCCGGGTGGGCCTCCTTGGGGAGGCTGCCGTGCGCCCAGAGGTCGCCCGTCCGGGAGAGGCCCGACTGGATCTCGTCATAGATGAGCACGGCGCCGACCTCGCGGCAGCGCTTCGCCAGCGCGACCATGAACTCCTCGCTGCCGGCGTGGATGCCGCCCTCGCCCTGGATCGGCTCGACAATGACGCCGCACGTCTTTTCGTCCACGAGCGCGTCGATGCCCGCGACGTCGTTGTACGTGCCCTGCTTGAAGCCGGGGACCATGGGCGCAAACGGCTTCTGGTACTTTGGGTTGTGCGTCGCCGACAGCGCGCCCATGGTGCGCCCGTGGAAGGCCTGGTTGAAGGAGACGACGTCGACTTTCTCGCCCGAAGGGTCGACGATGTTGCCGACCTTGCGGGCGAACTTGATGGCGGCCTCGTTGGCCTCGGTGCCCGAGTTGCAGATGAAGACCTTGGACGCCTCGTGCATGCAGCCGGCCTCGAGCGTCTTTTCGACCAGCAGCTTGGACAGGGCGCCGGTCCAGGGGTTGTAGTACAGGTTCGAGGCGTGGACGAGTGTTTTGGCCTATCAAATGACACATGTGTCGTTCAATCGTCAGCATGCCTTCTTATCCTCCTTCTCCTTCTTCTTCTCCTCCTCGGTGGAGGTGAGCTGTATATAGATATACGCACCTGCTTGGCGATTATGTCCGCAAACTCGGCATCGCAGTGTCCCAGCGACGTCACCGCAATGCCCGCCGTGAAATCGAGATACCTGCGATTCTCAATGTCCCACAGCCACGACCCCTCGCCCTGCACAAACACGGGCGGCGGCCGGGCGTACGTGGCCACCATGTAGGGAGCATGCTCGTTGACGAGGGCCGCGCTGGCCGAGTCTTGCGCCGGATCGGGGTTCGGCAGGGCTGCGTCTCGCTGCAACAGAATAAAGTGACGGGAAAAGTGTCAGTTCACTGTAACGCCGACGACGATTGCATATGGGGGTGTAGCAGTTGGATATCAGAATCGTTGTAATAGAGTTGATTGGCAGATGCAATTGATTGTGTGGGAAACGGGGTCGAGAGAGAAAGAGAGAGTGAGAGTGAAAAATAAAGAGTCAACGCACCTTGATGGACTGCTTCGCATCCTCAGACAGCCTCGCCGCCGCCCTCGTCGCAGAAAAGCACCTCTTGCCAGCAGCAGACGCCGAAAGCCTGCCGGCAAGCGCCACCTGTCGCGCAAGAGATGCCCTCAAAGCCATCCTTTTCCAGCCAAATATTCAATCTGCCAGAGGCTCAATTGAATCCAATACCAGTAACAAAAAAAAGAAGAAGAAGAATCAGACCTGACGCAAGGGAACTGAACGCTCCAAAAGGTGGTGGGGGGGAGGAGCGATATAAATTTCCCGTTTTGCGCGGCTTTCAGACCAGAAATTGGGGGTCTTGGCTCTATGTAAATTTTTATCGATAAAAGCTCCGCTACCGGTGTTCGCTGCTCTTTGCCTTGCAGGGACTTGGATCCATATGTACCTTATTTTACCTCATGCTGTGACGACACTACCTGTACATACCTACTAGGATTCTTCGTCTAGCTGCGAGCTGAGTCATTGTCTTGTCTCTAAAAAGCTCTCAACAAAAGATGGAGCTGCCTTATCAATCTGTTGTCTGTAGCCGAGGTGCTTCTGAGATGTTGAGTCAACAAACCTGGCGATAGTAACACCCACAATGGCTCCAATCGTCCAAATAGAGTCATCAATGCTCCCTACATCGGCTTATATACGTAGATACTATCCTATCAAGTCGCTGTCCAGCTAGGTAAGTATTCTCCTACGACACTTTTCACGCGCCTAGACACAGCAACGATAAAACTTCTTGTATGGGATTGTCATGGTAGAACCCAAGAGTAAATACAGTCTCTACAAATACCGCCCAAGCAAAACACGCAACAGCATCTCAGTATGCAACCAGAACGCCGCCTTGCCAAAACAGACAAGGGGACCAGGGGACGGAGAGAGAAGGAAAGAGGAAAAACAAAAAAGGAAACTGGCATTACCAAGAGCTCCCAAGCACAGCCGTTGTATAACCCTGTCACAGCCATCCCATCATCGTGTTTCACCCATTCTCTCCATTTCAGTCGGTCCTAGGCCCATGCACAAAAAAACGAACCCGTCACGCTGCTCAAACGGCGCTATAGCCTCCTCGACTTCCAGCGCCCTGGACAGTGTTTAGAACCCGGCGTGTCCAGTCCTTGAGGAGGTAGGGAATGTCGCGCAGGGTGTCGCCGTGGGGCAGGAGGTCCCATCCTCGCGCGCCGTATCGGTTGTAGTTGAGCCAGGAGCCGAAAATCAGGTAGGCCGCAATGCCGAGGAAGACGCTGCAGAAATGTCATTAATCGAGGCGGCCTGCGTTTGCATCTCGGGGCCGTTCCCGGGGGATGTGCTGCACTTACATAATGACAAACCAAGTAAAGAAGCCCCAGCTTGCGCTCGAATCGCTGGGCTCGTGATCATCGCCCTTTCCTCCATCCCGCTTTTCGCAAGCATACTTGGTGTACCAAGTCAGCCGCAAGACATCGAAATCCTTTTCCTTGGCATAGTCTTCCCAGATGAGCGCCGCATCCTTGTTCTTCAGCTGGTGCTCAATAGACGAGTCCTGGTTGCCCTCGTCGTCCTTGTCGCCATCCCCCTTCTTGTCGTCCTTGTTGTCCTTGTTGTCACCCTTGTCATCCTCAGCTCGCCGCTTCGCGGAAGAAGGCTTCTCGTACTCGTCCTCGGAAGCCCACTCGCCCTCGGTGCCCGTCTTGTCCGGATCGCACAGAAACTCAATGACGGCCTTTTGGGTCCTTCGCTCCGACACGGGGCCGGTGAGAGGGTGCTTGCCGCCCTTGAGAACCAGCCGGAGACCCTCCTTCTGGGAGTCCGAGTTGGAGTCGCTCGTCTTGAGCCTCGTCGCCTCGTATTCGAACTGCGACCCGCCGGCGTTTTCGAGCCCGCCCGCAATGGCAACGACCTTTGTGACGGAGTCCTGGTCGCCCTTGAGGAACCGGGTAATAGCGCACACTGATGCAAAGCGCGGTTAGTCAAGTCATTCGTTGGTGTAATGCAACAGAGTAGGTAGGTAGGTAGATGGGAGAGTGCTGACCTCTTGTTCCGTTGGGGCACTCCTCCTTGGACTTGGCCTTGCCGCTCTTCTTGAGCGGTTGGCAAATGTCGACCGTGTACGTCGTGTTGATGTGCGCCTCGGTGCTCGACTCGAACCGCGACGTCACCACCGAGTGCGGGCCTCCAAGCGGCGACAGGTCAAAGTTGTGGCCGTCGATCCGGATCTTGTCGCAGCTCAGCATCGCGGCCGCGCTCAGCGGCGCCAGGAGGAACGACAGCAGCAGCGCTGACAACCGTGGGGGATGCATCGTGGCGAGGATGATGCAGCGAAAGAACGATTAGGCTAGCAGAGAAGATGAAGGGGAGGCGAAGCGTGGCGGTTTGGACAATGATGACGGCCCAGACGGAGGGGAGAGAGAAGAAGGGGAGAGAGAAGCACACAGCACGCCGACAAAGCCAGATAAGGACGGGACGGAGAAACCAAAAGCTCGACGATCCGACGATCAACAGACGGGCGATGCACAAGGCGAAGCAGCGAGGCTTGACTGGAGTAATCGGCAAGAAGAGAAAAGGAGGGTTAAACAAGAGATAGAAGAAAGAAAAGAAGAGGAGGATTCCTGTGCTCCGGTCCAGCCTCTTTTCTTTGGCAAGTTTTAACGTCAAGCTTGTCGCGAAACGGAGACGCAGACAGACAGACAAGAATTGGGGGCTAAGCCGGAAGAGCTGCTGCTGCTGCTGCTGCTGCTGCTGCTTCTTCTCCGACCAACTTTCTCTTGACGTGACGTTCCGTCATTGCTCCAGCTAAAGGCAGCCTAGAACCGAAGAGGCCGGCCCGCACGTGACCGGAAATGGAAACATGGGCCCTCTCCCCCCCCCCCCCGTAGTAAGGTATGTATTCCATTTTCAGGTGAAGATACGGTGAAGGGCTCGTCTTTTTTCTGTTAGCATTTGGTGAAGAAAAGGGGGCTGTATGTGCTGGGTGGAGAGACAGCTTACCCGAGGATATGGGAATTCCAATCGTGAGATTTTTGCTATTTTCTGGATGCCATTGTCCTTTTGCGCGTAGTTGAATGATATCGTCCTTTGCTTCAGTCTGCTTGTGAGATACCTTACACATCCATCAAACGGAAATTGACATGTGTTGGCTTAGTAAGCCATCCAATTGCACCAGACAAGACGATTGAATCATCACACAGCAGACTGCAATCAATGTAAGGTATTACCTACTCGGTCAATTCCGATCCCCAGCGTGTTCCTGTTACTTCTGTCTCGATATCGCAGCAAAGTGAAGTCCAATAATCAACGTCTTCCTGTTATTCTGTTTCCCTTGCACTGCCTTATACAAGCATCTCAACTTCATTATAGCTACCTACCTACTTGCCTGATATACCCCCTTTCACACCCCCCTCCAAACGCCAAGTTGCCGAGCGAATTCATCAAATTCATGTCCAGTCCAGAAGTCGGCACATCTCCCATTGTTCAAGAGAGATTAGAAAGAAGGCGGTAAAAGCAAAACCGGAAGATATAGAGGAAAAAAAAAGAACAAGTCAGAAAGTACAAACCCACCATCCCCCTCCCCCTCCAAACCAGCAAACAAGAAAATAGTCAAAACAGCAAGTCCATCGTGGTCTCGAGCAGCCACTACCGATATAAAGAAAAGAAAAGAAAAGAAAAGAAAAAACAAATCATCCCTAGGGTATTGAAACACTGGCCCAAATGCGGTAATCCTGACTGGTGCCGAAATTGTAATCCGCCCTCCCAAACTCCGTGTGGAAAAAAAAATGACATCAAAATAGAGGTAGGCAGCCTTCCTCTCCCGCCCTGGTACCACCTACCTAGGTAGACATCACAGCTGCCGGACTGCTTCGTACGGTACAAGAAGATGATTCTTGTACTTCCGTCTCCTCCGGAAAGGCCGAGACATCTTCATCTCTTTACATCCCCGTCTTCTTTTCTCTTTTTTTTTTCTTTCCATCTTTCTTCGAATTCCCGTCCGTAGGTCTCGTTTCACATTCCCTGGTGTCCCATCATCCCGCCTTGCATCGCAGCCTGTTGCTGCTGTTGCTGTTGCTGCTGCTGGCGTTGTTGAAGTCGCATCTGCTGCTGCTGCTGCCGGCGCTGCATCACGTCCCTCATCATCTGTTGGGCTTGCATGAAAGCCTGCTGTTTGATCCTCTCCATTGCGTCCGGCGGTATGTTGTCGGCTCCGCCAAACTTGGCGGCCGCCGTGTTCAGGAGCCGGCCGTAAAAGAGGCGCGTCTGGGTCTGTAGCTGAACCTGCAGGTTGTTCGGCTGTCCTGGCTGGGGACCTTGGCCCTGATGCTGAGCCTGGGCTTGTGCTTGCTGCGCCTGCTGGGCTTGAGCCTGAGCTTGGGCCGCTTGCTGTGCTTGGGCCTGCGCCTGCGCCGCTTGCGCTTGGGCGTGTGCCTGAGCCTGAGCCTGTGCCTGGGCTTGCTGCTGGGCCTGAGCTTGTGCCTGCTGCTGCATCTGCATGGCTACCATGGCTTGCATGTTGGCATTGGCATTAGCATTGCCATTCATCATCTGCCCGTTCATCTGTCCATTCATCTGCCCATTCATCTGGCCGTTCATTTGGCCCCGCGCCATGTTGCTCATCTGGCCCATGCGAGACATTTGTTGAATCTGGGCCTGCATCTGAGCCTGCAGCTGCGGCGTCATCGAGCGTATCTGGGCGCCTTGCATGCTCTGCAACTGTTGTGCATACTGCTGAGCCCACTGCTGGTGCTGCTGCTGTTGCTGTTGCTGTTGCTGCTGCTGCTGCTGTTGCTGCTGCGGATTCATCATGGGGTTTTGCGGATGCTGCTGCTGCTGTTGCTGCTGCTGCTGGTGGTGTTGGATCAGCATTTGCCGTTGCATTATCTGCATCATCTGTTGCTGCTGCTGCGTCATGCCTTGGCCCTGTGAAGCAATGTTCATGTTATTGAAGTTGTTATTCTGCAGAGCCGCCGCCATCTGCTGCTGTTGGTGCTGTTGCTGCTGCTGTAGTATAGCTCGCTGCTGGGCCATCTGGGCCATGACTTGAGGGCTGGCCTGGTTCATTCCTGGGGCGTTCATCATCATCTGCTGGCCCATCTGAGAGTTTTGCGCCATCATGGCCGGAGGGCTGTTCGCCTGGGTCATGCGGGGCGTCGCAATCATGGCGGGCCGGTTGATGGGAGTTGCGTGAGGCATGCTAGGCGTCGCGTGAGGCATGCGTGGCGTGCTTGATGGATGGCTCTGCTGGCTGTTTCTAGAAGACATGGCGTGGGCCATGGGCACCGATACCTGCGGGTTCTGCACTACAGAAGCCGGCCGAGGAGGGCTTGCCGCCATGGTCGAGTTGTTCCGCTGCATGGCAGCGGCCGCAACCATGGGTGACGACATGTTCTGGGGAGTCGGCTGACGGATGATGGGAGAGGAAGCCTGGGCTTGAGACATCTGGGCTTGGAACCGGGCCTGGGTAGGTCCATGGATACCGTTCGGCATTGCGTTTTGCTGGACGCCGTTGGGCATGCCATTGTTCAATCCCGGATGTTGGGCGGGATGAGCGTGCTGCGTCTGGTTCATCTGCGCTGCGGCGTTGTTTGCCTGCGCCGCGGGAGTCTGCGCGGCAGCGCGAGCGGCGATTGCCTGGCGCTGGGCCTCGGCGGCCTGGCGCATCTGGGCCTCCCTCGCCGCCGCCGCGGCTTCGCGCCGCAGTCTCTCGGCCTCTGCCTGTCTCTGCGCAGCTTCCACCGCCTGCTGCGCCTGTTGCTGCTGTTGCTGCTGTCTCTGGAGCTGCAGCTTCCTGTCGTTCTCCTGCTGCTTAAGCTTCTCCTGTTCCTTCTTTTCGTTGTGCTCCCGCTTGATGTCCTCAATGAGGTTGAAGCGCTCGAAGCGAGGCTCAAACGTCGCTGCACCAGTTGGGCCATCTCCATCCGCTCCACCAGCACCCTGCGCGCCGGGAGCGTTTGGCGCAAGCCGGTCGTCGAGAACCAGCATGTACCGCTCCATCTCTGCGGTAAAGGCCTCGTCGGCGGCCATTTCGGCCACCGTCCTCTTGCGAGCCTTGGGCTGTGGCGGAGGCTCGCTGTGGCTGGGATGCGACATCTTCTCCAACAGGGCGATGGTTTCCTCCACGCTCTTGGTTGGTTCGAGCATCAGGGGTGCATTGGTCGCGAGCAAGATCTGACCCTCGGCAGCATGTAGCAGACTGGCGTCCAGCTCGTTCTTTTCTCGCTTCTGCCTTTTTGCAGGCGGCGGGATATTGGCGGCAGTCGGTGTTGGCGGCACCAGCGCGGACGGAGTCGCTGGAGGAGCCATGGCCAAAGTGTCGGTAGCACCGGGCCCCTCGCCAGGCGACTTTGGCATTGTCGCCTTGATCATGAGATCCATGCGCAAGCTCTCGGGCGTAGGGTGAAGCACAACGGTGAAGATCTTTGGTTTGGGGGGGGCCTTGGTATCTGTGACGCTGCCAGCGGCATTTGGCGCAGATTCCTTATCCGCATCCTTTACATCGGCGTCTTCTTCCTTCGGCTCCTCTTTTGGCTTTGCAGCCGCATCACCGGCATTCTGCTCTTCCTTGGGGAACGGGACGTGGGGTGAAGGTGTCAGCCATTGGTTGTAGTTGTGGATGGACGACGGCACAACGGCGTTGGAGGCTGACGAGGGTCGTTTGGTACCCTTGTTCTGGACCACGGATTTGTGATCGTGTATCTGTACGATGAGACAGCCGTCGTAGAAGGGTACCTTGCCTTGGACAAAGTAGGGGAGGAGGTCGTGGGGGATCGTGCGGCTCTTCACATGCTCAAGAAAGATCTTCATCGGCGACTTATACTGGAACATGCCATCTTGACCATCGAAGCGGAAGTGTGTCGGATGCATATGGACGACTAGAGAGGGCGGTCGCCCCGAGTTCCTCTTCAATACGTAGGCATCGGTGACGACTATATCGCGAACATATCCATGGTTAGAAATGAAGGCCACTTGTGGATTCGCACTCATTGCGGGAAGAGGAAGGATCATGTGTTACCGTAAGGTGGGGGATCGCAGCTATGGGCAGCCGTATCTGCTGCGAACGACGCCGATCGCAAGCCGGCGCTGTTTCTTGAGTTGCGCCCGGAAGTCTGGTTCAGGGTGTCGCGGCGGACCCGGTTGATGGGCCGCACGGTTGATGCCGTGATGGCCCGGTCGCTGGCGGAGCTGGGCGGCTGCTTCGCGCTCGAGGGCGGCTTGGAGGATGCCATGGACGGCGAGGGCGACGCGGCGAGCGAGGCGGCGCCGTTGGTCTGGATGCCCGGCGGCACAGGGCGCTTCATCTTGGTCGGCACAGGCGGCGGCGGCACCGCAGTGGCCGTGACTGCGGCGGTGGTGACGTTGGTCGGCGCCATCGTGACCCCGGACGCACGACGGCGCGCGTGTTGCGGCTGCTTCTGCTTCTCCCACGCCTGCGGTGCGTGTGTCGCGGCGTCGACGGCAAGCATCTACCTGCGCCGCAATTGCTGAGCTGGCGATGCCCGGCAGACGTCGAGGGCGATGGCTGGCAGAGGCGTGATGCGATGCTCGAGTCGCGGCGCGAGATTAGTGGGCTGTGGAGACGGAATGCTTTCAGCGTGCGTGGATCCGGTCAGAGGGCCGACGGCAGCGGCGCAAGAGCTCGAGATCAGCTGCGGTCCATGGGCAGGCGATGCTGAGGCCGGGCGAGGCGGGTTCTGGCGGGAAACGAGGGTCGGGGGTCGGTTTGGGGATTGCCGGCGTTCGCAGGGAAGCCGTTCTGAGGTGAAGCGATGGTGACCAGACGTTGGATTTCCTGGGTGAGGACGGAGGCTTGCAAGTCACGTGACCCCGCCTCGCTGCCTCTCTTCGCTCCGAGGCTCTTTCTTCTACATAAAGTACCTGTCTACCTCTGGCTTCACTCGAAGCGACACCGCGCGACGTTATTTCCAACAAAAAAATGTTATGGTTTTGACACTCAAAACATTCGGATAGAATCAATAAATACACATCTAGCAAAGAACTTCATTTGTCGTCAGAGTTGCGGGTAGAGCTTCAGAGAGCGGAAATGCTACCCTTCTCGTAGACCAAAACGTCATGATGCCTTAAGTAGTACCTATACATGTACATGGCCTACGCCAAAACTGAAGCAGCAGCAAAGCCATCTCTCACAAAGAGTCAAAAAGGAATACCGAATCTGTATTGTATATGTCTTTCTCCCGCAAACAACCGCAGCGCTAAACAGCACTCTCGGACATGCACCATAAATCAGAACAGTAAATGTATATACAGATAGGCAAAATCAACGTCCTGGTATCTTCCCATCATTAATGTGCTCATACATACCGTGGCAAAAATCGCTCAGACAGCACTTTATTCTCGGCCCTGAACTCTACGGACCCAATCATCATTAACACGCACGCTGTCAACAACAATGATGCCTCGTCCGCGGCCAACACGCTCGGACTTCTGCCACCACCTTTCGGGCTTGTCGGCCTTCTCCGCTTCGGACTCGCTGTCGGCCAGGCCGCCGGATCCATCCTCAGCTCCAACAACCAGCACAATGTCGTGGCGGAACCAAGTCTGCATATTAGCGACGTAGCCGCCATTCTCACCCGCCAGAGATTCCTGCAGGTAGATGATGTCGGGCTGCAGGTGGCGCAGAATGTGGGTATGGCCGTTGGGGGTCGTGAAGGGAAGAATCATGGTCTCCTTGTCCACCAGAGCCAAGGCCTGAGAGTAGACGGCATTGAACAAGGTGTTTTCAGCCGACGCGCCAAGTCTTCACGACGGAAGCATAATCGTCAGCAGAGAATCGTGGTGAATGGTCATGTCAAAAGTGGACTTACACTGGGCTCTTGGCCTCGGGAGTTTGAGCTTGATCATATCCAACGTTAGAGAATGATGAGCTAACCGAAGGAGGCGGGCGATTACTCGTAGCGGCTTCACCCGTGTCTTTCAAGCTAGGTGCGTAGATGAGCACGAAAAGCTTGATGGCAGACAGGTCATTGTGCCGGGGGATGTGGTTCAAGATGGACTGGAGCGCCCAGGTCAGCTGCTGTTGACGAAACACATACAATGATCCAAGCAAAAGGGGGGGGACTCACGGCATGCTCATGAGTAATGTCGTCGTCGTCGTCGGTGAACTGGGAGTCGGCAGATATGACAATGGCGACCGTCTTGCGCTTCTTCTGAACAGGCGCCGGTCCCTTTTCCCTGCGCACCTCTCTGTTCTCGGACCAAGGGTTCGTTTCGGGCTCCGGCCTGTCTTCTTCGCGGATCGAGGCCAGCGCCTTGCCGACCGCAGCCCCGGCGGCAGCAACGCCAGCGGCGACCGTCTTCCCAGTCGAGTCGAGGAAGGTCTGCGGGTTCGACGAAAAGGCGCTCATTCGCGATCCCCATCCCGACGTGCCCTCGGCCGTCTCGGCGCCAACCGCGTAGCTGCCATCGCGCTGCTGCTGCTCCGGCGGCGCCATCCTGTGCCTCTCCGCCGAGGCGCCGTACGCGGGATTCTCCCCATAGTCGGCGTGCTCATAGTCCAGGTCGGGCTCGGGCTCAGCGTGGTCCTCGGCGCTCTCCTTGCGCTGGCTCCAGACCCAGGCGGCGAGACCGGCCGTGGCCACGGTCAGGGTGATGGCAAGCGGCACCCAGTGGCTCCAGACGCCTCGCCGCGAGCGGGAGGAGCCGTGATTGTCGTAAGGAGGCGACATTTAGTCGGAATAGCGTGGCATTGCTTTGCAAGCTGGAGTCTGAGCTATGTTGCTATTGCGATTACGGTTGCGGTTGCGGTTGCGATGCTGGCTCGAGCGCCCAATTCCCAGGGGCAATTCCGCGGAGCAATGAAGGTGCTGCAAGGCGGCTGCACGATGGCTGCGGACCTGGACGGTGATGGCAGCAGTTCGTATCTGGAGATTGGACAGACACGAACGTGTAAGTGCTGGGTGGGGAGACAGCAGCTGAGCCCGGCCAAGGTGACCTTAAAGGTGTGTCGCAACAAGTCGGTGGCTGGGGGTCCTTCAGCTTGCCTCATGTCAACAGTGTGGAGATTGTTCCCAGCAACGCGCCACGCTTCCGAGGCTTACCTGCTTACCTGCTTACCTCTGCCTAAGGTACAGTAGCTGCGGCGGTGGAGCAATGTAAATCCCGCGCCACCGAGGCTGCGTGCACGTGAAACCCGCGCCGTGATTGGCTCACATCCATCGCCTCGTATTGAGTATGCACTGACACTACTGTGGCTGGTAGACCTGCGCCACAGCTGCTGTTTTCTCAGCCTTGTGGGAAATGGTAGGTACTGGGCAGCAGTTATTATGACTCTTCAAGCCCGCAAGTGGGGGATTTGAAGATATTCACAACCCTTGCCAAATCTCACCTCAAGGCCGCCAGCTGGCTTCTCATTCTGCCCTTCTTTGGCGGGCCATTTCTCAGAGTCTCGAACCAGTGTAATAGTCCGAGCCATCACATCGCCATAGGCCTTCATCTGCTCGAACTCTTCGTCACAGAAGCAGACACCCCGCCACGATGCCTCACGCCTTGTCGATGGCCTCGACTGGCCTTCAAGCCCTCATCCTCTGCGGGCCGGGCTCGTCATTTCCGACCTTCACTTCCAACCCCGATGAGAACCCAAAGGCGCTGCTGCCCATTGCCAACCGGCCCATGGTGTGGTACCCCATTGACTTTTGTCTCCGAACCGGCATCACAAGTAAGGAGCTTTTCTCTACCTGCTCCGGCAGCCATTCGTCTTGTTCTCCTTGAGCTTTGGCTCATGCATTGCTCGTCTGTAATCTGCGTTTCTCATACCGCATTCTTCTATTCATCCGCCAGTCTCAAGTCATTCTGGCTACGACATCATGATCAAGACGCATGAAGTAAAGGTCCTCATCGATGAGACATTGGCTGACAACATCCAGGCATAACCCTCATCTGTCCTCCATCAGCCTCAAAAGCCCTGACAGCCGCCCTCAACACCAACCCCTATCTCACGGCCTTGCCGCTGCCACGGCCCGATGTCTTGGCCCCAGCTGACCTGGACCAAAACACGGGCACCGCCGAGATACTGCGACTTCCCGAGGTCAGAGAGCTCGTCACCGGCGACTTCATTGTCTTGCCGTGCGATCTCGTCTCCGAGCTCGCCGGTGAGCAGCTGCTCCAGGCTTGGATGGTCAAGTCCGCCAGCCTCACCGGCCTCCTCGGGGCGAAGCAGCTCTCCAACGGCCACCAGACCAAATACAGCGGCGGTCTCGGCGTGTGGTACAACACGAAAGCCAGTGCTCCCGTCAAGGGCGAGGAGACGGATTTCATCGCCACGGCCCCTTTACCCACCTCTTCCACTGCTCCTCCCAAGGGATCAATCTTCCAGAACTTGTCAAAGCTGGTGTACTCCATGCCCACCGATTCCTTCAACGACCTCACGGAAGAGAGGAAAGCCATCCCGATCCGCCACGGTCTGGTCAAGGCCAACCCCCGGGTGCGCATGTACACAACCCACAGGGACGCTCACATTTACATTTTCCCCCGATGGGTCCTGGATTTCATCAAGAAGAACGAGCGACTGGAGAGCATCGGCGAAGACGTCGTGGGCTGGTGGGCCAAGGCCGGCTGGCAAACCGGGCTGGCGGACAAGCTCTCGTTTGGCGAGGTCTGTCGCAGCGGCGGTGACGAGGACGAGGACGGGTCTGAGCTGGAAGGCCGCTCATCGCCCGCCGAATCCGCGCCCGGAAACCAAGAGAACGCGAGGGACGCCGTTTCGTCCATCAACATTGCCAAGGACGGGCAGTACACGGGCGATAAGAACAGCTCAGCAGCAACGGGCTCCAAGTTTGAGCCTCCGTCTATCCTGGCCTACATTCACTCTCAAAAGGACCAAGCCACCGGCTCAATACTGCGCCGCGTCGATACCGCACAGCTGCTGCTCGCCATTTCCCTTCAGCTCGCCAAGCTCCCCTCCATCGAGGAGGATCCCGAGAACCCCTCGCCCTTTGCTCACCCCAAGAAGGTCGCGTACCCCGAAGGCGTCAAGCCCCGCACCACCATCACCAAGCAGGACAGCCTGATTGCGGAGAACGTCACCGTCGAGGAGAAGACGTCCATCAAGGAGACGGTCGTTGGTGCGGGCTGCCAGATCAACGAAGGAGCCAAGCTGTCTCAGTGTCTTTTGATGGAAGGCGTGGTTGTCGGAAAGGGATGCAAGCTCACGAGGTGTATCCTCGGCAAGCGGTGCATCATTGGAGCAGGTTCCGTTCTTACAGACTGTGAGGTACAAGAGAACCTCATCGTCGAGCCTCGCAGTAAGTTTTCGCCCTCTCTCTCTCTCTCTCTCTCTTCGAAGTATCACCCAATTTGTTATCTGCGGTTTACTAATGATAATGTCGTCGTTTAGCCGAGGACAAGGACAACAAACTCATGAGCTCCGAGGGCCTCGAGGCTACTGAGGCGGAAATGGAGGAGGTGTTGCAGGAAATGGAGGACGAAGTCGCCGCCACGGGAGAGGATGTAGACATGGAATAGTTGATTCAGAACTTGAATAGAAAACAAGTAAAATGGTTTCACATCACCGTGGAATCCACGCATGTCGTGCTCGATATGGGCAGTTCTATGAGAATGCAGTGAAGTTGAAGCTCCTTAACTAATCCACCCTATCACTCACTATTCTCATCTCCTCTCAACATTCACAGCTTCTGTCGACAGCATCCACGCAAACAACTACAACAAGATAACATCGACGTCTGCCATTCACAGCCATGTCACACACCCGCCAACTCAAATCCATTCCCCTACCCTACACTCAACACCAAAAATCCCGACAAATCTCCTCTCTATCACATATCGCAAAACCTCACTGAGACATGCATTCCCCCCCCGAACCAGAACCTAGCCCAAATCCAACCCTCAAGCGCCCAAATCACACCACTCTCAGACAAAAAATTGCCTGATTGCCGTCACCCAGTCCAGCTGAAAAAAAAAAAAAAAAAGCAGGTCAAAAAAACAAGGCAGATCTGCCTTGTGTCATGTTGAACCATCTCTAAACGGTCGCGCATACTAGCATCGGATTTGTGACAAGCGAGCGCATTGTTGCCGTTTCTTTTGGGAAGCTCAAGAGAAAATCTGACATCTTGACGTCGCCTTGTGTAGATCTTTTGTGTGTGTGTGAGTGTGTGAATGCATGATATCTTGGGCCAATCGCGGAGGTTGCCTGGCAGACTACTACATACTACAACGACGACCGTCTCCTCACTTGTTCTGATCTGCCCCGTCGGACCTTGTGTGAATAGCTTCAAGCCACCGATATACCAGATGATCACCTTTTGGGAAAATCCAGCATATGGCACTGCAAGGGACGCATCGCCAAATTGTCCACTATCGTCGGTCTTATTCGTCGTTATGACCGTCTAATGAGCAGCTCAAGTCTCGCGCCTCGTGGCCCCTTTTCCATCTCTCCTCAATATACTAACACGTATGTATTTCAACCAGCTTGCGGCTAAAAGCAACAAGCGCGAGACGCCAAATCCCCATGACATTCTCGCAAGGGATGAGTTCTTGGCATAGACGCGCTTCTCACATCCCCATCATCTTCTCTCAAAGCTGCATGCCATGTCAGTCCTAGTAGTAGAGGAAGCGACGTGATGTGAAACCGTCTTTGTCTGGAACACTAGCACATCATCCCAAAAGAGAGCATACTGTATGCCATGTCGACTGCGGAGAGAAGATTGCGAGGCTTTACCCCCCATTCCTCCCCACCAGGGGACCACACCAAGATCCAAGGCATGGGGACCCCAGAGCCTCTTTTGGGGCGATCATTGCTTGCAGCCCCCCCTTGGCAATGGCGTCTGCCTCGTGCTAGGCGCTCATCCCTGAATCAACCAATCAACCGGCCCCGGCATGGATCTTCCCATCTGCCCCGATGCTAGTAGAGCTGAACAAACAAGCAACGCTGGGCACGATATCAAGTCTGTCAGATATCAACTCCAGGCGGAGATACAGTAATATGCAGCCCAGAGGAACGACTTGCGGCTAGGTATGCGGTGACCCTGGGCAGTCGTAGTCAGTCGCCGCATGTTCAGAAGCTAGGCCATCACTCTTCTGGGAGCGCATGGGCAGAGAGCCGTATAATGTTAGCAGACAACAGCAAAAGGTCATGAGTGCTCGCTTCTCCATACCAAATACCGAGGACATGGCACCCAGATGGCCTTGAAAAATCCAGTACCGTGTTCTCGGCTCCCTCCGCTGGGCGCTCTGCCGTCCCCGGATCAGATATTGATAGCCCAGGCTCCAGGCTCCACGCTCGGACCCAACACTTGGAGCCAAGCTACCACGATGCCCAAAGGAAATGAAGTGCCCTCCAGGACCAACGACACACCACGAGGTGGTAGTGACGACACTAAGGCACGGGCTTCGTAAGAGGGATAGGCCGATCAGATAGCCACCGGACGCATCATAGGGTGAAAAGGACAACCAAATTGTCACCGTTCTAGCGGGCACACCCGTATGCACCTCTCTGATATTGCCTCCCCGAGGTCGCCGAATGTGTCTGGGCTGGGGGCAACCTACCGCAAGTGGCAATGCCTAATATGTTACACCCCCCTCAAGCCTTGGTGCGCGTGCTCGCATCGCTCCACAAGCTTCTCGCGGAACCGCTTTGACCATGACTCCACATCGTATGCCAGAAGATACATTTGTGCTCGCCAGAGAGGCTCCAAATCACGCCCAGGGACCACAAGCGATGCCCTCGGAGAAGCTGGAACTGCGTGGTTGATTCTACAGTGAATCGGGGTCCCTCATAGTGCGCTCTGGGGAGCCAATCGAAGGGACCTTGTCAAATCTAGGTCCAGGCAGGGTATTGCCAGCTACCAGGTTTTCCACCCCAGTCACGTCAAGGCATTGAAGCATCCCATCAAGACAGAGATGCCGATGAACCGCCCGAAGTAGCGGGGACACATCATGGAGAACCCATTCGGGCGGATATTGCAAGGTACCAGTAGAAGCATGGCGGGACAAGGCGAAGAGGGACGGTCCGTATGGTGCGTTTCGAACGCATGCAAAGTCGGTATCTGAGAACTCGCGTTGGCGGGACGTAGGTAGTCGAACAGAACCCAACGCAGTGGTCTACGGCCCAACAAATGGTGGAGAGGGCCGAGCTTGGTGGCCATCTCGAGAGAAGTGTCCGTCGCCGGGGAAAGCAGCCCGGATCGAATGCCGGCGGGCCCTAAGTTCTCCGCGGTGAAGAGGGCGAAGGAGCGGGCCGGGTCGCAAGGGCGAGAGAGAGGCTCGAGCGGGGGAAACCAAGGCGACCTCGGTTGACCACTCCTGGCCTAATAGAAGTAGCGTGGCACTGCTCTTGTCCGTGACGGCCGGTGATGCGGCTCAACCAACCAAGCGAGAAGGGTAGTCGCTTGGCCCCCTATGCATCCAAGGTAATGGAAATGATCAGTGGCCCGTCCGTCAGCACAGACTCAGCTCTGCTAGTCCAGTTTGAGTAGATGCCAATATCTGGGCTGATGCATCTTCAGCTAACAGCCGGAGACTGGCCTCCATGCCTTGTTGCCTAGGCACACCCTCTGGAGAGGATGACAGAGCATTGACCAGCTGTGGCATATTGACCCTTGGCATGCTTTCCCGTAAAATATTCTTCCTTGAATGGCTGCGTTTTCTGTTGAGTAAATCCGCATAGGTCGACAGATAATAGTTCGATATGACGAATCATATTATACATCGCCCCCAGGATCCTTTGCCTGAGCTTGAGTGATATCCGAAAAGACCCAATGCCGAACAGCGAGACTAACATCGGGCTGAAGCTCCATGTCGGTATGCAGCTTCTCTAGTTTGCCCAGTCCCCTTCCTGGTATGGAGGGGAAGAAGGTGCGACAACAACGACCCCGGGTGAGTATAAGATGCGCGAAAGAGAAAACAAGTGGTTGAATGCGATGAGGACAGCAAGCGGAGAAATACGAGTCATGATGGGGGAAAAAGAAAAGAAAGAACGTCTCATGATATACTACAACTGAAGGCGGAGGGTCCGATTGCAGGGTAAACCGTTACAGTCTTTGGGGGGTCCGATATGCAAAGAGAGCTGAATCTCACCCATGCGGGCAGTGGGGGCTTCGCCTGGTAGGGATTTCGGAGCTGTGTGCCTGGATACTGAATCTGTATAAGTGCCGCAACCGGCGATGGTTGCGAGGCCAATCAATTCGCTGGTCGTCAATTCATCTTTGGCTTGTCGGCCTGGTGGTGATCCATGCAGAGGCTAGGCATATGACCTGTCGATTTCTCCGGGGTGGGCCACCCACAATCTGGCCTCTGTCATGAGGATGACGAGGCAAGATTTACAGAGCGTGCATGCTCCAGCTCACTTCACCCTTTCTTGCCAGATAGGAAAACTGATGCAGTAGTGGATTAGCCGTCTCTGAAAACGCATGGTTGATGGTGTGTGAGCATGCTCTTGGCGGTCACACCGATGCTGCATGACCAAGACAACCCCCAGCACCAGAACGCATGACAGCTGTCGAAATCCCCCCCCCCCCCCCCCCCCCCAAGAGGACCGAGAAACCGACAGGCCGGTCATCCACGCTGCCGTGTTACCAGTAATCGCCGGCCAACGGCTTCCCAGCTGTTTGGGAGAGGGTGTTGATGTAATCGTTGGGTAGTACATGATGATGTGCTACACCTGGTTTCGAGTCCGTTTCAACCGGCGCCTGAGAGCTCCGGTAAGGTCGCCTCACTGGTGCAAGACGATTCCAGATAGGGCGATTTCAAATCACATAGGGAATAGCAGCGGGAGGTTTCGTCCTCTTTTGCCTTGGGCTAAGCTGCCATTTGATGGTAGCTTATTGGCGAGAATACGACACCCGCGAACATCAATCTCGCGGGAGGTCTTGGCCGGATCAAGCTATAGCTAGCTAGGTAGTGGCATAGCGGCTGCCGCTTCGTAACAGGTCGGGTCAGCGGCTGTTGGGTCATTCATCCAGGTATTTCAGCACTATTGGGGATCCGGATGACGGACGGAACGCTTCGGTGCTCGAGCCGGCGTGAAGCAGAGTGCGTAGCCTACTGCCTCCGAATCAAGGCATGCCCTTTTGGTAAAGGCCGTCGTTGTTTAGCAACGCCGCATCTGCGGGAATGCGGGAGTAGTTGTGGTCCGGCACTGATGCCATCTCCCACTGGTGATTTGTGCCGCGGCTCACTTAGACGGCGCCACCCATTTAACGCGGCCGCAAAACGGAATGCCGCATCAAAGCGAACTGGCTACTGCACATGCTACACCCGCTGCAGTTAGCATACACAGGCGGTCAATGATCCGTTGCAGGACATACTTGTACATGTCAGTCGAAGCAAGCGGCTTTCAGGCGGCGCGGCGGTGGCAATGAGGGTTGTGGCGGGAGTTGAACCGGGCAGCCCTCCGGAAGGTGGCGGCCCTTGCTCAGCGTCGAGCTACGAGCGAAGATCCATGTCCCTGGAGACAGTGAGAGAGAGCCTCACTGAATGCTCCGTAGCCACTATCGCTTTTGTTTGTTAGACGAAGCACAATTTCGTATCAGCTAGATAGACGTGGTAGTCGTAGTGGTAAACCCGCCATAATCAGCTCCGACGAGTGTTATGGCCGGCGCGGCGAATTGCAATCGCTCAGAGTAGGGGTAACTTGCATGGCGACGGGCTCGTCCTAAGAGCTGTCGGCCGGGTTTGGACTGACAGAAGTGACAGATCAGAGAATCAGGATGGTTCAGTTCTGGAGTGGTTTCCGCATGGCTCCCAAAGCGAACGCGTGGCTCGGTTGTGCCTCCTCCACAAGTGTTCACCCGAGGATCAGAAATCTTTAAGGCAATCAGAACTCGCACGGGCGAACTGTTGCACATCTCCGTGGAACAGAACACTTCGAAGATTCAGACGGAGCTTCCTGTCCCTGATCAGACATTGTGCCTTGAAGGGGGAAATCCACGGCGTTAATGGGCTGATAATCGACGAAGGGAACGGACGGCTTCCCTGCGTCTTGCCCGGGGCATCAGCACTCAACCTCGTGCGCGCGTGTACCTTGTACCCGTTGACTGACGCACATTGACTCGACACTGGCCTTGATGTCAAACATAGGATATTACGTTGCTCAGGTCGTAAGCCAGGGAGACGCCGTGCGGCGAATCAGCGAGGCCACGATCCCAGACAGCAGACGTCTCTCCCTTGAAGACGAATGGGGCGGGAGCCGATCGTGTGTGGCCTGCGAGGCCGTCAGAGACTGTATCTGCATTAGCCTTGCGGTGACGGTCTTGGCTCACATGCAACCGCGCCGTCTGAGCGTTTCTGCGCTCCGTCCAGGATCGAAAGGCAGGGCGAGTGAGGTCTGGCGATATGAGCACTGGGCCAACGAGGCAAGGCAAGGCAAGGCTAAGTCTACCTTACCTACTGAGGTACCTGAGGTCCAGTATCTTAGAAGGTAGGACTAAGGCAGCTAGCTGGTGCGCATATCGGGGTGTGGATAAGTCCGTCCCCCGATAACCGCATACATGCACATGTAGGTATGCGCAACGCCGTGACACCCCGCCTAGCCGCACAATCTCCAGGTTTCTCCCGCTCCCCAGGCATTTCGTCCCCTGACGTTACACAGCCTCACCGATTTGCCAATGACATCACGTTTGATTACCAGGTTGCATTGTCCCCCCGATTCTTGCAGACCACCAGTCATCTTCCGAAGCGCGACCCAGCTTGGGCAACCGACCATGTGAAGCTGGCAGCTGAGCTGGCCTGGGCAAGCTCGGCGGAAGGCTGCCCCTGGTCCGCCCGTCCCCTCGCTGTACGTTGCCTCGGCCCTAAGATGAATAGATCGGTTCGTCATGAGCTAATCGCCAGCCCGCTCAGGGACCCGTGGACTCTATTGCTAGTGGATGGATCGAGCGTGGCCGGCTTCTGAGAGGGGCGACAGCCGGGCAAAGGAGCTGGGGCCAACTGGTACCTGAGCGACGACGGCGTCAAAGAGTGGACGCTGGCCTACCTTTCTGGCCTGCGACTCTACCCTTTCTACCCTGATGACGAGGGCTGGTTGTGTGAGACCTGCGCGCCAAGCGCCAAACTCTACAGAGCTATCCATATGCGGCTTTTTGCTGTGTTCCCTGATCTGATTCTGCCGCACGCTCTCCAGCCGTTCGTACGTCGATGAGAGACAGGTTTGGTCTCGATATGGCGTGGCTGTTGAACTGCCGCTCGGAACCCTGGATGGGCGGGTTTGTCTGGGCGTCTCAGCCATCAGATCATATCTTCCAGCAGCAGTCTTGTCGAATCACTTTTTTGAGCATCCGAGCTAGTGGCGAGGGCGCATGCCAAAGGGAATCACGCGAATGAGAGAGGGGAAAGACAATTATGGACAGAGCAGAGACTCTTGGGTTTGCCATCTTGTCAGTGCTGCCCGAAAGAGAGAGCCGCAGTCACTTTCTTCCCAACTGACACACGCGGTCTGGTTCTTCGATGCCCTAAACGGCAAGACTTTGACTTGAACTCTATTGGCTGTCAAACTAACCTGGGCCTCTTCTGCCTGCTCGCTCACTGATACGGCAGTTGTCTCACTCACTCACATACGGAGCTCGAGAGAGATTATGGCCTTTGATGCCCACATTCCATCATGTCTGCGTTCCACTGCAATTCCACTAGAGGCTCAGACCACTGCCGATTAGAGTGGAGTGGTTTGTGCAGACGATTCACCTTCATTTGGGGACTATCTGGAGTCGGCACAGTGATGGAGAGCAGCACAGCGGAGAGAACTCTCCTTCCACGATGTGGGCGCTCACACGCTGTCCCTGCGTCAGAAACCTCACACCTATGTACTTCGCACGAAGACGTCGATTTTGATCTGGGGTCAAGTTTGTCAAACAGAGCTGTGTCGACTTTGCCTGTGCTCCATGATCAGGGCATCGTCAGTTGATTCACGCAACAGGATTATCTGACGGACATAAGGCACTGCCCACGACAAGTACATACCGTCAAAGTACAAAGCACCTACAGGCATGTGCAAAGCCCGATGGCGAGAGATTCGGCCAAGCTGTCATTGGTCGATCATCATGCAGCGGTACCCCAGCAGCCAACCGGGGACATCCGATCTTCCTAGCGAACAGGGGGACCCTGCTAGCCAGAGCGGTACTATTGGTCTCGATACTTTTTACAGAAGGGCGTATCTTACGAAATACTGCCTACTGCTCCTGCTACGGAGTGTTGCTGGTAACACACTGCTCATCGCAGGCCGAGGAACTGGAGCCGCTTCAAAGGAGCCATGGGACACCATCGTGGCTGTCACTTTTGCTTTTGCGCTTCGGGGGGTCGTTGGGCTGGCGTCGAGCTTTCAGCCAGTCGGCTCAGGGCCTTGTACAAGTAGGTTGGCCTCTCTTCTTGGCCGTGAGATTTCATTCTTCTTGATCCCTGTATCCAGGCCGCAGAAACGGCCGGCATATCCAGTTATCGAGCCGCTGGCTCCACGTAACTACACCAGCTCTGCGCGTGTTCGGATTTTATGCGCGTCCAGGTCCTACGGGGATCGCATCCATATTTGTTCTTTCTGCTGCCGCTTCATCAGGTATTATCTGGCAGCCTGGTGCGGTACGCCCTCCAGCCTCCAGCAGGCCCTGCCTTGACCCGTCTCCCAACATCAGGAATACCTGGACAGGGCGCCCGTGCCAAGCGGTACGCCCCCCCACAACCGAAGCCACGATACATGGTCTGAGAGATTGCGCTACGCATGGCAAGATGAGTGGCCATCCACACATCCATGAAGCAGCTCCTGTCTGTCGTTTCTTTTGTTCTTGAGTCTACTACTACTACTACTGAGGAGGTAGTACTGCAGCTGCCCATACAAGCTCGCTGCAGTAGCGAGTAGCTAGGGCAGTTTGGACGCCCCCTTTCCCCCTGTATCCCTTTGCACACACCACACCCCCCAATCCCAGTCTTGTGCGGATAAGGGTCGAGATGGACAAAACATCACCGACGACGAAGTATACCGGCGATAAAGGTCCTTGATTCGCCCTCGCCTGACTCGTCCTGAACCCACCCCCCTCCTCGATCTCGATATCCGATCTATCGAGCTATCCTTGACCTTTGCAACGCATCCACAATTTCTTTGGGCTGTCTCGGTGGCTCTGTGACTTCGTGCTAAACCTCTTTTCCCCAGGGATTGATCTGCAGGCTGGCCTGTCTCAGGCCTGCTAAGAGCGTCCCCAAAGCCCATTCCAAAGGCGATGGTATATCTTCACTCGTCCGCCCTCGACGAATATCTCAGCATTCCCGATCAGAATTCCCAATCCTCCCCCAAGTCCTTGTACGCTCAATCTTTTCTTCCCTGCTGTTGTGGTCCATCTGCTTTTGCTTGGAGTACACTCTTCGAATATTGAAGGGTCTTCCAACTTACACTCCTTCAACATCTCAAGAGAATAAAGGGTATTCCCCTAGATCGAACTATCATCAGCACATCGACATTGAAGCTGGCAGTTTCCCAACTACCATACTTTCTTTTCACGAGGGCCACTTGACCTCCTTGCTACAGCTCTCTGCCCTTGTCTTTCGTTTTCTCTTCTCACTCGTTTTACCTCGCCACTCCCCGGTAGCCAAAATGCAGCACGCCGAGCCAGAGTACCGGTTCATGGATGATGGCCTCACTTTGGCCATACCATGCCCTACAACCAGCTTCTCTTCGGCTTCATCTAATTCATCTTCACCGTACGAGGTCTTCACACCCATTTCTCGTCGTTCAACGCCTAACAATCTCAGGCTGGACTTTGACGGCTACCAGTCATATGGAGGTCACGGAGACCTCACACCGCCTTCGGCGATGCATAAGTACATGTTTGGTCCCGTGAAAGCGGAGCACGGCACTCTTCCCCCTTCAACACCACTGATGAGGAAAATGAGCGACGGCATGCCCTACGACCACATCCTCGACATGAACAACATGACCACACACTCACTGGGCTCCCTCACTCCTTCGGGCTCTCTACCTGTTTACCCTGGTGCCTCTTTGCCACATTCCCCCTACAGCATTTCTCCCACACACAGCATCTCCCCCTCCGAGATGGGAGACAATGCGTCGTCGTGGTGCAACAACAACAGCCCCATCTTTTCCCTGGGACAGAAGGTGCACTCTCCCCAAGATGTCGAGTCTCTGGAGCTTGGGTACTCCCACTCCCACTCCCACTCCCCGATGAGACAATACTACCTTCACAGACTCCCGCCGACTCCCAACAGGTTGTCGGCTCAGAGGGAGGCCATGATCCGCGAGGCACGTCTCAAGACGACGGAGCTTCACAGCCAGATGAAGGTCCCGCGAAGGGTGCCCGACAAGCACGACAGCTCATACGACGTGGTACGCAAGGCCATGTGCAAGTGTGACTACCCCGGCTGCCAGAAGGCCTTCAGGAGGAATGAGCACTTGAAGCGTCACAAGCAAACGTGAGTATTGCCTCGAACGTCTACAAAGTCCCAGACCGTACGAACGAATTGCTAACGCGTCTTATTAGGTTCCACGGCGAGGGCCCCAACCGATTCTCCTGCGAGTTCTGCGGCAAGGACCAGTTCAACCGTCAAGACAACCTCAACAACCACCGCAAACTACATGCTCGCCCCAACAGCCGCAACCGCGGGGTGGAATTCATCCCAGCTGCGGTGCCTGTCATCGAGCAAGAGGAGCGAAGCCGCAAGAGGCGGGCGCCTCCCAAGTCGAGACTGACCGCAGGAGGAGCGCCAGCGCCCGAGAAGCGATCAGACAGCTACTGAGGGCATCGCCTATCCCTGCCAACCTGAATCGGTCAGACTGACTTGGCGTCATCTACCCAGTCCATGCCTATATCCCAGTCCATTCGTCCATCTGTCAGTGGGGCCTCAGCAAGCCACACCCGATAGACGCCGAGGCGTCGGGAATGACTTGGGCCGTGACTGGCTTGCAGCAAAGCATCGGATGGCAGCAACAGGATTTTCCTTTTATCATTTCTTTCTCTTTTCGCACTCATGCATTGGGTTGAACCGTCTTTGCCCCATGGAACCAACTCTTTTCCCATTGGTTCGTTCTGATCGAAAACATTCTGGCTTGTAGGCCGCTGCCCAAGCCAGACTCTTCTTTGTCTATCCTTGAACCCAAGCCCGTCACGCATACACACAACAACGCACACACTCGGGCCGCGGTCAACGTCGACCCCCCCTCAAAAAAAAAATCACAAAAGCACCATCATTCAACACAGGCATCTACGGGAACCTACTCCATTAATTTCTTTTATCACCTCTTTATTTTTTATGGTGGGAGCGGAGGACATGGGATGAGGGAAGAATACTGGCGCCCTTTGTGTGGATTTTTACGAAGTCTTGATATCCAAGGTGGGAGTGACTGGATACGTACATGGTCATGCTTTGTTTCCCTTTCTTTCTTTTTGTTGGTTTCTTCCATTTCTTTCACCTTCTACGGTGTTCTGAGTTGTCTTCCTTGCCTCTCTGGACCCCTGCCCAAGGCACGCCCAGTGGCAGTTGCCGCCGGCCCCCAACTATTTCATCATCTATTATTATTTTCCGCCTGGCTGCATGCATGCCTGGGCGGGCCGCCTTTCAGCTGTTGCTGTGGCCGGGGGATGATGGATGATTACGTTTTCATTTTTTTCACCGATGCCACAAGATATACGAGACGGTATTATGGCACCTGTGACGGACTGAGGATATGCAAAAGGAAAAAAAAAAAGAAACACCAAGGTGTATAACGGCATACACACTTGGCAATGTATAATATAGGTAGTCTTATGTGACGAAAAGAAACTTTGATCTGCATAATCTATCTGTGCTTCTTCATGTGCCTGGGCTTGCTCTATCTGGTTCTCACCGCTCTTGAATGGCTGATGCAAAGTTGTCTCTTGTAAGTGTTGGCAAATCCTGTTTAAATTAACTGCATGCAAGTCTAAGGGGAATGGCAACCCGTGGTTGGCTGCTCTACTTGATGAGGCTGCCTGGACTAAGGCAGAGAGATAGTGTGCGTGTGTATGTAAGTCTGTACTTTTTTGATGCGTTTTGAAGGTGGGATGAAATTTCCATGATCCACTTCCAGCATGTCAGTAATACCTACTTGTACAAGGAATAATTGTAGCTGCCCAAGAGAAAAAAGCGGTTCGAGGCAGGGGTGCGGCGGCGGAGATGCCCATCTGTCCCCTGTCCTTGTCTTCTACCATACTATAATATGCATGTACTACATTACTACTCGTACGGCCTCAGCCCAAGTATGTCCGTTCGAAGCAAAAGAAAAAAAAAAAAAGGAAGAGGCGGCTGAGAAACTACGTGCAAATAGTAGTGGGTGGTGGCGGGACAGAAAGGTGGATTTAGGAGAGAGAGAGCCCAGGACCACTCACAGACATTGACAAAGGCGAGAAGGGGAGGGAGGGGGCGACAAGAAAAAGAGACGCATAGATAGACAGAGACATTTGACACGGGATCTTAGGAGGGAGGGAGGGAAGAAGAGAAGAGAAGAGGCCGGGTGTGAAGACGACGAAATTCACGGAGGACTCTCGGCGAGCGGTGCGACGAGACTTGTCTAGAACCTGCAGCAGCATTGCAGAAATGGCTTTTTTTTTTGTCTCTTCTTTTATTTTTTGTTTCTTTCTTATTTTTCCCCTGTCTCTCTACTAGTAATAGAAGAGGTGATGTTGTGTACTTCGTAGTATCTCTCACGCATTTCACTGGAGTCTTCTGTTGGCTTTGGAATGGGGGGCGTAAAAATAGAGAGGCAAGAAACTAACTATACAGAGGTACAGCACAACTACCTAGTAGAGAAAGACTGCAGCTGGGCTCTCACCGGTTCGACATGGGTGAGGATCGATGCTGGGATTCCTGCGCGCCACTACTGTATGTAGGTAGGTATGCATATATGTACTGTCCGCAACAGGGGGGGTCCATTCTACTACTACCTTATTACGCAGTAACGAGAAAAAAAGCATCTACTTGTACATACTGGGGGAATTGGCAGAGGTGCCTTTGGGCAGAGGTGCTAAAGCGTAGATCCTTGATCCCTTGCTGGTCCAATTTTCTTAGTAGTAGTTGTGCTTTTTCACCTTTCTCGGCATCTGCCAGGATGTTTCCGCAGGGGAATTCTCTTACTTTGTTTCCGTCCTAGATCTGGCCAAACTGGGTAATAGTTCTGCTCCATGATATGTACTAGTATACTGTAGTCACTAAGAGGGGGGCGTGTGGGTTCAAGGGAAGGGACAAGACTGAGGGGAGAGGCGTGCAAAGAAGCGTGGGAGGATACTACTCTCAATTATAGAGGGGAGGCCAGGAGGCGGAGCGAATGGGAAGCTGTGGCAATGTGCTGGCAGGATTGATACCAAAAATCGAGGTACACATGCATTTCTTTTCTTTGCTTGGTGCAATTCTCGTGTGTCTTGGATAATGAGGAGACCTCTGAATCTACTACCGTATTGAGTCTGAGCCGCGCGCGACTCGCTTTGGAGTTTGCGCGCCTTGGAGGGAGGAATGTCAAGTAGGGCGACTGAACGGACGAGGGGTGGGGCAGAACAAGAGAGGACGAGACAAAAACTCATCTAACACGCGATTTTCTTCAATCGATCCTCCCTCTTTTCTTCTCTCCTTCGATCGTTTGCATGATGACTTCAGGAGGTTTAATGAGATGGGTTTGAACAAAGACCTAGTAGCTAGCTGAGCGTTGCCTCCCCCCCCTCCCCCCATTTGTCTTTGCGGCTTATTCCGCTTGCTCAGTATGTACCATGGGGTGCGCAAAGTGAAAAGACAGACGTGGCAAGGACCCCGAGAAAGAAAAAAGCAATCAATATACTAGAGTAATCGCCGGATTGGCTGCTGGCATTGCTGATGTGTCTATGCGGTCCCCACGCATGGCAATTGTTGACCGGAAAGCCAGAAATCCCATCATGCTCCTTTCTCCCCCCTCTCAGCCCCCGGAAAGGCGTGCTGTCATTATGTTATTTGGCCGATGGGCTGCATTTGGCTAAGATGCAGGCCACGTAGAACTGTATGGGTACCCATGGACCCCTTCTTAGCACGAGCATTAGGTGACGCGAGGGGGGGCGAGGCAAACGGGCGCGTGGTAAGATGGGGAGAGAGAAAGATGAGAGAGGATAGAGAGAGAGAGAGAGAGAGCCCTGAGAAAAAAAGGGGATCGCCGGTGCGTCCATCGTGCAGAGGTAGTGCGCCGCCTCTTCTTTATCCCACATCCGTCTCAGTTGAGCAGGGTAGCATTGGGGATGTGACAACGGGCAAGGGCAGCAGTCTGAGGGCAGATCATCAAGCCGAAGGCCGAACATTTCGATGTGTACAAACAGCCAAGTATCTTTATGTGACCTCTCACACCAAGTCTCAAACATGGATGCACATAGACTGGGTCGTTTCATGTCTGGGGGATGGGCATGTGTGCTTGTGCGCTGGTCAACATGTGCTCAGCTGCCTTGTGCACTTATTCGTGCATATGCATGTGTGCACAACCTTTTTTTGCTGCTTCAACCAACGGTCTGCGAGGGGGCGATGTTGATGAATGGGGGATCATCACCGAACAAGATGCTAGAAAATTCGCCCGCACCGGTTCCATGGATATGCTCCTTTTGTTTGGATCTGTGCGATGGCGGCAACGGGACGCTGCGTAGCCGGGGCGTCGGGTCGGGCTGTGCTTTACTCTATGCATTTGTTGAGTGGGAATGAACGGTATGTATCAGTAGCAGGATGGTCCGAGCTGTCAGGGCGGGCGCTATCGGGGACGCGATGCTTCGGACTTGATTCCAATCTCTGTTAGTTCTCCCATTGAGTGGTTGCGACCGCTTGCTGGTGGGTAAGCTGTTCGGGATGTGATAGCACCACGGCCCTGACCGTTATCCTTCGAGCTCTGTCCAGCAGGATTGGCTCCAACTGATCCGCTCGGAAGACGGCTTGAGGCATCTGAAACGATGACCTGGCGACTTCTTAGCGATGTTAGCTCTCTCTTCCTCTCTCTCTCTGTTGGAAAGCCGGGATGCGTGCGTCCCGTGCCGCTGGATTGTCGGGACAGGCCCAACGCTGGAGCACATTCCACATTCCTCATTGCGGCCCATCCAGCCGCCGCCTGTTGCACAAAGCCCGAAAGGCCAAGCGTACCTTGAGCTCGTCATGTTGTACAAAGTAATTAACTGCATGGCCACGCACGCAGACGGGCTGACTGGGACCGCGGGCATGGGCTGGCTGGCTTGCTTGCCGCCGGCCCGCGTGACGCACATGGAGGCGTCCGTACCCAAAGCCCCGAGCTGGGATCTGTGCCTGAGTCGTGTAACGTGGGCGATTCAATGTTGTCACTGTATGTCCGGACTTCCTGGGCTGGCTTCTTAGGCATGCTCTGCATTGAGCCGCCCGGATGATGCTGTTCCCGAGAAGAGGCGCTTCGTTGTCGCAGCAAATGAGCGGCGGCCGTATGTCGATGGGCGGAGAGCAAACGTCATGACGGCGGCAGCGACACTCTGGCGGTGTGAGTGAGGCTGATGCGTTGTCTCAGTTGCAGAGGCAGGCAGGCTGGCTGGATATGGTAGTCGATACTGTATGAAGCATCATCCGGGGGGGCGTCTGCCACGACACGCTGGAAGTGCACGCCTGAAAGATTTTGATAACAGCGCATCAACTCACCGTTTGCTCCATGCCCGGCTAGTCCTCGAAGAAGCGCGTGCGAGGCGATTAACCAGAGTAGCACAAGGGTCCCATCTCGGCAAGGAGATAAGATGAGATGAGATGAGATGTGATGAGATGAGATGGCTTGCGGCACAGGAAAAGCGCTTCAGCTGTCCTGTGGCTTTCTTTTTTGGTCCCTGGTGCGGTGAGGTTTCGAGGTGCATATGCGTGAAGCGAATTGGAGGCGACGATTGGCGGCTTTGTGTGGGCTGGCGGGCTGCGGGCCAAAGTACCCGGTACCGGTGTGGCGCACGACGGGTGCGATCTAGCCGCTATGGAGCAAGCCACAGGCGGTACAGGGGACAAGGTGCAGGCCCTGCCTGACCGAGGCTGCGGGTTATTGGGCACCTGCATGAGGCCCGTGATGCGCGCTGCAGTTGGGTTTCGTGCTTGTACGAGTACGGGCAAGAGTCATGGATGATGCAGTGGATTGACTCTAGTCCTAGCTGGCTTCAGCGGGGTTGGACGCTGTGTCATGGGTGTCGGGTCCGTTGTGCAAGGTTGAACTTGAAATTGATAGTGATAATGGGCATGTCAACTTGAATGGGATGTGTAAGAGAGAGCCGATGTACCTTAGGTAAGGTAGGTAGGTATGTATCAAGGTACCTACTGCACATGCAGTTCTACCTAAGGTACCTTATGCCATCATGGCGCTAGAACAGTTATCGAACCTTTTGCCGGCATCCAGCCAGCTCATCCTGCTTGTTGAAGCACTGGCAGCTGACTGCATCAGCTTTGAATTCTCTTTGTTGCATGTCCAATTGCATCTCGTACCTGTGCTACCTACCTAAGGTACTAATGGGGCCGTGATGGGCCTTCTTTTCTCACAGATGGAGTTCGATCTCGTCTGTGGAGAAGCCCAACTGCAGCGGCTGCTAGCCCAGGGCTGGTTAGCACCCCCCAAGTACCGTCGTAGCCGTGCGGAGTACCTGCTCCGCTGCGAGCACTCAGCGTGGGACTTGAGGCCACATGCGCAGTACAAGCCCCTGCTAGCTGCCGACATCATCGAGGCGGGCAGGTCCGACCCCACACTGACGGGATGTGGTGGGTGATGCTGTGTTCGCTCTTGCTGTGTTTGCACTTGCCTGGGCGGGGATGCTGCTCGAGTTGCTCCTTCTTGCGCTGCTCTTGCTTCTTGGCTCTCTCTTGCCCCTTCCTTGCTTTGCGCAACAGGAGAAGCAAAAGCACAACAGCCAACGGTATCCTTTTAGTCCGGACTGGCGCTGTGAGTACTTGTCTGCCAGGTCACCGCTAGTGCCTCTTCTACCTACCTATCTTACCTAGCCACACAGGCTCTGCGCCACGCCCGACTCGGATCCCGACCTCGAATCTCAGCCTCACTTCCGTCAAAACCCCATCCCTGCACCATCAGATTCCTTACCTTAACTCAGAATTCCACACACCTGGGAGAGCACCGATATCGTCCTCTTGTTTTGGTTATCCAGGTCTTGGTCTGTCCACGTCCGGCATCGCTTCGCTTCAACTCTGCTCCGCCAAACCCCCGCTGTGCACCTGACCCCGACTCTCCGCATTGCAAAAACCCGCACCATGCATGATGTCTTGCCGTCATACTCAGAGGCCATCTCACGCCCCGACTGGCTCCAGCTCGCGGCCCCGTACATTGCAATCACCGACTATCCGGCTCTGTGTCGGGTCAGCAGCCGGTGCTGGCACATCTTTGCTCCTCTGCTCTGGAGAGACCCGTGTGCGTGGTCCAAGCGCCTGGGACGGAGCACAGACGATGGTGAGTCTCTGAGCCTTGACGCATCACAGCAGCCATCGACAGCACATGAGCGGCACTCATCCGTCTGTGGCCAGATACCGGGGCCTTTTGGGGCCGCTTCCTGCTCCGAGACGCGCGCCTGCTGTCCCCCAGGACGCGGGGCCTGATCCGGGTGGTGGATGTAAGGCAGGCCATTGCGGTCAACGAATACAACTCCTGGGCAGAGAATGCCGCAGACCACTTTTGCAGATGCCTCGCGCTGCTCCCAAACGTAGAGAGCCTCTTGGTCGATGATTATTGCCGGGTCAATGCCCGCTGCCTCGACCATTCGGACCCGTCCCGTCCATATCGCCGGCTACTGATGCTCAGCCTGAAGAACACGAGCCATGGAATCAGTCCTTCTCTCACAGAGTCCAGGCACCTCCGGGCGTTGGTTTACCTGGACATATCGGGTCCCGCGCCTGTTTCTTTCGCATCACTAGACGCAAACTGGTTGCCCGAGTTGCGTATCCTCAAAATGCGCGGTAAACAGCTCAGCGACTACCGCTGGGAGGCGTGGGCGCAGCGTTTCCGCTGGCGCCTCTGGAGTCTAGACATAAGCGATAACGAACTGACTGATGAGTCCGTGCATAAATTGGCGGGGTTGATTGACGTGAATACCCATTTGCGCACAACGGACCGCTTTGCATCCGAGGGTATGCTCGAACGATGGCATCAGTGCGGTGCTCGTGACCAGTACATTCTCCGCGAGTCATCAGAGAGCCTCATCTTCTCTCCCGGCTCGAGATACCTCATAGACGCCCCCCCAATCAACAGCCTGGATGGCGCTGATGACCCGGATGCATCCTGCACTCGGGTACGAGCCAATGGCTCTGCCCCCGTGCGTCCTGATACACTCAACGGTGTCTTGGGCCTCCTGTCTCGGCCTGGCGTCTCCGGTGCTACAGATCACTTGCCAGGACACAAAGGCGTCACGCATCTGCACATATCGGGCAATAGGCTGACTGCAGACGGCGTTCAACAGCTTCTCATTTGCTCTGAAGGCCATTTGGAGCTTTTTGACTGCGAGAGAATGCAGTTTTTCCCACCGAAGCGAAGGACGACGAAGGAATACCCACCAAGGCTCAAGGCCCCCAGACTTCATGTCTCCAGCGTCGTGCGGATGAGCGGTCTTCCGGGCTTTGGGCATCTATTTCGTCCCGTCTATTCTTCCAACCTTCGAGTTCTAAGAATACATCACTCGCTGGTGACGAATATCCCTTCCCTCACAATGGATGGCTTACGGTCTATTGAATGCGCGTACCTGGCGGAGAAATGCGTCTTTCCGCGTCTTGAAGAAGCTTACACGCTACCCTTTCTCCCCGATATGAACCCACGGCTGCAGTCTCTTACGTTGACTTGTGTACCCCGATACTCGTTCGGCCCCCTCATCTGCAGGCTGGCGTTCTTCTTCCGCTCCTTGAGCCTGCAGGCCGAGGCGCTGTCTACCCTGGCGCAAAATGCCCAGGCGGAAGGGGGGCGGCCCCCGCGATTGGTGAGCGGCCTTAGGCATGTGGTGCTGGAATTGGAACCAGAAATGGCCGACGAGTCTCTAGACATTGACATCGAGAACCTCATGGCCAGTGGAGAAACACCATTCAGCTTTTTTGATTCTCCCTTGACCGAGGCCAGCAACACAAACCCCAAGCAGCCCCGCGCAATCGACCTTTGGAGAGAAACATCCGGCCCGTCCGAGGCTCCCCCGGTCAAGCTCGTCCGCCATGACGCGCCGGAAGGGCACAATCCGATGAGTCCCGATCAAACAAGTCGTAGTGATCCCGAGCGCCAAGTATGGGTGCTGTATGCCAACGTAAATACTGATATGTCAGGGGTTACGCATACGTCTCATTCAGTGGTTTGGGCTGGCAATGGCTGGTCAACAAACCCCGTCATCCGGAAATACAACCATTTGGTCGTCAACTACCGCCTGCAAGAGGGCATCGGGCCAGCTACCATGCATCAAACTAGGGCTGGTGCTCCAGCGGGCTGTATCCTTTTCCACACAACCTGGCTCTTTGCTGCCATGCCGCAAGTCTTGAAGCTGCCAACGGATGTCGACTCACTGAAAAGGCTGGACGTGGCCGCAGAGTTGCGGCAGCGTTGGTGCCGGACGCAGGAGGACTACCAGAGGGCAAAACAACGCTACCCTAATAGACAGTATTTTACCTGGGATGGCAAGTTTGAGATTGTCGATCCCGAGCCGGTGGCTAACGACTGGATACTCTGGAAAGCGCATAGTGATTATGAACCTCCGTATGAGTTTACGAAAGATTGAGATACGAGAATACAAACGGCTTAGAGGGTCGCTACGACAATCAGCAATACACCCTTGGCTGGAGAACGTTTATCTCCTCCACATTTGGTCCGTCCGTGCTTTCGCCCGGATATCGTTCGTGTACAGCGAAAGCCGAGACATGCGTTGCCAACCGTTCTCTATGACGCTACTCAATGTGCACTTATAAAGTTCACGTCTATGGTTTATATCATTATGATGAATATGCATATCACGAGTGTTGTGGAATCTTGATGCCGTGGGCGGGGGGAAATCGACCAGGTGTGCTTCTATGAAGATTCTCGTGGAGGCATGAAAGACGGTGGAAGCACACGGCGCGGTTCGAGATGTTAGGCAAGGTTGGATACTGGGGAGTGTTTGATGCGCTTCGACCACATGATGATTGTCTATTGTGCATATTCTTGGCATTGGTCGAATGACGTTGGAGCATTTCTGGCTCGTTCCTTGTCTGGGGCCGAGGTCGCCACCAATGTGATGGTACTCGGAAGACGTCTTGCGTCTTGCGGCTGAGACATGCAGCGGCCTTTTGCTGAGAAGGCGGTATGCGTGCATGCATCGTGGATGTGTATGACAATGGTTGGGTTGCGGCCGAGTTTTGGGATACTCGGAGATGTAATCGCCGGTTCGAGTGTTGATGCCTAGGCGGAACTTGATGGTTGAAGTTGGACTACAGGTATGTATCTGGATTGTTGCGCTGTCAGATCTGCAGCCTGGATCTAGATTGCATGGGTCTATTGCTGCATACTCATACCTTGGGACTGGGGTACGTGGACTTGCTGAGAGAAAAGCGTCCTCAACTGAAGTATCGGTGAAGAGAAATCCGGTGGCTTGCGTTTCTTGACTGCATTCGACTTACACTCATCGTCACGATGGATGCAGTTTCGCTTTGCTTTAGTTGCTTGGCCTTGCTGCGTACTTGTTGTTTCAGCTGCGTTGGCTAGTACGTAGGCAACCAGGACAAGGCACTCGGTGAGAGTGTGCATATGCAGCAATGACAGGGGGGTGGTGAGTCTTGTGATTTGCTGGTTCTTGCGCAGCTGATGGTCGCCCCCGCTGGGTCTGTCTTGTCAAATTGCACCTTCATACGGGATGATTGGAGAGTTTGAAGACTTCTATTGAGAGCCATTCCTGGAACAGCAATTGATGCATACGGTATGGAGGAATTGGCTGTGCAGGTTGTTGCTGTAATGGAAATTCTCGCATACGGTGAAGCTTTTAGTCTTTTCTTTGCATCTAAAACACTTGGCTCGGTTTGGTATTTCCACCTCTGGAAGAAGCGGTGGATTCGATGCGTTGTCACTTGGCTTTTTCTCTTTCTTTTTCTTTTTACGAATACCTTGGGAAGTGATAAAGTATCTCCATGTGGTGGTCATCGGGTTGAGCCGGAGAGGGTGAGTGTATGAGACAGGGGCCAAGTTGGGGTCTGTATGGTTGCTTCTGCGGGGTTGGCCGGTTTCTTGGAATGATTCATATTGATTGGTTTGTTGCTTCACCGAACTTGCCATGTGTGCTTGCCTACTTTGATGTGATGCTGGGGAGGGCTGAATGCAGCTTGCTGGATGGGGAAGGCAGCCTGTGAAGGAGAATGCATTGCGAAGGCGTTTGGTTAGAACGAAAGGACTTAAGTCATGTTTGATGACGTTCATGACATTAGAAGATACCAGCTCGGAAAGAGCCTGGCGTGAGTGTGCTTGTTGGTTGTCTTGAGTTTACGTGAGCGTTGTGGTGTTGGTACAGCGGTGAGAGGAAAGCAGAGTGGAAGAGAGGTGTATGTATGCGATTCTCAAACATGATCATGACTTAGTTGACTTAGTGCAAGATACTGATAGAGTTATCAGCTGGTATTGATGTCGATGCATATTGAATGAATGCTAGGCCCTGGAAGGGGGGAAGAGTTGGCGTGTTGTTAACATTTATGTGGCTTTTGACTGCATATCTGGGCTTGTGGCTCTGTAGTCTCATCGCCACAGGCCAGTTGACGGACATTGACTCTAGGCATACTTGGGCAGATGTGCTTTATGATTATTGGCTAGTATCGATCAGAGTAAGGCGATTATACGCTTGGGGGAAGTTACTCTTCATGTACAAGAACGTAAACTCACGACGTGACCAAAGGTAGAACTATTGTTGATCGCTCTCTCTAAGGATGGTATGGTGCTGTACATTCAATGGGGAATGGTTTCCTTCAGGAAAGACTTCTGGCTGGAAGAATTGGGCTCATGGGCATCCCATTCAAATTGTACCGACATGTGATTCGCGGTGGAAAACAGAGCGATTGCTATAACATGATCTTTAAATTTCTTGAATCGTAAACCCAGCTCATCTCTCTCTGATTGACCTCGCCTTAATCACGTTGCTCAAGTCTCCCACCGGCAGCTGAATGGGAAACTCTACAATCGCAAGAGAAATAGCGAGCAGAATGTACCACCCGGCCAAACACGTTACAAAGGTTGAAGCCCCAGCGCCCTGACAAAATGAATCAGCAAGTCTTCATTTGCTTTGACCAGGGCAACGTTGAGATCGTACTTACCACGATAAGCTTGTGGGAAAAGTGCGCATTTCCCGTGAAATCTTCCGCCATGGCCCAATACGCTCCCGTCAAGAGACCAAAGGCAATGGTCAATGTTAAAAAGATGATGAAGAAGGCGACGTTGGTGCGTAGCGAGCAAATGAGGAAGACGAGAGACAGCAGTCCCATAAACAGGAACCAGAACCCTATCAAACAAAGGTAAGCACTGCAATCATATAGAACCCAGACGCCCTCATGAATGAGAGTTCTGCGTGTGGGATAGCTCACCCAAACTGGCATTGAACCCAGTCGTCTGAAGCCCCTCAGTAGCATCATCCCCGACGCCAGCATACGAAGAAAAGGCCGCAAAAGAAGGATTCAACACGCCGCCATATGATAGCCAGAAGGTGCCAAAGGAGCAGAACACGACGGCAGGGAAGCTGTTGCCCAGGACCCATTCGAGGAGACCGCCGAGAGTCATGAGGATGCCGCCTTGGAAGAAGTACACGGGACTGAACATGTGGCGATGAAGTAGGTGATTAGCCATGACTTGTTCTTGTCTGTCTTTCTTGAAAGAGGGAATCGACGTAGTTGACGTACATTGTTGCCGCGCCGCCGCCGCTTGCTCCCCGCCAGCCCATGAGGTTGCACGACAACGGCGTGAGGGCCATGAGGAAGCCAACAAGAGCACTATTGCCAAGTATCAAAGAGTCAGTTCAACCCTATCTCAACCATCGACCACGAATATTGCAGAAACAAGACGGTAAAATGCCAGTTCCGTACGTACATTGGCGTCGGGTTTCCAAAGGTATCCCTCAGATGGCCCTTGACCTTGCTCTGCGGCGACAGGTACAGCTTCTCGAAGAGCTCGGGCGTCATGGCGATGCTCGTCGCGGAGCGGAACCTGTTGAGGGCCTCTGCGCGGTCCGAGTCGGATTCGACGGTGTGGGTGCCCTTTTCGTCTGCCATTGTGTGATATGATTATCTGTCCAACTGACTAGTTATCCGAGTTGAGGCGCTAGAAGAGAAAGCTGTCTTTGCTCAGTGTATGCGATGAGGACGGGGGGAGTCAACAGCAAGAGCAGAAGGTAGGCTGATTCTGTACGCAACCACCTCTCTATATGTATACGGGAAGCTCCTTTTGCAGAAACACTCCGACGCCCAGCTCCGTTGTCCCGGAAGCCACGTAGGACTTCTTCTTCCCCACGACTATTATAGGCTCCGCGTGGCTGTCGAATCCCAGCTACAACGAGGAGCCATTCGCAGGCCTCCCTCCCTAAGCCCGGATATCAGGACGCATCTCGTGTCAATGCTCTCCCAGATCTGGCATCGGCTCCTCTCCCCCCAGACTAAACAAAGACACAAAGATAGCTCCATCATCACCATCATCAGGCCATCTCTCCACCGCCTACCAAAGTAAGCTGAATCTCGCACATGCGGAAATCTCAAACTCCGCGACAGATCCACGCCCCGTCGAACCGTCCCGTCGCCATCCGCCATTTCTTAATAGAGCAGATTGCTTCCTACCTATAAGCACAAGGGGGGGGGGGAGCTGGCTACTTTACCCCAGATTCTCCAGATCGTGTCTAGTTAGGCTCCTTCGGGCGAGCGGAAAACAGTGGGGAATGGGGGAAAAGGGGGGGAATCAGATGTGGGAAGTGGGTTTGCTATCTAGGCCTTTGCTCAACGACGTAGAGATTTGCTGTGTGAATTTTAAAAAGCAATGCCTCATACCCAGGCCAGTTTGAAGAGATGTTGATACTCTCAATTGCAGTCAGGCCTTGAATTGTTTCGGGTTACTGGCGATTGTTGAGTCGCAAGGTGAGCCGTAGATGCATCTTGAAAGCGCTCTATACCCTTGCCTTGTCCTACCCCAATTCCCAGTTCGAAGCTAAAGCGCCGCTCGTACGATAGCCATGCAAGCCACAAATGCCGACATATCGAATATTGCTTGCCGGCCATTGGACCTAGCTGCGCGAGCTTCGTTGCTTCCATTACTTTCGTCAACTAGAGCTCAGCCTATCGTTCATTGATGGGGGGCCATGAGCGTATGCGTAAAGAGCTGGCCCTGAAGGTTCCTCTGGGTTACTCGATTCATAATCATCTTTCCAGGTCAATTCAACCCTCTTCGGCCGTCTAAGTGATCGTGAGGCCCCCTTCTCATTGTCTGGTGGTTTATGTAGCCACAATTACTCTATGTCCCGCAACGTCCTCGTCGCATAGAAAGGGGCACCGTCAGCAGTTCATGTCAAGGATTATTGTATAGATTGCGTCGTTATGGCGCCTCTATCTGCAGCTGGAAAAGATTGATGTAAACAATTTACAAGATGAATCGCTCCTCGAAGCCGGTTGCAAGTCGGGTATCATGGTTACAGCCTGATCATTGACTGACACCATGGAATCGATGCTCTGTTCCCCCTCCTATTCCCACCAAAGAGACAATCTAGACGTGCATATACTCCTTGTCTGGCCACCGTCAACACGTTGCCACCACACCCGGCGACTACATATACAAGGAGACATGGATAGCTTGCCTGGCTGGCCTTGCGATAGTGCGGCATACTCGTTATCTGTTGGGAGCTAACAATGCCCCTGTTACAGACGGTCACGAGAAGCAACATCTTATAATTCAGGCGTATCTCTAGCTCCAGGGCCCATAGCCAACGCCGTGAATCAGGTCAAGAGTGCTTGATATACGTTAGCTGACGTGTTCTTCAAGAAAATCTACGTATGGCTTACAATGTCCTGTGAGACGCAAAGCCTGCCACCTTTGGAATATAGGCATAACTGACCACTGCCTATCGGCCATTTGACACCTCAAGCAAAGCAGTCCTTCCGGCACCCACACCCTCATTGCGATCAACGACCTCTCGACGAACTCTGTTGACCCAAGCAGTCAACAATCAGACGAAGCCGCCATGTATTCACAAAACATCCAACGCACATTAAATCTCAATATTATTACCAGTTATCAAACTCCAGCCCGGTATCCTAGCTCGCCCAAGCCCGCCTTGGCACCCAAATCTATCTCGGCAAGCCCTGTCTTCGCTCTCTCAACACCCTCCCCAAGTCTCTCACCCTACGCCATAACCCGCGCCACCACCGCGGCGGAAACCCCTGATCGACAACAGACGGGTCTGCCCAAATCACCATCTTGAACATGAACCCTTCCACCATGCGCCGCCAGAAGCTCATCCCAGGCCTCATCCGTCGCCACCATTTCCACTCGTAAAACACAATCAGGTGTCCGATGCAGGAAAACAGTGCGTGGATCCTACACATATCCAAGGTCAGTCAGTCTAACGCTCAAACCCACCCGAGATAAGAAATGTAGTTGGATGGAAAGGGGACTTACAGTAACCACACAATGAGCGAGACGGTCGCTGCCGCTCTATAGGAAGACAATTGGTCGCCGTTGTCCTCCAAAGCCTCAGCGACAGAACCGTCTTCTGGAGCCGCTGGTTCTTCCATGGGAACGTTTGAGCTGTAGAACGACGTCCGAACAACGTAGTACAGCAGTCCCACCAGCGCCAGCAGACGATTCATCTCCATCAACAGGGGGCCACAGTACACGTTTCGACCTTTGTACTTCCAGAACCCGAGGATGGACGAGAAGGAAGTGGCAAGGAAGAGAACCTATCGTCACCCGTCAATAACCAAGTCTAACCTTTGTTTCCATAACCGTCGACGACACCAGACAAGGCAAAGTAAAACCCAGAATAGAAGTGTAGGTAAGGAATGACACAAAAAAAAAAAGAAAAAGGGGCAACTCACGAAACACTCCGCCTTAACCTCGCCAACAACCGAGAAAGACCCAAAGCACAAGAAGCCAAGACACCAGAGAACAACCCACTGCAGCGCCAAGGTCATCCAGTGGTCCCTCAGCGCCCGCGCATATCCCGCGCGGCATCCGTCCTCGTGGAACTCGACCCCGTTCCAGCTCCAGTCCGGCGGCACGAGGCCCGCGCGTCCGCACCAGCGACAAACCCAGATGTAATCGCCGCTCACCAGCGGGTACCGCATGCTGAGGTCCAGTCCCTCAGGCGACTGGTCCACGCAGTCGAGGCAGCGGGAGGCGAGCGGGAAGCGAGGGTCCGAAGGGTCGCCGCAGAGAAGAGAGTCGGGGGCCTTGTGAGCCAGACAGATGCAGCACACGCTTCGCAGGTCTGCCGTTGGCTCGGGGGACGGGGACGGGGACGGGGACGGGGACACGGAGGAGGAGGAGAACCGGACAAGGGACGGAAGGGAGCCGTAGCTGCTGCTGGTGCTGGTCGTGGGCACGGGGCTGCCGGGCAGCTCCGGGATTGTCGGCAGGGGACGGGCGAGAGCAGTGGTCAGGAAAGGGGTGGGACCTCGCACGACGACGGGTGCGAGGTCCGACAGTTCGTGCCCCTGTTCGGTTTCTCGAGGGGCAGCCATGGCGTGGGAGACAGGGCGGGGACAGACCGAAGAAGCGAGAAGCAGACAAAGAAGAAGCAGACGAAGAAGAAGGAGAGGCAGAAGAAGGAGAGGCAGAAGAAGAAGAGGCAGAGGAAAGTCCGAGTGGGCTTCACAGATTGTATGATGCTTGTGATGGCAATGCCTGTGAAGAATGTTGGATGAGATGAAATCAAGAAGATGGGATCTCGACGACGAGAGAAAAATTGATGGAATATATAGACATTTTCTTTGCACTTGAAGCCAGTCTTCGGACCTTTTTCTTTCGGCCATGTCCTGTTCCGGTTGCAAAGAGCCGTGGCTGATGACTTCTCCTTCGCGAAGGAAACATGGCTTGAATAGGTAGGTAGATATGGTAGTTGTACACCTCTCCGAATCTACAAAGCATCGGCCTCGATTAACCTAAGATTTAAGCTTATCTGATGCTGGCCCCAACGCCACTCGGTGGTACTACTTCTCCTGGCGAATGCCAAAACTTGCTCGCCAAAGCCTAGTGTCTGATGGTCTCCGGTTTTCAGCTCTTCTTGATACCCATTATGGCAGTATTTCGGCCAGATGCATTGATCTGCACATCCTTTCATCATTTGTCTGTCTAGCACCTGATGATCCACTTCCAGACCGTGTGTCTCTTCAACTGAAGCGAATATCCTCTGCATAAGCGACGACATCAATCACCTCAGCGGCAGTGCCCCGTGGAACCGCGGTCCCGAGCGAACTCCGACAAAGCCTCCTACCCTTCCAAGTCTCTTCCTCGTCAAGAGCTCGTTTAGCTCCTTCACAAGACAGCTTGCCGCCACCACTCTGAAGCTTTCGAGCGGCTTCTGATCTCCCATGTAGCCCCGGCCATGGACCGCTTCGCTGCCCACAATTACGCAAGCCCAGCAAAGTTCCACGGCATTCATTGTCTCTCTCTCGCTCCGGGCGACCTCTTCAGCCGCCGTTGACGCCGCGTCATCCGCTGTATCGCTGGCGCCTCCGCGATCCCGCATTTGCTTTACATAGAAACTCATGACTCTGTCCATTTCTTCTTTCAACTTGATGGACGAGTCTCGTTGGCGCCTCGTCTGACTACCTCGGGGGTTGAGAATCGACCCGCAAAACACGTCTACTTCCTTGATGGGGGCTCGAGGACTATCCGAAAATCGGTACATGTTATCGACGACCTCGCCCTCGTACCTGTTTTCCGAGTTAGCTGTATGAGGTCGAGATCCCCAGGGTACACCGGGAGCCTTACAATTCACGAAGCTTCCATGCCTCGTCAATTCGGCGAGTGTAATCAATATCCGAGGGGGCATATCCTTCGTCTTGGAGGGCAGCGCGGACGTGCTCGTGTAAACGAACCCATACAGACGGACCACTCTTGTCGATTGGACGCTGGACATCTTTGCCCCAAATTTTCTTCTCATCCACGCCACGATACAACTCGCCCAATATTTTGAGTGACTTGTAATATCTCGGCTTGCTAACACCCAAACCGTCTTCATCATCGTCATCAGAATCGGGATCTCCGATATGGTCTACTTCGTCACGATCATACAAGTGAGCGGGCGGAGCTGGCGCCATGCTGTGTAGCGGGAGAGAAATAGTTAGTGCTGTGTGTTCCCAGAAAGGCTGAGGGAAAAGAAGGAAGCAAACCAGACATACAAATCGGGTCGCATACGCGGCGCCTTGGGCAGTTGTTGCACCGTCACTGGAATCCCCGTCTTGGAGTAGTCAACAGCGGTGGAATGCAGCTCGGCGAGCTTGATGCACTCCTGGTGAAGAGTACCCTCTTCTTTGGCGTCGGCAGAAACCTGATGCCTGTTGGCAATCATGCCCAGGATATCAGTCTCCATGAACGTGACAAAGAAATCTGCAATGTCGTCTCTTGTCACCGCTCGGTCGAGTGGGGGCGGGATGACTCTCGGATAGGAGGCTGCCGTAAAAAACTGCTTTGGAATGACCCGGGGGTCCCAAAAGATATTATACAAGTCGCCATCGAGATCCCCTCCACTTAGCTGGCTCGGTAAATCGCGTGTTCCCTTTTGGCTGAAGACGACACAGTTCTTCAGATCGTGGAGTGGATGTCCCTCTGGCGGCGTCCGCATCTGAGCTGGCTGAATGTCTCCGGGGTGCAGGGCCGGTGAGCGCGTTATGAGCACGAGTCCGTCCTTGAGAGAATGTTTGACTCGACCCTGGACCTTGTCATATTGCTGATCAAAGGTAACGTAAATCTCGCCCTCCTCGAGAAAGCCTGTTTCATCCATGATGCCAAAGAGAGTGACGCCTTGATCCACAGGAATTCGTGCCTTGTGCTTCAGCAGCCTCAACTCCTCCAGGATGGTATGGTCTACCACTGTCTTCATGAAGTTGTCTCGCCTGTAGTCGACGCCAATCTTGCTCAGGTATTTGATAAGCTTGGGTAGGCCCACGGTGGTGCCCACCAGTTGATACTCCAAAAACGTGCTGGTGTTTACCGCCGTGGCAGTTACGTTTCGAAGTACATCGAGCGCCTTATTCTGCTGATCAATGAACCACTCGGCGTTCGTTCCCATGTCTTCCAAGATCTTGATTATCTGGCGATTCAGAACAAAGCGCAGTGGCTTCGAAGCCGTATCACAGATCCCCAGCATGGTTTGATCACTGCTCGAAAACTTCATCATGGACTCTTTTCGGATGCAAATCACCTTGCCCTTAAGTCTGGAGTCGAGCGACAGCATTCCCTTGATGCCGCCGAGGCGAACCTGGAGGCAAGTGGGAGTCGACGTCATCGGCAGATGCTCCCAGATCTCCTCGATGGCATCCCACGAGATTGTGCCACACCCGTCGCTGAAGACTCTGCTTCCGTCTGCTGTCTTGACGTCGGGAATGTACTTGATTCCGATGCCGCACTTGAGGATATCAACTGCGTAGGGCGTTTCGGAAAAGGCTTGCCCAATACGTGCGGCACACTTGGCTGGGATGCGGATCTCGCTAAAGTCGCCTAGGGAATTGATGATGGACTCGTTGTTGTGGAGTTGCATGTTGTCGATGAATGGCGCGCAGAACCAGGCCGAGTGGGAGCGTAGTGAGGAGTGGGAGAATCCTAGGAATTCATACTTGCGACCGGCTACCTGTATGCCGTCCTTGAGAACTTTCCTGTATCGTCCAAAGATGGCCGAGTTGTCGACGCTGGGAAACAGGGCCAGATCTTGCCCGTCTTCGTCGCTAAAGATGACTCGGAGAAGGTAGTCAGAATGGTGTGGAAACATCCGCAGGACCCTGTTGTTGTTCTCGGCGTCAGGTCCTTGCAGCATGATGCGTGTTGGCGTGACTACCGCTTTCAGCACCCAGGTCTGTGAATCAGGTATTGGAGGACCGTAAGGCGCGGTCCTGTTGGTATCCTCTTCTCGACGCAGTTGCTCAGTTTCTACGATACTGGCGACCAAATGTTCGGGGGAGAGGTCTTGGGAATCTGTTCCGGGACACGGATATGGAATCTTTTGAAAGAGGATCTTCATCGAATCAGCGGTGAAAGGAAGGGGGATATTCGACCTCTTGTATTCCTTGGCAAGTCTTTCCATGACTTCCAGCATCTTGAGTGCCGTCGCTGGATGCAAGTAATTGTTCCACACCAATCCCTGCAGCTGAAATAGAACAACAAACGGGAGGAGTCGATCTCGCGAAGCGCTGGCGGAGCGGATTGATCCCTCGAACGTGCTCATGCAGGTGGTATAGTCCTCTTCATGCGGCCGAGGGTTCCGTCGGACGGGCAGATGCTGCCTTGTGATGACGATGACCTTTCGAGCCCTCAGACTTTCGAGAACGTCCACATAGTGTGATGAAAGCGTAATGCGGTAGACCAAGCAGTGAGCCACGTACTTGCTGTGGGCAGGCCACATGTCCAGAGCTGGTTGTCTCATCCACTTCGTCTTCGGTGAAGGGAAATAGGTTGAGGGTGCTTTGACGTAGAACCTGGGCGCCTCAGTCAAGACGAGGGTCATTGATACACCAGACGCATCAGCCACCAGATCCTGGATGGTGTCGTAAGGAACGTAAAGGCGGTAGTTTCCTTCGCCCTGGAGGTCAAGCCTCAAGGTACGGCGAAGAAACGTCGCTGCGCCCCTATGGTCAAGGCTGCATTGTTCGATGAATATCAGGGCGTCAGAGTGCTCGTCAAACATATTCTTGCCGCATGCAATGAGACGAAAGTTGGTGCTGATAGAACGCGCTTTTGGGTTGTTATCGACAGCAACTGACTTTCGCTCGACCGATTTCCGTTCATGTTTCTGGACCTTGAGGTGACTGATGATAGATCCGTCGGCATCATTCTTGCTCTTCTTGACATATATGGGTGTCTTGAGGATTTCTAGCCGTGCCTTATCCTTTGTGCGAGAGTGAACACGAGCATTGGAAAATGGAGGGCCCCAGAGCTGGTTCGGGACCATGGGAATCTTTTCATGCTTCTGGAGAAATTTCTTGCCGTCCGCCTCGTTGAGGAAGGTAACCCAGGCATGGGTCTTGTTGAAGGGCTTCTCGCAATGCCAGTCGAGAATGCCAAGGGCGTTGACATAAGGCTCAAGCTCATCCCGGAGCTTGTCGTCCGTCAGGACTTTGGGTACATTGGTCAGGTACACCTCCATTGCGGTCTTTCAGAAATGGTTGCTGGTGGCTGTTTTCGCGGCATCAGAAAAGACGAAATAGAACGAGCAGGCTGCCACGGCTTCTCGACGCTGATATATCGCCCCTCGTCCGTATATGCCGCGAGCTCACATGAAAAGGCAACCGAGCTAGCGCACAGCTAAGGCGGGTGGCCTACGGCAGCTTGCGCAGCTCGCGCAGCTTGAGGTAGGCGAGGACAGGGGATTGTTCGCATTCGATTCGCAGAGCCGTGAGGCGTGATGGAGTTGATGAGGGGTAGATCAGGGTCTCAGTGGTGAACATCAAAGCTCGTCCCTCCCGTTTGCTCCACCAGAATGAATCACTGGCGTCTTGTCAGCAGCTTTACGCATGCAAGAGGCCGCAGCATGCCACGGAGGGTTGCACAGTGGATCGCAAACGGAGTGTTTATCTGGTGGATGCCTGGGGAGGAGGAGCGAAAGTGAGCTCACGATGGTCGCCTTGCTGCATGTTGGGTGACCTGGAGGAGTGAGGGTGATGGAAATGGCGAGAGCTGATTGGACAAGCTGCGGTACTCCGTATGTCGAGGGGGCCGTGACTGACGGCTTGACGGATTGATTTGAGGTTACACAGCTAAAGTATGGTTGAGAGAGATGATAAGAGGAAGAGGATGACAAGAGAGATGATAAGAGGAAGAGGATGACAAGAGAGACGTCACGCTGGTTGGTGAAACGATTTCGACGTCTGCAGTGGTGTTTCATCTCAAGGCTGCGCACGTGAAGGGCGATTGAATGGGAAGGAGACGCCAGCCTTTCCACCGCTGCGCTTTCTCTTTGAACTCGCCATCGTCTGTATCTCATACGTCACAGAAGAACAGACTGACCAACAGATGTAGACAGACCTGACCTATGAATGAATCCTCAATTTGCAAAGAACAATCGAACGAATCAGCATCTAGTCTGTTAACTCCCCGATCAGCTCCCGGCGATGCTATCCGGCCACGTGGGGCAGCTCCAGCTCCGTCTCCAATTGCCGAGACATCGCGGGGTTCATCAGAAACTGAGGCAAACGTTTATCCGGGACCTCATCTCACCACGTCAATATATAAATCTCACTCAACTCTAGACAATTTTCACATCTCTCTTGGGCTGGTTAAACACTTTTGATACTCTCAAAGAAGACGGGAACCCTTATTGGAACATCATTATTAATCACCAACAGACAATCTCACAATGGCCACTCCAGGCAACCTCTACGTCACGATGCAGCCTCACCCAGGCCTCTCCCTCGACCAGTTCCACGAGTGGTACAACAACGAACACGGCCCAACCCGCCTGCGCATCCCCCAAATCTTCACAAACGGCCTCCGATACCGCGCAACAGACGGCAAAGCACCAGAGTTCCTCGCCGCCTACGACGTCACCGACATGGCCCTCCTCGAGACCGAGACGTATCTGACGCTGCGTGCGAACCGCTCGCCCAGAGAAGCCGCCACCATCGCACAGGTAGACGTCGCGCGCTACTTTTATGACCTGGTCCACGTCACAGAATCCCCCCTCTTCATGCCCATTGAGAAGTTGACCGATGAGGAAGCCAGCGGTCTCGTGGCCGTAACCACCGAAATAACCCTGAAGGAAACCCCCGACGCAAGCGCTCTCTTCGAGAAATGGTTCGTCGAGGAGCACGTCGGCTTCATGGCCAAGATTCCCGGCTGGCTACGAAGCCGCCTCTTCAAGACGTCCAGCCTCGAGTCAGGCCAGCCCATAAAGTACCTCTCCTTCCACGACTTCGCAAAGGACAACGACCTCGCTGCCGCAGAGCAAAATGCCGCCACCGACATCTCCTGGAAAAATGACGACTTTGACAAGTCCGTCGCTTCCAGAAACAGACGCACATACTCCCTCTTCTACACATTCGGCCCAGCTCCCCGCGATCTCGAACCCTTGTCAAGGCTCCCAGAGTCCGCATCATTCACCTCCAACGACGGCAAGACATCCACCATCGCCGGCCCAAACCCCGTCATCTCATCCTTCGTCACCACACAAGACTCCCTGTCCATTCCCTACCGCCTCGAGGGAAACCCCTCCCCCGACGCTCCCACCATCGCATTCTGCAACTCCCTCCTCACATCCCTCCACATGTGGGACGCCTTCATCTCCATCCTCAAGACGCACCGCCCCCATCTCCGCATCCTCCGCTACGACACCCGCGGCCGCCACGCCATCCCCCAGCCTCCCGTGTCAGCAACACTCGACACTCTCGCAGACGACCTTCTCACCGTCCTCAACGCCCTCCGCATCCCCAAACTAGACACCCTCGTAGGCGTATCCATGGGCGGCGCCACAGCCCTCAAGTTCACCCTCAAATACCCCTCCCGTCTCTCCAAGTTCATCGCATGCGACTTCAACGCCGCATCTTCTCCCGCAAACACCCAGGCGTGGAAAGACCGCGTCGCAATCGCCGAGCAAGATTCCGGCAACGGCATCAAGTCCCTCGCCGACCAGACCGTCGCCCGCTGGTTCCACCCGTCTTCTATGGAAAACCCCGACCTTGTCCGCACCATGACAGACATGGTCGCCGCCAACGACGTCGAAGGCTTCAAGCACAGCTGTACGGCGCTTTCTGACTACGACATGAAGCCTGACATGCCTTCGTGCGCCGTGCCCGGCTTATTTGCTGTAGGAGAGGGTGATGCAAAGGGAGCCCTGGTCAACGCAATGGACGGCTTCAAAGGCCTCCTCGGACGAAACGGGACTCAACTCAAAGTCGTTCCCAACACTGGGCATTTGCCCATGTTTGAGGATCCAAAAGCGTTTTGGGGAGCTGTTCAAGATTTCTTATAAAAAAATGTACGTGTTATATAGAGAGTTGGGCAAATAGATGGTAGACACCCTTGCGCAGCGATTTGCCTCCATCGTGAGCCAAGCATCCATATTGATGAAAATAATCAAGGGATATCATACGTTGATAATGATACAATTCCAATTTAGGCTAAGTATAATGTCAATATTCTGTTGTAAACTCCGTATCGTCTTTCCCACCTTTGTGCCATACAGCAGTCCTCCAGTAAGTATCTGGCTCATGCCTCCGTCCTACAATTCGCTCCCAAACACGAATTATCCAGCTTACAACGCTCACAAACCCATTGCTCTTTACATCATCCTACAGCTCCATCTACTGATAGCATTGCCCCTTCACACTCGCCTCCAGTCCACCTCAAAGGTAAAGTCAAACGAATTGTCCGGGTCGCCAAAGACAAACGGCACGTTGGCCGCCACCACGCGCGAATCCACCGGCAGCGGCGTCTGAGACCTGCGGCGAAGCACCTGTCGTCGTTGTTGGCGCAGCGCATGATATTCGCAAAGCAAACGCTTGTTGCGACCCTTGGGAGCCGGCAGCATAGGTTGTGCCGTGAGCGACACTGGCGCGACGATATCCGCCTCGCATGCCAACACGCCAAATCGCACCTTTTCGGGGTTGCTGTGCCGGCTCAGTTGGCTGGTCTTGGAGTAGCGGATGAAGTGATCCTGCAGCCAGTTTTTCAAGTGAAGAAACTCTGGCTTGATGTTCCAGGTCTCGTCGTCTGCTTCGTAGTATGTTCGGGGGCCGCACTTGTACTTGGGGGGTGACCAGCTCTCTGTCCATGTGTGAGTGGCTACGATCCATCAGAGCAACGACGCTCGTCTGAAATCAAACTTACCAAAAGCAACATCAGGAGGCGTCTCCTTGCGCACAAGCAGGTAGTCCACAAAGTAGAACTCCTCCAGATTGGGCAAGTGCCTCGCGAGAAACTGGTACAGGTGCCTCGGATAGGCAATGCTCTCTTCCGCCTTATGAAGAAGCCCACATTGCCAGCACGTCAGAGAGTCTTTCTTATGCCATCGGTGGCAGTACCGCATAGCCACTCGCCGGATGTTATTCAGATTGGGGCAGTTGGGGTTGACATCGTAGTTGCCTCGACATTGGAAGAGGTCGGGCGAGAGATACTCGAGAAACAGGATATCGCTCGAGCCGGGAAAAGCCAGCAGCTTGCTGTTGCTCATGCGAACGGCGCCATTCTTGTCCAGGAGGCGGTCCACCAAGTCGCGGGACTCTCCGCAAGTCATGCTGAGCAGCCTGAGCTGCTTGTTGAGGTCGTGAAAGTTGGAAAAGTCGGCCTTTGGGTCTGCAACCGAGGGGACGAGGCGCATAGATACCAGCCGCTTAGGCTTGGTTTCATTCCTGACCTCGACAGCTATCTCGTCCACCTCTTGGTGCTCCCTGGAGGAGTCTAGATCGCCAAATCCCAGTGGGTATCGTCTGGCCGCCGACAGCCATCGCCAGTTGCGGCCGACACACTCAAGCTTGACGAAGCTTATTCCAGGGGTTGAGAAGCTGGCGGTCCATATCTGCAGCCGAAGCTCAGTCGGAAGCTGATTGAACAGCGCAAAGGTCTGGCACTCCTTGGGGATCTCGAACTTGATGGGAGAGGAGGCCATTATGACCAGCGGTCTGCACAAAACAGCAATCGGATAAGGGGTCGATGAGGTGAGATGCCTGCTCGAGCAAAGCGAAAAGAAGATGCGAGAGGTTGTAAGACACGATGCCAGTCCCTTGTGAAGGTAGGGAGACGTGAGTAATCTAGGTTGGTTTGTGGGCTGGTGAAACGGTACAAGAGCGCCCAGAAAATCCACAGAGGCCGACTGCTGCTCGGGCAGAGAGTTGGGTAAGATAGTTCGCCTGTCAACGGCGTGCTAAGAGCGGCGTCTGCCTCTGCTGAAGAAGAGTCGCGAAACGAGAGTGATGATGTTTGGAACGATCGACTATACTGGTGTGAGTAGGAGAGAGAGAGAAGAGAGAGAAGAAAAGAGAAGAGGAGGGGATGATGCGGGCATCAGGGGCCCTTATCTGGGTAAGGGAAGGAAAGGGAACAACAGAGGCAGAAGTTAAACGACGTTGAGTTTTGTGGCGCGGACGTGGTCGTGTCTTGTGAATCAGGTACACTGCCTGTCTACGGAAGCTGCATGAGGTACCTGGCCCCGGCGTACCCGCGTCCAGTTTGATACCTTACTTGCCGTAACTGGGAATGCTCGAGTGCACGCTCCGAGGGAAAGTGCGTGGATAACGTGCTTCGATTGAAGCTTTGAGGCTGTGGCCTGCTGAATGTATTCCAGGTGTGCAGGCCACCCCCAACGTAGACGGGACCTCGCACGTCTCCAAGGCCGTGCATGATGCGTGTGTTTCTGGCTGGATATATTCGCTGGCAGTTGGGAAATGACTGACTTTCGACATTAACGTTGTTAACAATGTACTAATGCAAGTCCAACTTACCTCAACGCATGGGTGTGTAGAGTTGATACTTGTATGTGGCGGCCTGATCTGCTTAATATCACTGTCAACGGAGTTTTGGGTACACGCAGGCGGATTTAGTTTAGGCTGCTCCTTCATGTTCACCCGGCAACCAGCAAACAAGAGTTCTTTGTAACAAGGGATACCGAAGATTTCGAGTATATTCTCTTGCAGAGGGCAAGCAATGACGGCGGGTGAGTATCGAGTTCTCTTTGAGATGGAGAGGACAAGTAAAAGGGCTCAAGTCGGACCATGTTTCGGGAAATTAAGGTGTTCCTGTCGGTCGGCCATGGAACGAGTTGTGTCATCTTGTACCTCGCAAAGGCACATGAACTCATGGGTTTGAGACCTGAAAGACTGGCGGTCCTTGATGAGAGCGTCACGTTGTTGGATCCGATTCTCCCGGTGCGGATCAAGACTCGTGTCATTGTTTATTATCAGTCGTAGTTGCTTGTATTCAGATGTTTGGAGCTCAATCTTCTAGAGAAAGCTGCTTTTTGACATCATCGGTAGAATAGACCTGACCACTGTCTCAAGCAAGGGTTAGGATTGTAAAACGGAGGACGACTGTACCTAGGTTAAAACCAGATGCACGAGATCAAGCAAGTGCGATAAGTGTTTCATACTGAGGTAGACATAATGTCCGTAAGAGAGCTCACATGGAACAGGATTGATTCTTGCTCATTGGACAGAGAAAGATGGTGCCTTCAAGTCTTGCAGATACTTATGCGCGGCAGCTTCGCTTATTTGATGACCTCAACTGATCCAGACTCTAGATCCTGGACAGACTGCAAGCGATCCAGTCTTCACAGCCCCAAAGTAGCGTTTCGTGCTATAGCCGGAACAGTCACTCCAAAGTCAGCTTATGCTGAATCGGCTCGGCTCGTTGGATCCGAGATTTCGGGAGAGCCAGGGTCAGTGTGTACATATGGTTCCCTTGATAGGTGCTGGGTCGCTTCGTACAAGATCTTGGGTAGTGCCTAGATAGGTACTCGGATAGGCCTCTATGGCCTCTATTGGAAACAAGGCTATTTCAAAGCCCATGAAAGCAACGCTCATTTATGAAACACGATCAACGAAAATGCTTGGGATCTGTATGGCTCGTAATGAAGTAATTACAGATCGTTTAGTACGCATCAACTGACGCTCATGAACTGCATGGAGCTACTACCAATCGGCTGAAAGGGACCCCTGCCTGTGCGGTGTTCTACCAACATCAACTTTAATAACTGAGCGGAATATAGACCAACAAGGACTGCATTCGGAAGGGGAAGCTTAGTCATGCTCTCAAAAGTACTTACCCAGCTCATCTTGCCAAAATCCTACCTATAAAGAGATGGCTTTCCCACCAGTCCCGAGTAGATGATCTTTTTCTCTTCCGTCACACACTTACATCCGCACTCTGAGCAGATAATATAACGACAACCTCTTTCGTTCCACCATGGAGATACAGCCGACCGAATTCCCTCAGTTTGCACTCTTACCTGTGGAGCTTCGCTTGGCCATCTGGTTCTACTGTCTGCCTCATCGAGTTGTCCATAGAGACGATCCCTTCATTCTTCGGCGCCTCCGTGAGGAGCACAAGTGTTGGTCTGTGCGGCCAACTCTCAAGAATGCTGCTCCGCCACGCATTGCCTCAGTCTGTCGTGAATCCAGACAAGTCGCCATGCGCTGGGGCAAGATGGTTTCGCAGGGCTACAACTGGAGCCTAGGGCCGACTTGGATTCAGCCCCGTTTGGACACATATCATCTCAACTTTATCCCTGAGGCTGCTTGGGACTCCGGCGACTATGACTTGGATAAATGCTTGCTTCGAGAGTTTGTCATCGACGGGTGGAATTGGCTCGATGGGGTCCCGTTATCGGTACCCGCAGAGTATTGCTTCGATTTCGACTTGAAAATGCAAGACATCTCCATGATGCGCGACACCCCTTTTATCAAATTCAAAGACGGCTTGGTCGACGAAGATTTGAACGTGGTTTATAACGAATACGCCTACATGTATTCGAGACCGTTTACAGAAGTCTCCATATCCGCTACCATGGCCTTCATCACTATTCATGCAAAAAGAAGGCACGCCGTCGCGTCGAGCCTTTTTGGTCTGCTGCTTGATGCACCAGCGCAACTGGTAGACTTCGATGACGAGCAAAAGATCCGATCATTTCGCGCCCTCTTTGAGAGCAACAACTCCAACCGCAAAAGGACTGAGATGATCGAGCTATTTTCTCTCGTCTTGTCACCCACCTTCAGGTCTCGCGTACAAGCCTGGAGGGAGAAGGTGGATTGGCTCATGATGGCAACTGCATGGGTGCGCGCGAAGATGAATTGGGAAAGTTGCATACCCTTCGAGGATGGCCCATCTTCAGCCTGGAATCCGATCATCGAAGACTCCTTTGACAATTGGCAGTTGGTATATAGGAGGAACAAGCATCAGAACTACGAGAACCTGTTCGACAATGACAACCCCTGGGTGATGCAGGCCAAAAAGGAGCTGCCGCGAGTTGCACCAAAGATTCTTTTCATGCTTTGTACCGATGACTGTGATGTGGATGGAGATGTAGGCATGGTCCCGTCTGTACCGCGTGGGTGCACTCGAAACGACTTCTTCGAAGTCAGTGGATATGACTCGCTCTGAACGATGTCTTGGCCAACTTTTACGATTTTAGAACCCATCTGAATACACATCGCTCTTCAGATGAGCAAAAGAAGTTTGATGTCCTATATAAAGCTCATGTCGAGGCATTCAGCCAACCTCAAGTCCCTACATATTTTCAAATGAATGCTCTCCCACATGCAAGAAGAAAGCCCTTGGAGTTGATCTTAGCTCGTGACAAACACTCCCAAGTGCTTCACTTGCAACCATTCACCAGCTTTCTATGAAGGTCCTCAAGGGAACGAACAACTTCTGCATGACTCAAGCCCTGGCCGCTTGAGTTGAAAGTGCCCGCGAATTTTTCGATCTGTTCCTTCCAAGCCTGTATTCCCACCTTTTGGGAGTTTGCGTTGTACGTCGCCTCAAAGTCTATCTGCTCATAGACGAACGGTGGGCGACTGATCGGAGGCTTCATCACAATCCTTAGATTCTCCAATTTTGCCGTCTTAGCCGCCCAGTTTTTGAACTTCTGAAGCACGCTCGCCGCGCCGCCTTTGCGGCGGGCGTTGGCTATAATTGGGAGCAGATCCGTTATTTCTTTGAAGTAGGTTTTTTTCAGGTCTATGCCATCCTTGGCGAGCGCTTTTTTGGTGTCGTCAATGACCTCTTCGATTTTGACTATTAATTGATCGAAAGTCATTTCGGCTCCAAATTGTGAGTCTCTGATAAACTGCCCGGTAAAACCAACTTTGTCGATCTCCTTCGCAGCAGCCTCAGGGTCGCTGAACAGCTCATCTGTCTTGAAAGGGGTGAAATCCATCTTGGTCCAATCCGGAAACCTTTCGAAGAGCGGTTTCCCGTCGGCGGTTTTTATAGGCTTGCCCTTGGAGTCCAGGAGTTTCTGTCCTTTTTCCGTCTGAGTGACTGTCTTTATGAAGTCTTCAAAAGTGCAATCCCCAGGGCATTTTGGCGCAACAATGTTTGTACCTTCCCCAAGCCCTTGGATAGTGAATTGGCGAAGGCGCCAGTATAATATCAGTTCGTATTTCCCAGAGTGTTTGTTGGCCAGAGCTCCAGACAGACACAAAAGGGCCAAGGGCCAGAGAAGCAAGAGGACGGGCAGACGCATGGTGGAATTCACGCCCAGATACTCTGAGTCGCAAAGACAGCAATACCGTCAGAACAGAGACGAAAAAATCAAGGTTAAGATCGAGGATAACTGAAAGTGTTGTTAGGGCGATCAAGCTTCACTCTTGTTGGAGTCATGACAAGCGATATACCAGAGAAAAGCTTCACGGTAGCCGCAAGGGAGGCAATCTTACACAAGGCTCGGGCATGACTATGGAAAATCAGGTAAATGGAGCAAAGCATGGAACTTTTGCTTTTTCGTTGACCGGCCTAACACATATTTACCTTTGTCAAGTTCTAGAGCGTCGGGATCTTGAGTCTCATGGGCCCATTGTAATCTGCTTCTTTTTTTCCCCTTTTCTTCAGGCTGTGCTCATATTGCTGGATGGGTAACTGAGGAGGCAACGTGCATCCAGTGTAGCATAGGAAACGGGACCCTGCTTGTCACACAACCACGTTGTTATCCTTAAAGTGGACAAGCAATCCGAATTCGCACGTTTGCGTTCCACTCCCAAGGCCTGCCCAAGGGCCTACTACCCGCATATGGCAAGTCGTAGCCCGTATCGCGAGCATGCAATTTATAGCAACCAACAATTGCTTGGCGCTTCGGATAGCCGCTGCATGGTTTTCGTGTGGTTTCTGCTTTGTCAGGGTTTGCGGAAGCTGTGGAAAAAAGGTTGCGCAACCAACGACGGAAACGCATGCGACTATTCCGAGAGGGGGAAGTCGTCTCAAGAACGGAATGTCGTCCAACAGCCCATGGCTCAATCTCTAATCCTACGCTTCTTGGATGATTTAGAATCTCATCGGTATGTAGCCACGGATAAGAAACAGAAAAAAAGGGGCAAAGGGGTAGTTCCTAATCCGGGAGCGTTGAACTGTGCTGCCAAGGTTCTCTAAGTCAAGCTCGGCGGTTGAGCGGAACTCGGTAGAAGTTTCAGCACTTCGGTTGCCTATAGGTAGAATAAGCTTGGAATAAGCTTACCAGGCACTTGGGACAGGGACTCAGTTGATACAGCGATTGTTGCAATTCTTAGGTATACAGGTACCATAGTCCAGAGGCTTCAATAAACAATGCCAATTTACTACATCTGTCTTTTTTAGGTCACCCTACATAGTGTAAATGACAACATTGTCAAACGTCGTCTTGGTCCCCGACACTCTCACGCCGTTCAAGCCCGTGAGGTATGTACCATCTTCCGTCTCAACTTTTGGCTCATTCATGTCATCCACAAAGATGGATATGGCGTTCCCCTTGGCCCGCACCATGATGTGGTGAGCCGTTCCGTGTTGGATGGATGCTTTGACATTGGCCAACTCCTTCCAGCCGTTGTCAGAACGGCCGAAAACAATGTAGCCATTACCAAAGCCAGCATAATAGCCATAATAGCCGTCCGTTTCAACGTACGGGCTAGAAGCCCGGAAGACGAGACCAGCATCACCACTTTCGTCCCAGATGGTCACGTCCGCCTCGTAAACAAAATCGGTATACAACGCATTGCGTATCAATGCCTTACCACCAGATGACGCCTGACCGACAAGCGCGGCGTTCTTGGTGGCATAGTCTCCTCCGTAGGAGATCCACTTGTCCATGGACCCCGAGACGAAGTCATCTTTGAAGGCCAGCGGAAAGATCTGCACATTGTCAAACGTTGCGCCGGTATCAAAGACACGCACGCCGTCCATGCCACTGGCATAAGTGCTGTCTGTTGTACTGATCTTTGCCTTTGTCATGTCATTGACGTAGACGTCGATTTTGTTCTCCCGAACCTTGACCTTGAGGTGATGGGCCTTGTTGGCCGCAATGTCGACGTCGACGAGGCTGATTTGGGTCCAGTCGTTGGATGCACGTCCTAGCACGACATTGTTCTCCGTGCTGATACCGGCGTAGTAGCCCTTGTAGGCGTCTGCGCCTTCTGCAGGGCTCGAGACCCGGAAGATAAGGCCAGCATTGCCCCATTCGTTGGTCAAGGTAACGTCGGCCTCGAACGTGAAGTTGGAGTAGCTGCTCTTCAGCAGGGCTTTACCGCCAAGCGAGTAGTCTGCAACGAGCACTCCGGAACTTGAGCTGAATGAGCCATCAAACGTGGTCCACTGCCTCAAGCCAGCGGTGAAATCGTCATAGTAGGCATCGGTCTTGGGTATTTCCGTAGGAGTGGGAGACGGTTTGGTCGTAGTCGACGAAGGAGGAGGTGGTGGCGGAGGAGGCGGCACATAGGCGTCTCCAGACGAGATGCAGGTCCAGGTGACTTTGGGTGTCTTCCTAGCATTGGCATCAAGCTTCTTACTATAGCCCCAGGCTATGGCGACAAGATAGGTTCTGTTGGCGGCGATTTCATAGGCAATAGCATCGCCGGGGGAGTGATATCCGGTACCAATGCGCCAGCTATACTGCTACTCCTTGGGAATCGTCTCAAGAGGCCCCAGGACGGAGTTGGATATGACGGTGTTATCGGCATCTATGATGTGCGTCAGCAAAACTTGTCATGATTCTTTTGATACTTCTTGAAACGTACACCAAGAATCTTGTCGGGCGTATCCAAATGAGTCACCGCAGCTCTTGGGTATTGGATCAAAAGTCAACTGAGCGCACATTGTGTTGTTATCCGCTGTGCCCCAGCCGCTGGCTAAGAGTGTCGTGAGGTCGTCCAGACAGGCCTGCTCGAGAAAGCCACAGCTTTCGCCCCCATCAGCCGACTTCTTTGCCTCAGGCTTCGTCGTGATAAACACGTGGCGGCAAATGTACCACGAAGGGTCCATGGGAAGCGCCTTTCCGCCGGACATCATGCTGTCGGGAATGCCAAAGGTCAACGAGGACAGCACCGTCGTCGCATCCACCACAACCGCCGGGTCTGTGAGGACTTCTGGAGCAACTGTGAGATGCACAGAATGGCCGTCGACAACGTCACCTCCTGGCCACGGTCGAGTCCAATCCCAGCCAGAGAAGCTGGCAGAGGCCATGGCCACGGGCTTGGTAAATGCGTCAGACACATTTGGCCAGTTCATCTGGATGACATTGGACTGTTCCATGAAGAACTCGCCATTGTTCAGAAAGACCGGAGTCTTGAGCGGACTGCCAGGCATCGTGCTTGGAAGTGTCCTGGGTGCAGGTGAGGCAAGGTAAGAAGTCTGATGATCGGCAATGATTGGTGAAAGTTGAGGACACCAAGACGAAAGGAAGAATGGCAAAGGAACAGCCTGGTAACGTAGATAATAGACGCCTTTTCCTATGCAGACGGAGTTGATGACGAGCATGTGTGAGTTTTAGGTAACATCAAATTTATCTCGACTCGGCCAGACAAAAGAGCTTAACGGAAGTTCAAGAGATGCCCAAAAGGGTGATTCCGAGCGTGTTGGTCCGGGGACTCGTGATCCCTGCAACGATCCACCTCTCCACAAAGAACCAACAACAACAACAAGTGGTCCCTGCATATGGTGTGAAGATTTTATGGCTAAAACAAAGTATCGAGTTAAGCTTGTCGGAACCGGCCATAGAAACAAAGTTCCCCTGCGAGGAGCCGCAATGCGGCCGTATGGTGTTGCACGTAGGGCGGGGGCCATATCTACCCCTCGAGGCAGTAGCCAATCTTCTCGAGTGGTTAAATGTTCACCGGATGAACTTCCGGGTGGCAAAATTACCGATATTGCTTGCAATTCTTATCGACAGCACAAAGTGCCAAGAGTCGAGGCTCTGGAAGAGACCCAACGGACGAAGCGAGACGACAGACAGGGATGTATCGGCTTCCAGGAGCCGAGACTCGCGGAACGAAGCCCTCGAGAGCCAAGAGGCAGTCTACCACCCGAGGTACTATAATGAAAGCAATTCGTTCTTCATCTTCTTGCTGGGTCTCTCCCCTCAACCAGCCTCGGCCTCGGATATTCTATAGTAAAGTGTATCTCCAATGCGGCGCTCAATTGCCCTCTGGGCCGCCCTCAGCCGCCTCGCCTTCCTGTGTGGCGCTATCAGAACTACCTACAACGGCCAGTACGCAGAAGACTGTCCTAGCCTTTGCAATGACGCTGGTCCAGACCCGTCCAACTGGACAAACGTCCACCATCTGAGGGAGCTCAAGACGTGTCACCTACCCATCATCTTTGATGTCAACGTACAAGCCTTGGTCGACGACCCTCAAACTATCCTCACCATTCGAGCCTGCGTGTCCACTGGGCAGGAGACATACAACACAAAGTCTCTTCCTCCGCTGCAAGACGATGGCAGTCGGGTTAGCCATGGAAATCTCACCATTTCGAACAATTGCGGCGGCAAGACTATCAAATCTTCCGTGACCCCTGGGGTTGACGGGAGCGTGTCACACCCCGGCTCTGGAGCGAAACCAAACGCAACAGACGTCTTGACGGCAACTCGCCATCTCACGCTGTTCTTGCACAAGGGCTCTCAGTGCGGCACTACCATCATGTTCGCCAAGTCAAACTCTGCCGTGGTTGGTCTCTATTCAGGAGCGGAAGTGGCGCAGACCTCAGTCTCTGCGATGTTGTCAACGTTCCGTGATCGAGTGCAACATGGTGGTACTGCTTTCCAAGTTTGCAAAATTGGAAAGGCAGCTCTGACATTTGGTGTCTAGGCTGCGAGCTTCTTTGATCTCGGCGTCGCCCAAGCTGCGGTAAAGGGCTGGACAAACGGCCTTTGCCTCAACGGCTCAACGCCATCTGCCGCCCTGGACATGGATGTGCTCGTCTCGGCCATCAGCAAGAATACCACAGCCACTCCTCTCCATGGCAACTCCACGCTGGGGGCTAAGGGGCCACGGAGCCTCCAGGCTAGAGCAGACTGCAAGACTCAGCAAGTCAAGTCCGGCGATGGCTGTGCCGATCTAGCAACTCGCTGCGGCATCTCCAGCGCCGACCTCACCAAATACAATCCGCAGGCAAACTTCTGCTCCACGCTCAAGCCAAACCAATACTACTGCTGCAGCGCCGGCACTCTGCCTGACATGCGCCCCAAGCCGAACCCGGATGGCAGCTGCCACAGTTACAAGGTCGCCTCAGGGGATGGGTGCTTCTCCATCGCAAGCTCCTTCGGCATCACACAAGCCAACATTGAGTCGTTCAACAAGAAAACCTGGGGTTGGGCTGGCTGTGCGCATCTCCAGGCCGGACAGCTCATCTGCTTAAGCACAGGAGATCCTCCGATGCCCTCTTCAGTCGCCGATGCTACCTGCGGACCCCAAGTCCCCGGCACGAAGAAGCCAACAGACGGCACCTCTCTTGCGGATTTGAATCCGTGCCCTCTCAACGCTTGTTGCAACGTCTGGGGGTTCTGCGGCACGACAGATGACTTCTGTGTTCCCTCTCCGGCAGACACGGGAGCCCCAGGAACAGCCAAGCCCGGCACAAACGGCTGCATCTCGCACTGCGGCTCAGACGTAGTGAACAATGACGAAGCCCCAGCTTCATTCAAGAGAATCGGCTACTACGAGGCGTTCAGCTACGACCGCGACTGCCTAGCAATGCATCCTAGGAGCATCCCCAAGAACAATTTCACACACGTGCACTTTGCCTTTGCAACAGTCACAGACAAGTTTGACGTCGATATCTCCAACTATGATATTGAGTTTAATGCGTGGAAGGAGGGCGACTACAAAAAGGTGCTTTCGTTTGGAGGCTGGGATTTTTCTACGGGGTCGGATACGTTCCAGAGATTTCGCCAGGCAACTACGTCAGCGTACAGGGGGACTTTTGTGAACAACTTGGTCAACTTTATGAAGAGGGTATGTATCATGGTCCGTATACCCTTTTGTTAAGGTTTTCAGGGACTGACTGTTCTACTTAGGAAAACATTGATGGGTTTGATTTCGATTGGGAATATCCAGGTGTAGGTTGATCTCTCCAACTACATGGCAATGAGTATATGCTGACGCCGGGTTGAACAGGCACCTGATATTCCAGACGTCCCTCCTGGAAGTGCTAGCGAGGGGGACAACTATCTCGACTTTCTCTCCCTCCTTAGATCCAGGCTTTCAAAGGATAAGAGTATATCGATTGCCATTCCCGCTTCCTTTTGGTATTTGCAGTCATATCCCGTCAAGGACATGGCCAAATATGTCGACTATTTCATCTACATGACATATGATCTCCACGGCCAATGGGGTACGTTTTGTTTTGCACCGCACAACATGTCATCTACTTACTTACAATATCCAATAGATGTGGAAAACAAATGGGCCATTCCCAGCTGCGAAGGCGGCAACTGCCTTCGCTCCCACGTCAACAAGACGGAGACCTACAACGCCCTCGCCATGCTTACCAAGGCTGGTGTCAAGTCCACAAAGATTGCCGTTGGTGTAACAAGTTACGGTAGAAGCTTCCGTATGGCAGACCAAAACTGCTCGGAGCCCATGTGTACGTTTCTCGGCGGAAAGCTCGACTCCAAAGCGTACAAAGGGCGCTGCACTGGGACGGCTGGGTACATTTCGAATGCCGAGATTACCGAGATCATTAACAAGCATGGAAACTACTCCATCGTGAACAGTTATATCGATGGAGATTCCGCCTCCAACATCCTTGAATATGGCAACAACGGGGCAGTCGACTGGGTCGCCTATATGGACGGAGGACTCAAAGCAGAGCGCATCAAATGGATCCAGTTGCTCAACTTCGCCGGCTCCTCGGACTGGGCCATTGACCTCGAGACTTTTGCAACTGAGGACACGGGCAAAGGTACCGATGCGAGTGGTGCGCCCCTTTATGACGACGAGGACGAGGACGGCGACGGTACGGATTATGGCTGTCTGGAGGAGGACAACCCTGGGACCCTCGAAGGCATTGCCAATGTCATCGACAACTTCAACGAGCGGTGCCTGAGCTACTTTACTCTGGAAACGCTCTACGACATGCTCATCGACAGCCTCTCCCTCTTCGACGACAACTCCCACGACTATGATGACAAGTTCAAGTACTACGAGGAATGGATCAAGGAGCTCGTAGACCCCAAGCTGGACGACTACATGCGCTTCGGCGACGGGCCTGGCAACCAATTCTTTACCTGTCACTGGGAGGCTGGTAGCAGGAGCGGCACCGATCCCTGCACGGGCGTGCCGCACTTTTGGGAGCTGGAAGAGTCATTCAGCGTCGAGTATGAGCTGACGGACGAGGAGGGCTTTTACGACGACGTGGCCGCGACGCTGGGGATTGACAGGGACTGGATCGCCTGGCGCGACAGGGGCAAGAATTATGACTGCGCGGCCCAGGCCGAGGACATGCCCCGGCGGCCCTACGGAAACGGGAACATGCCCGTCTGCCACCGCATCTTCCGGCGCCGGCTCAACGTGCCGGTCAAGGCCTCGGACGACGACATCGTGGTGGCCAACCCAAAGGAGATGATTGAGAGCTCCTGGACCAACATCACGGCGCTGCAGGAAACACTCCTGGCAACCATTGTCGACGTGGCCCTTGACATTTTCCAGGACGCCACCGTTCAGGTCCCGGAGTTCGACGCCATCGTGGCCTTTGCAATGCCTGTACTGCAGCTGGCCGAATCTATAGACAGCATGAAAGACATCAAGGACATTGGCGAGCGCGTCATGGAGGAGAAGAAGCGCGAGCTCATCTTCAAGATCCTCACCTTTGTCTTCATGGCGCTACCCTTTGTCGGCGAGGCCTTGGGTCCGCTGGTCGGCAGCGCGACGGCACTGGCTCGCATAGCGCTGCTCGTCAGCGAGGCCGGGAACACGGCTGTCACCATTGCAGACATCATCAAGGATCCGACGTCTGCGCCTTTTGCCATGCTGGGACTCATTGTCGGGGCGGCGGGCGGCGGCGGGAAGTTGTCGAGGACGGAGAGCTTGGGAGAGGCTTCCAAAGCGCGGGGGTTGATGAAGGCGGCTGACTTGGCCAAATTTCCGCAGAGGTTCCGCGATAGGGATGCTTTGGTGCAGAAGATCTCGAAGAAGTCGGTGTGCAGCGTTATTTGATGTGATCGTTGATAATGCCAAAGTTGCCATGTTGACTACAGTTGGTAGCCTATTGAGTGTCTGTAGACTTTGATGAGATATCTGTCGATTGGTATGGGAACGTGATTTCTTCCATCATCACAAGAGCCTTTGTGTCCATTGCCTGCTGATACATGTACTGACTTGCAGGGAGGTACTTCGTATGTCGTTGCATTATGCAGGTATCACCCCTGGTCAAGCAAAGGCCAGGGGGGGGGGGGGGGGGGGGGCATGCAGGTGGAGCAACACGCATCGGCTCGCTTGAAAGCTTAAAACTCTCCTCGGTAAGATCTCATGCATACTGTGTACTATTGCACTCAACAGCCGGAAGCCAGGGTGCTTCCGCAGGGGCCCTGATCCTTCACAGCCGTTGCCTCCTGAGAGCTGCGGAACGAGCTAAAGCTGGGCCGCAGAGCAAGGTAACCTAGTCAGTCATGATTGGCTTGGATCGGAATCTGGTGAATCCCCCCCCCTCAGGCCGCGAGCCGTTGCGGGGTGCCTTCCCTGCCTCAGCTACCTAGACAGACTTGAATCCCAGCCTGGCTGATCCTGGTTTTCTAGGTCGTAACTCTTGGCTACCTAGGGCGCCAAGACAGAATTACCACCACACGATTACATGATTACACAATTACACAGTTACAACCAAGGTAGAGCCCACGTACATTCTGGTTCTCAAGCTGTTCCTCTGCTGTTGTTGTCTCCATATACCTACCTACTGTCCTCAACTCTCCTCGCCTACCTTGGTAGGTATACATTCTACTAGCACATATGCGAGGAGCAAAGTGTACTTGCAAGATACAGTGGTTCTTGTGGCTTCTGTCACGGCCATGTTCTTCCGCAAGGCAGCGCACACTCTTCGGCACCCCCTATGCAGGTTGCGGGAAGCACCCCGGGCAGTCACAATGAATCGTAGGTCATAAGCGGCGCTAGGGTTTCCCTCTCATCTCCTACCTCTATGCTTTTGACTCTATGGCGGATGCACGGCAACGGTTCCTGCCAACTTACCACATGAGAAAAAATATAAAAGGCCCAGTCTGTTCCCTCTCTGACTATCATTGTTGTTACCACTGAACAGCCATCATTGTTATAGTAGCCACTGTCTGCTCAGTCTCGTATCGTCCCATTTCATCAAGCCTCAGCCCCGGCCATGGCCTCCTCCTCTCCCAATGGCCTGAATACTCCAGGAGCCACCGACTCCCACACGCCTCGCGCATCCAATGTTGTCGGTGACAACGCCGCGTGAGTATCACTCTGCCATCTCTGCCATCTTCTTCTTCTTCTTTCCAACATCATATTGGACGCAAACACTATCAAATGCTTTGCCCTGTTGTGCGGTGGTGGAGGATCCGAAGCACACACATGTTCCTCTCCTCTTCCAAGTCTAATCATACTGGAAACTAATCACGTCGTATTTAGACCTACCTTTGCAGAAATCAGAGTCAACGGCGCCACCTTTACCTGTGGTCGTCATCCACCCTTTGTCATCCGCCGCTACATTTCCGAACGCCAGAGACCTCTCGGATACAAACGACCCTTGAGTGCCTCCGTAGCGAGGGAGCGTATGCGCGCCAAGCTCTCTGAGTTTGATGCCAGGTTCAACTCGGCCCGCGCTTACGATCACTTCTGCGAGCCTGCGAGCCACTCTACGTTTTATTACCCCCACGAGGATGTGCTGGATATAGTGGCGCCATGGTTGTATCCATACGGCGAAGACGATGGTTTGTCGAGGATGGTGGCCAATATTCGGCTGTGACGTCGACACAGAGAGGGTAAGGTTGTGTTTATGTCGTGTGGTCAAGCAATGAGTGTCTGTAGGAGTACGACTTGAGTATGTTCAGATGGCAACCACACATGATCAATACTACTTTGCATTGATTTGAGACTTGGCCAGCGTTTCCCAGTGAACCATTTTGCCAACAAGTCGTAGATACTTTCTCAACCTGCAAATGTAAAGCATCTCTGAAACTGCTCGTGATTCCGTCATAGACGTCGGAGAGACTCATTACAACTATGGCCCTGTTCTGTTTTGTTTCATCAACCGCAAAGCAGGCACTTCGCGAGGAGATGGAACCCTTCCTTGCCTCCCCCGTATTCTTGAGATGACGGAGTGCCATTCTCTAGCACATACGACCATAGGTAGTGGAAAACTCGGGGTCCCGTCTGCTCCCCCATAGATAAGCCACTAACCGGCAGATTAGTAGTTGGGTGGGTGACCACCAGCGAACACCGGCTGTTGTATGTTTTTATTTTTTTTCCTTTTCTCTTTTTTCACGTTTTCGTTTCCTCCTGTGTATCCACTCTTCTTCTTCTTTCAATCTACTATCAGAGCCCTTTCTGCAGGCTGCGATATACCGATATAAGTCATCACCAATGGCATGCTCTCAAGGCATATGCGGTGTTTCCACTGACATGACAGCTCTGATCAAGTACTTAATAAGCCCTCAGCGGGTAGCACTTTATTGTTATTGTTCCTGTCTCTTGACTGAGCGACTAATGCCAGAGACAGGCGTGGCTGCATATGCAAAGAGAGTGTGCGGAGACAGTCGTGAAAACTGCCGAATCAAAGCAGGGATATAATACCTACATGCGGCGTCGGAAGGCTTTGTGATTCAGTGCAGAACCGAGTCAGCGAAGAGCCAAATGTTCGATGCATGTTGCAGCGATATTCAGGTAGTACCATGCGCTCCGGCTACAAGCCTTGGAGCCGGCTCCCCGAATCAAACCATTGGCCTTACTGATATGAGGGCTCTATACCTGCATTTTGCGGTTCTTACATGCAGAGTATTCCACTTGCTTGACCGGTTCGCCGGTCAGCCAACAGCCTTATTACCTAGTATGGTATACGTAAATGAGGCTACTATATGTATTGGCGCTACTCATGCTACATGTCTCACCGGTTTGATTCAAGAGCCAGTTAGCATTTTGTGCGACCTCCTCTTACCATCTCACCTACTTTCAGAGGATTTTGAGGACCAAATCAGAATGTCTGTAGACCCATCCCGCATGGCTAGGCTATCAGATTCCCCTGGCTTATGCCACCTATGTAACGCATGCAAATTTATCCTCCATCGGACCCGCCATGCCGGATGAAGGTCTCGTTGCTAAAGCCGATTGTCGCCTGCTGCAAAACGCAGTAGGTGGGGTGTGTAGACGTCGGGTAGCGTACAACGAAGCTGTGCCTGAGTGGGCGTGTATTTAGATAGCTGGCAGCCGGTCTCTTTTCTCCGCGCGAACTATGAGCGGCTGAGCGGCAGTAGGGGCGGTCAAAGGCAGGGGGGCATGTATCTTTATCAAAACACATTAAGAAGTCTTCATGTTTGTTCTCATATGGTTACTCGGTACTTAGCTATAAGCTAGGCCTAAATTTGTGCCTGCAGCACATGAGGTGGCCGCCCACGCCCATCCCTTTTGCGGCGTTCTTTTAGACCAGTACCTGCTTTCTGTGTCCTACCTGTAGTAGCACTTTCAAGGCGTTCGGAGGCCTGCCGCCCGCCAAGACCTACCGCGATGCGGTCTCCAACTTCCGTACGTGCGTGGGCGGACTCGCGCTGCCTGAACGGTCCAAGGAAAGGGAGGTAGTCCTGCATGCAAGTTTTGGCAAACTAGCAAACTCGAGAATGGCTGTAGCAGATGACGAACGACGCGCTTCTACATGAGTACGGGCATACAAAGCCTCATGTTCGCGCCGATGTCACTTTGAGCTCGTACGCCCCGCGTCTGGGGGGGTGGCTCCCCAGCACTCCTGACGTGCAGCACTAGTGGTGTTTTCTCCAGAAGATGACTTCAAAGAAGAAGACGAGCGGTCTACGGTTTGGTCAAAGTTAGAAGTTTGCAAACATTTGAGGCGTCATTCGGGGTGAGTAGGCAAGGTAGACACATATAAATATCCACGATAATCCTGCCTTTTCTCTTTCCTGCTCCTCATCAAACACTCACACTTCCATCAATCCCTCTACCATACCTTTTACAATCATCAACCATCAAAAGCTCACCCTTTTTCGAATCTGCATCACCGAAAATGCCTACTTCATCCACTGGCGCAGTCTACGATGGCAGTATTGCCGGAAGGTACGTTTTACTTTGGTGGACTACACCTATGCCCCGATGCTTATATAGATGTCATCCCCACATCTCGGTTGCATTCTTGCGTTGCATCCTTCTTCCATCAAATGCTTGCGTTCCCTTCGCTAACATCTGATGTCGCAGTGGCGGCTCCCACAGGCGGCAACCCCCCCGCGACGCCGGCAGCCACGGCGCCATCCGAATCCCCCGCGATCCGTCATACAGCCTGAACCGCTTCCTGCAGGGCAGCGACGAACGGCCGCCGCCTGGTCTCGGACAGGCACAGAGCGAGGCTGAAGCTGAGCAGCGCATGCAGGAGCGTCTCCGCGCCTTTGGTGCCGAGTTTGCTCACGGCGGTACCTCTGCTACAGGCCGAAAGTAGGAAATGACGGGTGTATAAGAGCTTGGATAATGGAGATAATGGATATAGAAGTGTTGGATTGGGGTGATGGAAAATGGAGTGATGGAAAATGGAGTGATGGAAAATGGAGTGATGGAAAATGGAGTGATGGATATTGGCCTGATGGGTATTGGATTGATGGGTATTTGAGGTGACTTTTTGGACACGCCTATGGCGACTTCTGTGTCCGCGGGACGTCTTTCGTCAAGTAGATAGATTAGATAGATTAATACACTAATATTTCTTAAAGTTTCTGCACCCGAACCCTTATTCGGTCGACGTTTCTGCATGACTCGCTGATACATCACCTCGTGCGAAGAAAATGACGCGCCCCGAAATACAAGGCCTGTCGCGTAACACATACTGTCATCTCAGGCGCTGTACTGAAGACGCACCTGTAGACCTTTGAGCTCAGCCCAGCGGTCCCAGTCTCCCATCAACACAGGTAAGTCGGGCAGTTCAAACATCAACGCAGACTTGCAACAATAGACAGAGGCCCCATAGTGACTATAATTAGCAGCGGGAACAGCCGGCGCCGTTTCTCGCCTAAGTTGAAGCTTAATCAGAGCGCGAAAAAGGGAAGTGGGCCCGATTTTGGTGCGTTGATGCTCACTGTTGGTCTCAGCGACAATCTTTTGTTCGCACTGGAATTCTTCAGAAGAAACGCGCCAACATCATGGACCAACATTAACCTATATCAACACGCATTTGGCTCAAAGAAATTGGTGAGAAAATGGATTGTTTGAATATTATAGATGACCGTCTGTTTTACGGCATGCAGCCTCGAACCTGCTAGCGGATGCTACAGATCCCCCATTAGCACCCCGCAACGGGCGAAGAATGCGAAACACGTACACTATAAAGAGTATTATTAGCAATAAAGGGGGAGAATAGAATTAAAAGTATAACGAATCAACTAGATAAAGAGAATGAGAGAATGAAAAGAAAAAAGAGAGAGAGAGAGAGACAAAGAAAAAATCGGGGGGAAAAGTAAGCCCCTGACATTATCTCGCCAGAAGTGAAAAGGCTCTGAACTTCTCTCGACGACCCAGGGGGATCAGTATATCATGCAAATGCAACCTATCAGTGCTAACATAACCAGGGACAAATGAACACAAGCCAGAGACGTGGTCTTGCCTCCGACAAAACGAGTGTTGCCGTCTTCCTGAACAAAGGAATCTCCGAATGCCCCTGAATACGAGAAGTATGGATTTTTCCTCCACTCCCCCAACTTATTCCTGCCATCGTCTCCGCAATTCTGCATTATATCCTCTCCATGGACTCTTCGCGATTAGGTAGCTTTCTTCACCCGCCAAAGAGTTAGTGTATCCCGCCATAGCTGGTATCGTAAGACAAGCCCAAAGTCTACTGTCAGCATGCTGCTCTCGTCAAACCCAGGCCGTTTACGACGAATGTAACATGTATACATTGTCCAAAAAACAGTTGTCGTTTTTACCCTACGTCTGCACGTCTTTCTTGCATGGTTAGAGGCTTGTATCCCGAAGCAGGGGAGCATAGCCCCTGGCTAAACCCACAATACCCGCAGGCACAGCCCCTCTATTCCTCCGCTAGATCTCCGAGCCCACTGATGCTCCCATGCAGGCGATCTTAGAGGCACAATGCCCCAGTCGATGTCATGCACGCTTAACCTATTTCTCCGTCGCAAGATCATGCAAATCATGTGCGCGGCTCTAGTAGCTGTCGTTCATGCATACGAGCAGGGAGCGGCCAAAGTCGGAGAGCTGTTCATCGGAGTGTCGGCGCAGCTTGATGTACTTGGCAAACAATTCGGCTCAAGTGCAAACCATGATCACAACGCATTATCGTAGTATTTTGAGGTAGGCGTCTCTGTAAGAGCTATTCTTGGTCTATGGGCTTGTACCTTGAGGCCATCCACGCCAGTGACACAAACCGAGTACGCCCACCCCCTTGCATGAAAGAACTACATCACGTAAAAAAAGCTCGCAAACTTTGATCTCTACGAGTAGTACTCGAGTCCTAAAGTCCTAGGTAGTACGCTGTCCATCAGGGTAGCTTGACAGGGGTGGACAGAGGAGAGTGCCGCCAGCCACTTATGGAGAGTATAGCCTCAGATGGATGGCGGTTTGTCTCCGCTGCAGTAGTTGGATGTCACGGGTCAGGTACCCAGAAAAGGTCTCAAAAAGCAATGCCGGTGATGTGACTATCAATAGAGTGGCAGATCGTCGTGAGAATGCGAGTTGTCGGCTTTGAACTGCAGGGAGCAAGCAAACCGGAGACTTTGGCCTGCTGTCATTTGGCCAAACTCTCGATCTCCGGCAGCAATACGAAGTGAAGAGTGGTAAAAGTGACTCATGCTTGCACACCCCACATCCCTGTCCCCTTACACCTCCCCTGCCTCGACATAGGTCCTAGACGACCGACTGCACGCAATCGCATCGTATACTACGGCGCCATCTTCGCAAACACTCAACATTGTTCATGAGTTTGCGGCTCCATGGACAGCCTGTGGCCAAAATGAGGGACAGCAAGTGGCATATGCTGCCATGCCTTGCACCATCTCTGCGCCCCCCAAGACTCGAACGCCATACCCGTGCAACACGTAACATCCTTGGCGGCCCTCTCAAGCACGCCGACGCCTCCCTACAATTCTAGCACGTGCCTCGAGCGCGCTGCAGTCCCTGTCGCGGTGCTACAGGAGCTCTTGCTTTTGAGTATTTGCGAACCATGTACACGTCAGAGGACATCCACGCCATACCTAGAACGCGTGTGCTTCTTTCATCGGCGTTGTAGCACAACATTTGCAAGCCGGCCGCTCACAGGCACCTTCATGGAGTTCAGAGGCTGTGTATCTGCTGATTGGATGAGGCGTGTCAAACGCTTGGAGGCTCCATGGCTGACCCCTGCACTTGGGGCCACGATATGGAGGGCGTGACGCAGCATTCACACCTAAACGAACCGCCGTTTTTTCTCTGATCGAGTCGTTGTCGCTAATTTGGGCGTATCGTCGGGCTTTGTTCATGTTTGCTATCTCAGGGCGAGGTTCGAAAGGCAGCAACTATTTGAACCTTTGGACACTACCCACGACAATCAATGCAAACCTGGGAGAGAAACCGCCTTTACCAGTAATACGGATACACCCTCACAAGCTGTACAGGCACATTCACCTCACCAAGCTCAAGCCAGGATTGCATTACGTATGTATACCCACCAATTGTACCAGAATACTGCCATATAGGTATAGCCCTTCTGCTTCGCCCTACATTTTGCCCAGGTGGTTTCCATTTTGGGTGATGTCTCAGCGCATAGCTCTTTTGTCAAGGCGCAGGTACAGTTTACCGAGTAACAATGGTAAGGTACATATCAGAGACGAAACTTCTTTACTCCCTTCTCCCTTCTTTTTCTCAAAATAGAGGATCCGCAACTGGATATCTGAGGTAATTAGGTCGTATTTTCCTCAGACGCGATCCAAAAGTGCAACTGCAAGACAAATGACATCAAGGTGCAGGTATTTAGTCATTCATCTGTCGGCAGCGCATCAGGAAGTTGATACACCCTCAGGTCCTACAGATACGTTGTACTCAGGTACTCTGAGGCTCAAGTCATGCCAACCAACCACATGGGCCTGATACTCGAGAACTGACAGATCTTTCCTACAGTCGCACTGACCAGGGGGCTATACGGTGGCTCTAGAGTCGCTCACGCCCGGCACAGGGCCAAGCTTTCCTCAACAATCACCTCGCATTGCCCTCGTCAGCATCATTATCCTGCTTCTAGTGCCGCCACAGGGTGTGCACCTCTTTTTGTTTCTCTTTCTTCTTTTTTTTTTGTTTTTTTTTTTTCCTTCTTTTTTTTTTCCCTTGGTGCATAAGTCCGACCCGGCCCGGACCAGGCCGCTCCGTGGCCCGACTTGACATGCCGAAGAAACCGCGGACCGATACGTATCGCTTTTATTGGTGCTTCCTTCAGCCCCATCCCCGAATTCTCTTGGCGGCGGACCTTAAATGCTTACTCGTACGCAGTTAGTAAGGGAGGCACGGACAAAGACATTGGGTCAGGATAAGACGGCCAAACGGACGCTATTACGAGGAGGACGGTTGCCTTTCTCGTCTAGGTATTGCTTTGTCGGGATGCCCCGCCTTGCGTTCATGCATGAAGCTTCCAATCAGCCACGCCTTAATCTTCAGAACGGAGCTAATCAAGCGAGTTCAAGCAGTCTTCGACCTAGTAAGTACCTGTCGTACCTCTCTTGGTACCTAGATCAAGTGTTCCGCGCTTGTGCGCTAGTACAGCTACATCAACGGTTAATGCAAGAGCGTTATGAGAAGATCACAACTATGAGGTGTATATAAGTATTTTTCGCTTATAAAGTGCGGGAATTGAGTAGTCTTTTAATTCTTCTGCCAATTGTTATAGAGAGATAGGCAGTGCGTGAGTGAGCTTCGTAGGTGAAAACAAGGTATCACTACTTGGGACTGAGAAGTGATACCTCTGGGAAACCTGCCCGTAGGATCTGGACGTGCATGTACTATGCGTGTGGAAGCCGGCAGGTCGAGGTCGAGCCCGTTCGAGCCTCCCGATCACAGATCACGCTCCATGCAGGTGGCAGCCGGCCTAGGCGGAGTGAGCAAAGGTCGAGCCCGGTCGAGACCATTGATCACGGATCAGAGCCAGAAAGTTGAAGATAGCTTGTTCGTAAGCGACTCCTTGTTCGTAAGGGACTCGTACCGTCAATACGGCGCATTCCCAAGGCCACTCACCCATATCTATAAAAGGCCGATGCTTATCCTACATATCATCATAGACCTGTTTCACTACCTATTTCTCGCATGCCATCGTTCTTCTCTCAATCCAACCATCCGACGGGAGCCTAACGCCTTGCGTTATTCGCTTTGTACTTCCCTCTATATCTGCTCCATATCTAGGAACCATACCTACCTAAGGTGCCCAGGCGGGTGTCGTTGTTGAAGATCAGTAAAGGTACCTTGCTTGGAGCCCGCAAGGCATCACGGTTGCAGCATGTCATACTCCTCTACCAATGCGGTCTACGATGGTAGTAATAAGTAGGTCCTCTAATGTACTTGAAGGCTTCCTCGGGCCGCCTTACCTTCGTGAGGCACTTCAAATCAGACTGCTGGCTTCATGAACGCTCGGCGCTGATCCATTGACAACGCAGTGGCACAAGCCATTCCGATGCCAGCAATGGCAGTACCAATCCAAGCGACGCCAATCCAAGCGACGCCATCGGTCGCTTCCTTGATGACCCTGAACACCCTCGCCCGTTGGGATGTAGCGGCTCTTCTCAGTCTGCAGCGGAAGTTGAAGCTGCGGCAAAGGCCCGCATACTGGCGAAGCTGCATGCTTTCCACCAGCGTTTCGACTCAGGAAACGAGCAAAAGGCCACCTGAAGACGATGCTTGCACACTTCATTTGTAACTTGTCTGATTTAGGTCAATAATGCATGTTTGAGTCCATAGAGTAAGATAGGTACACAAAGAGAGGACTGCTGGGGATGTAATAAGCTTCTGCAATAAAATTAGAGTTCATTTCCTACTTGGGTTGTGGAGTCGCCTCGGAGTGGACTGTAAAGGTGGTTGTGGCGGCTCTAAAAGTACCATTCTGCGTGACTTGCTAAACCTGTATCGCTCAACACGTAGTCAATACTCGTCGTCCAATGTGCCTTGGTCAGAAAAAAGAGAAGCCAGTTGCTGCGCGGCATCTGTGCGCGAGCAACTAAATGGCCAAAGGCAAGGATGGGCCGCGGAGAGCCCAGTTGGAGGCATCCCGCATTGCACGAAATCGGCGATGATGAGGGCTAAATCTGACGAGGCAACTTGAAAAGCTCAGCCCAGCGCCTGCCTGTAGAGGACTGCATTTTGGTTGCCTCTCCGCGTCCCAAATGTGGATGTTCAGGCGAACGCAGGCAAGATATCTTATCATATGGACAACATGGGCAAATGCCTGACAAGGTGCAGATTAGCTTTGCGAATTTTTCTGCAAATGCTGAGCGAATCGACAACTTCTCCGAAATACCTATTTTTCCACGCAAGTACTTGATTGTCTCGGGCTATTCTGCCCCGAGCCACTGCCACGAAGCTTTAGGTTTTTGATCAACGGAAACTTGACGGTACTTTCTTCCTGGCTTTTCGATTCACCTTCAGCTTTCTAGTCGTGATTGGTCCTCAACTCGTAATTGCCTGCCAACTTGACGGGTTTGCTGCAGTTGAGAAGTTAACCCCTCCTATGTACGTGGCAAAATCATTGTTTCATTCGCGGAGTCGCTTATTTCGAGATCAAGATAAAAAAACAAGGGTCAAGGAGGAGTACGAATCAAAGAGAAGTAAAACAGAGGTGAAAAGGGAGGGAAAGAATGATTTGTCTCACAGCAGCCATTGCACAAAATTCGAGTACATTGACGATTTTTACACTGGTAGTAAGAGTATGACAAAGCGTAGATTATTGGAGTTATTTTAGTTTGATCAACCCACCTATACCGGGACAAATGAATCGGACTCGAATGCACCAAAGTCATGACGCGGCCGATGTGCTCTGGCTTTGCAACTGGGCTTGGCGCAGCTCTCTCCTGTCTGAGCCCTCAATTGCCGCCTTTGTCCCGATCAGCATGAACCTGACCATCAAAGGGCGCTGCGCTTCATCTCCAGTTTCAAGGGCGCGAGGCGATGGGCATCCGTTGAGTATGTGACGGATAGAACAGAAGTCCTCTCAATCTTTACAACTACGCCCTCATACCTTATAGGTATGGAGATGCAGGCTACATGTTGGCAGGCTAGGCTTTTATTCCCTGGGATACATACCTACCTAGCTTACATGCACTGTACTGTTGCGCATTCTGTGGGTGTGGCCTTGCACTTCGCTGGACTTGCAAAATTGCGAGCACGACGACTCGAGAGGTCAAAGGCTAATATACATAGGCCATTGTTTCATACAAACAGAGGGGAATGAGAGCAATCTCTGGATATACATACTCGATTTATTAGTCGTTTGCAAACATTACGAATTGCGGGTTTTGGACTGCGATGTCCAGCAACCATGCCCCCCCCCCCCCCCCCCCCCCCTTCCTTGCCTGATTCATTATATAATGGTGCAGTAGGTGTGTAGCATTCGAGGCCGCCTATCTGTGTGTCTACATGTTCGTCCTTCGGAGCATGCTCCGCCGCTGTGCGCCTGCTGTCCGATTCCTCCACTGCTTCGTTGTTATTGAAATGTACCAGAGCTGACAGTACTTCTTCTTGCTTAGACAGGCGTTGCGGGTACCTGCCTGCCAGGTCGCTGCCGCTACTGACAAAGATTTGGCGTCATTGGATGCTCGAGGATGAGCACAACCCAGCTGGAGAGCTGAAATATCGAGCTCGGGTAGCCGGTGCTGTCAGGAAAGCGCACTGGCCATGACGGCAACGGCGGGGTCGGTGCAGGGGGCAATCGACAAACGTGGCGCCGCGAACATGAAATCATCCAATCATGAAGTGCCGACAACAAAAGGGGAGGTCAAGAGGCCCCACGGCCGCCAAGACTAAGGTAGCGGAAAATGCATCGAGCCTACAGCTCCCAGTTGCCCGAATAACTTTTGGGGGCAATCAAGTGCGCAAAGTACCGGGAAACAGACTTTGCATTTTGGTTGCTGAGCTATTGCTCTCTCAAGACGTATATGTACTTTCTTTGTTGAATCCTTCGGCTTACTTGAGGATGCTTCCTACTACTCTCTCCTCGCCGCGGCTCGGAGCATGCCTTGTCTGCGCCAAGTATCTCGAGCTACGCTCGTCTCGCCTCAAGGTATAAAGCTAGCATTTCTCCTCCTTGCCTTGGATCAAACGCGTGCGTTGTCTCTCATCATACCTACTGCATACAATATATATGTGTGTCTTTGTCTTGCAATATCTCAGCTAAAAAGCAGCCGTCGACTACCTATTCCCCTTCATCTCAGTGGCCTATTCAGCACTCTGTTCAACACGTCCATACATCACGCATCGCACTCCAGCTTGTTCACCATGTCGCATTCTTCTAATAGTGCTGTCTATAACAACAACAGCCTCAAGTAGGTCCTTCTATAGAAACAACAGCCCCCTTCCCTCTGTTATGCTTGAAGTAGATGGACACGGCTTAGATTCATTTTCATTGCAATCTATCGTGCTATTGGTATAGTGCTGATAGACTCTCATATGTACTCTACAGTGGCCCAGTGCAACCCCTCGTCCAAGGCAGCCACGCCACCAGCCACAGCATCGCCATTGATCGTTTCATTGGTGACCCAGATCAGCGTCGCCCACCGGCATTCAGCACTGTCCGATCCGCAGCCGAAGCCGAAGCTGCAGAGAAGACCAGAATCGCGGCTCAGCTTCGTGCTTTTGAGCAGCAGTTTGGCTCCCACGGCAAAGCGTCCAACGAAGCACAGACTAGCTGATTCGGACCTTGGAACTCTGCGCACATCAGGTCCGCTGCAGCGGCGAGAACATGCACAAATTTTGACGATACTGGATGGAAGGCGCCTTATGGTCGTTGATGCGTGCATGCATGGTGTGGCTTGTGTCTGGCAGGGCATTTTGGTTGGGCGCAGTTTGTTTAATCGACTCGGGAGGCAAATGTACTTATATTTGTCTCGCGCACACAAGTGTGCAGCTTTGGCATGATATCGCAGGCTAGCTGGGAATCAAGAAGAGAAGAATGATCATTAGCGTGACACTTGCATGAGACCGCCAGGTGACTTTCAGGTGCATGTATTTCTGATGAGCATCGGCTTGGTCCTGAAGGGCGATGGGAGTGCATGGACTCCATGTGACTCCGCGGTCAACGGACCAGCTTCTCAAGCAAGTGCTACGCAATCGCCCCGGTATATAGTACATGCATCTTACTTCAGGTGGATCATCCCATTGCCTGCCGCGTCACTGGCATTGAGCCATCCCTGGATGCCTTCACTCCCTAGGTACCAAAACCCTGTCCAGCCTTTCTGTGCAAAAAGTGGCGTCCGGACACGAGCTTCTCAAAATCCCATGGGGGCGCCTTGCCGCGACCCCGCGACCTCGCGACCCTGGCCACGTTTATCGGAAGGCGCCAACTGACAGGGATCATTATTTAGCTTCTGCTGGGTTATACAAGTATCTATGTGTTGCGGAAGCTAACCTGAACGAATCGGCACGTATCCTAGCGGCCGGGGTGTAGACTTCTCCCGCCGTAAGTACTGGACGTACAGTTCGTGTGACGATGAACTACCTAAGGTAGAACATTGAAGATACTTAGCTTTCAATCGGAAATTGGATAGGTGACGGTTTCTTTTTTTCTTTGTCGTCACAACTTGTGTAATTAAGGGCACTAGCCTTGCGCAATACCCGGATCGGTTTCGAGCAAATCTGTCAAGTAAGACTCCCCATGTTGCTCTTCAATGATACTCCGCCGAGCACTCAAGAGCGAGATCACCTAACTACCTAGTACATACAGGTGCTATCAGCAAATCAGCTCGTGGGGCTTCGCAGCAGGGAGGAGAGGCATCGACAAAAGCCTCCGGAAGAAGTATCTTCTCCACGGGATGTAAGCAACAACCAGTAATAACCATGCGACTAGCTAGGTGGCCTCGCTGAGCGTACTGTATCAACCAAGGTCCGTCTCGGCGCAGAAATGCGAGAGAGGTCAGCAATGTCCACACAAGGAAAGGTTGTATGCAAGAGCCTCATTTCACGTGTGATCTTCCAATCCTACAGTGTTGTGATGAATGAATATGTGTCGCTCATTTCCCATGTTCTTGCAACTTTTTGAATGATGCCTTGTTGCGCCGATTTCCCGCCCTCACCCTGCAGGCTTTCCTCTATACCTTACCTATCCATGGTACCAAGTACGATACGTAGGTGCGGTAGGACCCATGGTGGTAGACGAGGGGTGGGCAATTCATGACATCAGGCAGGGCTCGCGTTATGCTAGGTAAGTAGTATGTACTGTACTACGGAGGCTTCTAGGACATTGCCTGTTCGGGTAAGGCCGTTCTCCAGGGTCGTTTGACGAAGCTGATGGGGACCAGGGGCCGCGGCGAAGGAGCCAGAAGGCAGACGCCTTTTAGCTGCTTGGACTCCATTAGCAGTGTCGGGTGTTGTGGCGTCAAATGTCACATCGGTTTGGTACTCGTAAGCATCTGCAGTCGCAAAGCGTCGTGCCAGCCAAATCGAGTCATTAAGTCCTCATCTTATGTCCATAGCCCATAATCCTTCTGGCCACCTGCCGCCGCGGCCAGTCGCATGTCTGTGCGATGCACGACTCAGTGCTTTACATGTAGGTAGGTAGGTAGGTAGGTAAGCTGGTAAATTGGCAAGCCGTAGTTCTTGTTGCGAACTTTACACTTGCCAGCTCTCCCGATGGGTCACTCCCTGCGATACATTTGAGAGGAAGCCACAGCCACTAGACTCCATATTCTTCACTCTTAAACACCGATTCTCTCAATCGAAAGTATGACGCAAGAAGTAGGCATCTTCAGTGGCCGAATGCACCACTACTTAAGGATGACCTACCTACTGTTACCCTAAGATGTATCCCAGAAAGTACTTACGGTGGTGACGGATGTCAACGGAGTAATCAAGGCGTATATTTCAAAGTCTTTTTGCCCAAAAAGTCTCCACGCTGAAGCTCCAGTGCATGCAATCGCCGCTCCAGAGCTTATTCAGAGGCAGTGCGGAATGAACCTACAAAGCCTCCGCAGCTGAACACTTCCTTAGAGCATTCAGATGTCTGGTGGCAAAAGGCGATTGCGCGCTAATGCAGCCGCCTCCAACGCTAATTATGCGCGCCCCTGTTCCCTTAACTCCACATTACCGGTAGCACCAGAAAGCGGCAGACCTCTCACACGGCCATTTACGCGGCTGGGACTCGACTGCCCACCAAGCAGACTGTAAAACCATTTCTTCAGCCATTCTGCATAGCTACCTGGATATATAAGCTACCTTCCGTCTCCTCATTCATCATGGCAGTAAATCAGCGGTGTTGGCAATCATTTCTCCTGCGGTTGACTTAGTCCTCATATGTATCATACGGCATTTGGCAGCTCATTATCATCCAGTAAGCATATTCTTTCGACAACTGCGACATAGTCCATCCTTATCTTTCAAGTCCACCCTACCTACCTTACACTACCAAGCATCAGTAGACATTACATTCCTCTTGTTGAAAATGCCAAACTCGTCAAACAATGCCGTCTATAATGGCAGCACTAGGTAGGTCTGCCTCGCAGAATACCTTTCTTCTTTGCTTCTTCTGCGTTGGTCTTCAGAAATGTTAAACCCGGCGTGTGTGCAAACATAATTGGCACTGCACGCTCATGGATCCTATCTGATTACCTACTCTACAGTACCCAGGTCCAAACCCCCACCTCGAATCTCCCGCCCAACCACAGCTTCGCCATCGGTCGCTTTCTCGCCGATGCCGAGCAAAAGTGTCCCCTAGGGCTCAACACGGTTCAGTCTGCAGTGGAAGTCGAAGCAGCTGCAAAAGCTCGCATGTTGGCCAAGCTGCAGGCTTTTGAGCAGCAGTTTCAGTCCCAACGCTAAGCTAAAGGTCGCTTGCGGGTGGCAAACCATAAAAACTGCGCGCGTCATATTTATTGCTACAATCGGCTGTTGAGATTAAGAGTATAGACCATGGTCGCATTAGCTGAGAGACGCAACATGATATTTGGCGAATGCATATACGGAGTCATTTGTTATTCGGCAGTCACGGAGGAGACATTACTTGAAAAGCGAATGGATTGATTCGAGGTAACTAGGGATCAGAAAATACCTACATGTTCGCTTTTTGTTCCAGAGCTGTATACAGTACCACATGGAACGTCCTCTCTCCCACATATCTTGCATAAAATGACCGCCGTAGCACCCAGTCAGGCAAAATCCAACTGGATGGAAACGGGCTGCGTGGATGCCTGGGGACGCGTGGTAGAAAACCCCACCCAACGCCTTCAGGTTTCCTGCTTGTGGCTTGCCATCACCCGGCAATCATCGCTGTTACGTGGCCTGCCTCCCTGTCCCCTGAAGCATGTAAATGGAGCGGCGGCCATTACCATTCGGGCACAGCCCTACTCGTACCATTTCGTATGATATTCAATGCGCATGCATCCGACAGCCAGTCAGTTTTTTTGCGAGGCCGCCGCAAGCAGGCATTACTAGCTCCAGGTCTTCGCCCAGATCTTTATAAGTAGTCTGTATTATCATATACTCGTACGAGCCGGTCGTTTCCCTAATCGCCCAGACAGGAGGTCAAGGGCGAAGTTGCATTAGCCTTTGGAGCCATCGTTGTGCCATGTGGGCATGACTTACGGAAGCAAATCGTCCCGAGGGACGGGGTCAACCCCCTTTCCCCCCCTTCCATGTTCAGGATGCGCATCCTTGCAAAACCGCGAAAGGCTGCAAATCCATCAAAGTAAGGCAAGGGAAGGGTGAGCATTCATCATAGAAACTCACCACATAAGCTACACAGTTACGCAGCGCCTTGCGCCGCAGGTACGTAGGTGCATACATGTAATACTTGCCTTCAATAACAGCCCTGCCATCACCCTGCTTAACCTGCTTGAGTATGATGTAGGGATCACATGGCGCAGGGCGCCCATAAACAAGAGTTTATGAGACCGCCCGTATAACAAAGTCAGTTGCGACCTTGCAGGACCGGGACTGCATTTCTCGTGTCCTGTACTAATAACCTGAGGCTAGGTACATCCTAATAGATATGTTGAGTATTGGATATGCCTGCATTACCTTAGACCTGCATGCATCTGTGTGTGACTACTCAGTGCCTTCATGCATCAAACTCCCACACTGTACATGTGGCCCCTGTAACTGTTCTCGACTGTCAAAAGGTGCGGTATAACTTTAACCATTGTTTGCGTCGGACATCGTATAAACGTATTCGATTGGAACGAATCTTGAAAGTCGCCTCCGTACTTCGTGTATGCGCGCTTCGTATATGTGTGCGCCTCAAGGCGCAAAGCACCGCGCTGCCAAAATCACGGGTAGAGTATCGAGCTACGGATGATACATTAGCTGAATGCCAAGGGTACCTATCTCACTCAAGTCCTATCATAATTGAGGCAGAAACCCTGACAGGCAATATGGTACGTTTCTCCAGTATTTAAGTACATTGGTTACGAGGAGCTACAGGTCAATTCACGGTTTGACTGGTGAAACGAAACTGCTGGATTAGTCAGGAGGCGTACTTGCATACACTGAGTACCCAGTGGTATGCGCACTTCACTCCCCTGCCGTTGTTCGGGTGCTAAGACAAGCTGTGCACAGATCCATGCACCCCCCCCTCCCTCTTTATTTTATTTTTCTTTTTGAATCTTTCGGCTTAAGAGACTTGAATTCCGAGCCTGGCCATCTCATCATTGAGCAAGATCAAACCCCATAAACATCGCAAAGGTTAGCTCGTCATAGATTGGCAGAAGCTGCTACAGATAGAGCAACCTATGGAGCAATGGCTCATAATTTAGGTACGCAAGTTGCAAGACCCTGAACCCTGTGAATCCCCGTACCTCGCGATGCGCCGAGCTAACCTTTGTGTTGCTTGTGGGGTTTATATGTACCTGTTCCAAACATTGTTCTCGTATCCACTCTGCTGTCCAATCGGTCTCCCCAAGAGCACGGCCCCACTGCGAATCCCGGGAGCGCCCCGATCCGCGCCTCCACTTGCCGTACTCCCGGCACGTGCTCATCCCCGTCCGCGGAAAAAAAGAAAAGATGCGCAGAACAACACTTCATACCGGATCCAGAATCCGTTACTTTGATCGACCACCATCACTTCACCTACGCAAACTGCTTGCCAATCAAAGACGAAACTATTGCGCTGAATTGTTGGTACGTTCCGACTTCCCTCCCTACGCCGTTTTTGACGACAGTAATGAGTACGTTTTCTATCACGGTTCTTCCTCCCTACATTTGAGGTTGAAGAAGGATAATATCAATCGGTAATGGAGATAGTGGCCCACAACACTGACCAAATTTGTCACCCCACAGGAAACCAATGCAATTCTGCACCACCACAAATTTGCACACCAGCCGCAGTCTCGCCATCGTTGGATTCCTTGCTGATTCAGAACGCCGCCGTCCCATGGAGTTCAGCATTCCTCGGCCTGAAGCCGAAGCGGAAGCCGCAGGGGGGGATGTCATGTAGGAGAGGCTGGATGCTTTAAGAAACAATTTAATCCAAAGAAAAAAGCAAATGGTGTAAAACGGGCCAACTAAAGTCATCACGGAGTATGCCGCACATTAGTTCTACAGCAATGGTTGCTAAGCGGGAGAAGGTATATTTGAATCTCATTGGTGGGCAGAAGGCGTCTTCTTATATTTGAAGAATGCGCATACAGAGTACCTGTTGCATGGCAAAATATGAGAGAACATGTCTGGATACAATCTATTCGAAAATGACACACACTTGTGCACGTCTATTCTCTTGCATGCTTTGGCCAATCCGGACCCTACAAGAGAGAATTGAGCTGTGGCGCGATGTTTGCGTGCGGGTCACAAGGTAACTCCTTTGTGCAAAATGCGACCCCCTGCTCCCCCAGAGTTGCCCGGGCAACTTGATCAGGTCATTTCTTAGCTGCAGTTCCGAGACCAATGGATTGGGCTGCCATCTCCAGCTACCTTGATACCTGACCTGTGTCCAGTTGTATCACCACAGACAAACACCCGATGACCTCCCCTCACTAGATCCCAGCCCCAGACTGACAAGGGGTCCTGGCCAAGATTCTCACTACTACTAAGCGTGCAAGCGCAGACAGGGATCTTTCTTGGAGCATTGTGCGTATCGCAACGAATCGGTAGCTCTCCAGGCTGCCAAGATGCCAAGCTTTGCTCCGACGGTTCCAGTATTAGTGGTGATATGGGTGGCGCTAACGTTGCGGATCCCCGATAAATATCGAGCGAGTCCGAATCAATGAGGCTTCGCTTTCGGTATCGTATACCCGCGAATCGCAGTCCACGGATTCCCAGCAGAAACAGCCCATGAGGCGTCGCAACAACAGAAAGGATGCAAGCAAGCGACACTGATCCGACATGCGCAAGCCTCCAGAGGGGGGCACTTTCTCCTAGGGAGCTTAGTGTTGACCAAAATGATGCATGTGCTTTCTCAGCGAGGCAAGGTAGTAGCCTGCAGCAATTCATTTTTATGTGGCGACATACAAGTACTAAGGTACCTAAGGTAAGGTACGAATCATCGCCCAGGTAGGCACGGATGCACGTCTGCATGTGTTGACAGTTCGAACCCCGTCAAGCACGTGCTTTAAATATGCTACAGAAATTAATCTTACCGAGGTTCTTTAGGTGGAATGACGGAGCTTTCTGATGTAGATACTAGATGGAAGAAGACTCGCTGGAGTGTGCGAAAGCAGGGGAACACGTTGCTGAGTGATCAAACCGCCACGATAGGCATATATGGAACAGTCAAGGGGGCAGTCAGTGGGTAGCACTAATACAGGGCTGCTGCAACCAGCAGGGAAAGCGGAGGCTTTTGGTACCTATGTAAAGATCAAGCAAGTCGCCCCATCTTTGAGAAAGACAAACATTCATTCAATCCTGAGCGGATACTAGGACAGATAGGCCGCGTCATGGGGCTAAGGGTGTCAGTATGTTACTGTCATTGGCTGGTTCGAAAGTCACAAAAAAAATACTTTGTGGCTCTTTCTTCTTTCACTGGTTAAGGCAGAAACAAGTCATCTTGCATACCTATGTAGGGATGCCGAAAGCTTCTAATCACATTCAGAGTGGCCACCCACAGCTGAGCTTCGGGAGCCAGCTCTAACAATTTTCCCTGTCATACATGCATGCACTAAACCCAATACAACTTTGACAGCATGACCAGATAAAAGTCGGAATACCGAATGGGTGGCGAGAGACTTGATAGGTACCTTAATGCAAGAAACTTCAATTACGTTCTTTTTGACAGATGGGGAAATTAAGCTTACCTGCCTACACCTCGACCTTACCTGAGGCTACCTGATCCACTGCCCAATCCATGCGCCGTGCAACCAGTACCGTCGAGTACCCTCCTTCGTTAGCAGCCCCGCCGCACCCCATCCAAGAAGTACCCAGACATGACAGGGTACATACAGGTTGCTTTTGCTAAGTACCGAGGTGCTAGTTCCATTGCAGGCTCGGCGGATCGGCATCCTCGCCGAGCTCTTCGCGGCAGGTAAGGAAGAGATCGGTACCCTTTTGTGTCTAGGCCGGGCTTTAGGTGAGAGGTACCTTCTGTCACTCCGAGCTGTTACCAGCAGGAGGGCACAAGGCTTTACCTAAGTATCCGAGAAGATGATGAGCAAATAGGAGACTTTTGGGCTCCTATGTCTCCGGCTCTTTGGAAGTAACAGATGCTTAGTAAATTGTTCAAGACAGTAGGAAAGATTTACGAGGCTTCGATCTCTTCCACACAAAAGCGCGTATAGATAAGGTTACATTGTAATCGATCAGTACTAGGTAGGTAAGTCGCCCTGGATTACAGCTATTACACAGGTAGTCGCTAAGAAATGTGCAATGTCTGAGTGGCAGCACAGCAGCGGAACTCGCGTGGGAGGAAACGGGAGGGGTTGGATGTCCCTATCAAAAGAAACAAAAAGAACTCAAGGGAAACAAACCCCTTTTTTTTTCGCGCAGGCATGCCCGCGTTGCTTCTGTCTAATCTCGATGATCAAGGATTCTTTGTCTGGTAGGCCACCAATCGGATGGGTTAAGCTACCACAGCTTCCATAATACTTGCGCTTTGGGTAATACATGCAGTGTTGCCGAGTTGCGCTCAGTGGGCCTTCTCTCCGCCGCTCTCTGTCAATGTATGTCGCGCTGTTAATCACATCAAAAAAGATCTAGATAGAACACAGGCAAGTGGTACGCGATGTGGTGTTTGACCCCGGATGCGGGCGCGCCCTCTTTCCCACGGCATGCATCTTGGTCCGTGCTGGCAAGGCTTTAGCGCTGTCGTACGATATCTGCGTCTCCTACTTTGTACATTCTACAGTAAACCCACCTCTTTGTATCGTACGAGTACAGGTGGCGAACCCCCTTCTTTGGATTCAGATGTTGCTATACATGACAGGCGTCGGCTAGGCATAGATGCCTCTCCACCAAGATGCGTAATTGTAGGCTGAATCGAGAAGAAACGCACCAGAAGCCATAGGGCTGGTCTCTGCAGTGACGGTCTGGGGAGTACCTTTATTTCTTGGTGTACTCGCGGGTGGCGCAAACCACATGCACACAGCCCCCACCTCTGAACTGCCGTCACGGTTGAGGTCATTGAAATGATTGGCGTCGACCTGGGCGCTTAACGCCAAGGCGTCTCAGGTAGGTAGTCTGCATGCTATTAGTACTGCATCTGCCATCAGATAGCATAAGGCAATAGGCAACACTGAGCATAGAACAGGACAAGCCGTGACATTCGGACAAGAACAAAGTGCAGGGTTGGTGCCTTTTCCAACGTACAGAATGTACATGTGCCTTTAGAGTACCTGGCACCTAGGTACCAGGTATGACACGTCATGCCTACATGTACAAGCAGCTTGACCACCTCCCACAGAGCTAGGTACTAGTAGGTACCTACTGTTATTTATCTTGGATAGGCATGGCAGGTGCGGTACTACCCGCGTCCGTTTCACCTGTTTGATTTTTGGCTTTGCCGCTATATGATGGTGCTCAACGAAGGATGGGCCGCAGGCGTCTTTTCAAAGGAATCTTTTGTATTGGCGGCCACGTGGCTGTAGATCTTCATTCAGCAGACCTTTTATTCTCTTGACTTTGCCCTCCCCCTCATTTCCCGTATTTCTCTGTAATGGTGCAGCAGTTGATGCAAGCCCGCAAGCACAAGGCAGTACTACTTGTACGTACCCAACCCCCCCTTTAGGTACCTACTTAGTTCTTCAGTTGCTGCGTTCTCAGATATTCAGTTCTTGATTTTCAATAACGGGGTAGGTACCTTCGATTACTCCCCACCGCGGCCCGTAGTATGCCTTGAATGTGCGATGCATGACAAACTACTTGGGGCAAGCAGATTAGTTGTTATTCTACAGTTGTTACTGTAAGATCTATATATGTCTTGATTTATCATTACTTGGGAACTGCTCTTAAGAAGACTAGACAATATGATTTTCATATTAGAACATCCTATCCCTAGTAGTACCTTATGAGTAGACCTAATTCGATTTATATAGGTATGGTGTGGTTGCCAAGAGGCTTACCTTTTTGCCATTAATAGACGGCCGAAACTCCGCGCGCTACAAATCATTGAACTGCATATGCATTCTAGGCTACCTTCGCTACCAATTGCTTCTCGTACGTTTGTCAATCTTCGCCTCCCGTCCCCAACATAAACGCCACCTGATATACTGCATGCGTTGGCTCGGTAGATGTACGTACCTTCGGTATCCATGTGCCTCTGCAGGCGCCTGCCATGATGAAGCCCAATACAGTAGGTAACTGCCTTCAGTCCCGTCAAGTATAACCTGCAGGGGACTCGCAGGCCCCGGTCCGCTCCGCTCTACTGAATACGGGCACTGTACTACCTAGGTACCTCCTTAAGGTAAGGTACCTACCTTCAGCCCAGAGCCGCTGCCGCACTAGCGCATCGCATTGGATCCGGGGGCAGGTACCTGCTACAGGTACCTAGGTACATGTCAACGAAACAGGTAGGGCGACGACCACGCAGCCTCTGGTTCATGTCTAAACCACCAGCTGGCACCCTGTAGATGGTGAAGGGCCGCCTCCGATCAATGCATCCATGACAATCTTCTTTTCCAATCAATCAACGTGAGTTCACTCCCGCATCCAAAGGCGTCCCGTCGTTCCGCGCACCACGAGCGCACGCATCCCCTCCCTTGAGGGGATGCCTTGTTGATATTTTACGACGGGCTGCGAATGCCTCTGCAAATATAAATCGCGATACATCCTCCCATTCATTGCGCGATAGTCAAACAATTCTGCTTGCATTTTCCATGACTGTGTCTGGTTCGATCTATATTATACGTGGTGCGAAGCTCATCATTATCCATCAGAGCAATTGTTTGTTCTCATAGCAAGACCATCTATCCCAATATCTAAACTCGAAAATAACTACCTACTACCTCACCCAGCCACCATCCCTGTAGGCTATCACAATCCGGTTGCCCAACATGCCAAACTCTTCTACCAACGCCGTCTACACTGGTAGCACAAAGTAGGTTCCCTCGTAGGACCTCGCTCTTTTCTTCTCTTACAGTCCATATTGTAATCGTTCGAATCGACGCACGCACAAGTTCATTTGCAGTCAATACTGATGGTCCATCTTCTCACTCTACAGTGTCCCCATGCAACCCCACGCCGCAAGCAGCCCGCTCAGCCACGATTTCTCCATGGGACGCTTCCTCGCCGACCAGGAGCAAAAGTGTCCCCTGGAGCTCCGCACACACCAAACTGCAGCAGAAACCGAAGCAGCTGCAAGAAGCCGCATGCTAGTCAAGATCCAGGGGTTCCAGGAGCAGTTTAGCTCCAGCAGCGAACCCAAGGCAAGCTAACTTGCCATGGAGTGCGTCGTCCGCATGTTTACTGCAGCGGCTTTTGTTGGGATGGGGGAAAGGGGGGGCGGGGTTGCACATTTTTGTCGCATTCGATGGTAAGAAGATTATTTGGGCAGACGAGTGTACGTAGGAATATATCGGAGTGCGCATTACTACTTCATAGGCGATATAATTCTCCATCAACCCAGAGGTTAGTTGATGTTTCAGCCAACGAAAGAACAGGACCGAAGAAACCCAGTAGTAGGTAGTGTTTTAACAGATTCTGAGCGAGCTTGTTTACGAACCCCGCCATCACCATGGTGCAGGTTTATGGAGCACCCACGCGACGCTGGCCCTATTATCTCGCAGGACAGTTGCTGGCCACGTCTCGAACAAGGAAGAAAAGACGTTCAGCAAGGTAGGAAGCAGGCATTAGTAGCTCTCGATACCCTTGCAGATCTCTGATACGAGCTCGCCCAGCCTATCAACGGCGACATTTCATTGTACACTTCAGGACGCCCGGTTGTGCCAAGCGAGAACTTGTCATGGCAGCACCGGCATGGGCAAGGTCGAGACCCGGCCCAAGGAACGGGACACCGTCCCCACATCCTCGCATGAGGATCATGTGGTCTGTCTTACCCATCACAATTATACATGCCTTAGCTTGCCTTGCTACGCACCCCTTCGCCACCCTTCTGCAGCTTATCGATAGAAATATCTCGTCCTTGCAGTAGTGAGCTGCAGCATGACGGAATGTTGGTCCGCGGGGCATTGTCAAGACCATAGCACAGACGGAGCTTTCATCAAAGAGGCTCGAAGGCAGCACTTTCGATGTAGGGCAGGCGTCACAAAGCCCACCAGTGGCGCATCACACGGCACCTAATGGCACAGATCTACACACATGCAGGCATGTGCTCCAAGAAGTATGCCGCAGAGTCCAATACCGCGTAAGGTGCCACATGAATGCTATTGGACATCAAGCTAGTACAAGCATTCAGCCCATTCTGTCCGTCCAGTCATTCTGTCTCTGAATTCAATGCTCTCTATGGATTGTTCCAATCACCTAACCATGAAACGCCGCTAACCCTTGCATGAGTTGTTGGCTGCTGTTCAGTTGCGAGCCAATGCATAGTCAACAAGCTGCATATACGGCCTCTGCGACCACTCTCAGGTGTCCAAAAGGGCGGCACCTCACCATCCCCCTGTGAATCCGGCCATGAATCAAAATTCATCCAATCGGTGCAAGCTAGGAGGGGTTCCATACTTCCAAGATGTGCGCAGTGAGAGGCGCAAGGCTTTAGGCAACTCTGCTGCGAAGGACATGCGCAAAACTGTCAGGTAAGCCATTGAGGTCCGGAGAAATATCAGAGCAGGTATGTTAACACGCCAGTAGAAAACAAACAGTCTGTAGACTACGCAATTTCAAGTTATCATATCTGTGAATACGCCACAGGTTCACTGACGGATATTGTGTCCACAGCTCCCTCCGCATTTTACTTTCATTTTGCCTGGTACATCACACACCTTCAACTCTCTCATATCAACACGTATGATTGAAAGCTGGCAGAATTATGTGTAGTATTGGAGAGCTGAGCTGATCCGGCGTTGTACATGTCCACTCCCAAAGGGCAAATGAGCGAGGGTCACTCGGCCGGCGGAACCCTTCCACGGACCTATTCACGAACCCAGCAACAGGCGCCTGGTTCGCGTGGGCTCAACAGTTGCGCCGTATCAACCTCGCACCGAAACCCGTCAGCTCCCATTCAATCATCTTTGTTGAAAGACACTTAATACCGTGGCACTCGCCGCAAGCGAGTCTCGAGTGATTCTGAGCATCGGATTCCCATGACGGTAGCTATTTGGCCCCTAGTACATCAAGCGCCACCTTCTTATCTACTCATACCTTCATACTAAGCGAATCCCCAAATGGCGCAATGCCTTGACCCTCAAAAAAGGGTAGACCAGGCTGGAGTAGTCGTGTCTTCTTTTCTCGAAGCGGGTGGGAAACGAAGCCATCAACTCCATTTGGCAAAGGCGGAGTGGTTCGGCAACTTCGTGAGGCATTTCGCCGGTGGCTGAGAAAATTGGCCGAAAAGCTTAGATACACACAATGTTTGAGGAATGGCTTCAATTGTAAGAGTTCGTTGGGGAAACAAACCCATATGTCTCAACGGCTATATGGCTGGCTCTCACAGGTATAAATTGGCCGCTTCCCTTGCAGTCAATCTGAGAATACATCTCAATCACTTACAATCCTCACTACAAACCCTCATCTTCGACCTGCACTTACAACCTTCAAAGAGATGTTCAAAAAAGTGCTCAAGCGGGTTGTCCGATTCCTCGGTTTCGGAAAGAGATACCCTCCGCTTCCCGTCGAGTACGCAATCACACACCCGCAACCATCATGAGTGAAGTCCTCTAACAGCAAGACAGTTGAGGGACAACGAGCCGGTCTTTGACCCCATCGTCGGGGTCCTCGACCCTGGCAAATGGCCCCCTCCCCCGGCCTGCTCCTCAAGCGCCAAACCTACGGCTTATATCCCTGGCGGATGTCGCCAGAGCCAATCGTCCTGCCACCTGACTTCGTGGCACCGGAGTCAGGGGACGAATCTGGGCTGGAGTTTGTCGCAAAATTGTTGGAGCACTCTTGTTGGAGACTGTTGGGACCATTGAGTGATCTCGAGGGAATGGGGGCTGCACTGGAAACTGCAGAGAGGCGGTCGCGACGACATGCACGCGGACTGCTTTGTCCAAGTTTGGCAGAAATGGCTGAGGTTTCTTGCAAAATCAAAGTGGCAAGTTTCACAATGGAGTGCTGAATACCAATCGCTTGGCTCAAACGATGCTTCATACCGTTTGCAAGGAGGAGGCAAAAGGCAGATTTGGGTAGCAACAGACACGGGCTGCCTGTTGGGCTCTCTACGCCTGTGTCATCTTGCCTTACGAAGCGCATCTTCTCACCCAGCAAGGCAAGGCGCAATTCAGCGCATCACGAGGCTGGGTGCCTTGTTAGCAAGTTACGGCCAAGGTAGATGCATAGAACCATTCGCGTTACCGTTGCTTGCAACTCGGTCATGTCGGCAAAACGGCTCAGCTATGGTTGTTGGTTTTGCCCTTTAGAGCAAGCAATACACAGAAAAGTTGCCAAGCGTAAGAAAATCTTCGAATAAAAGTGACAAAGACCGAACATCAGTGCCGTTTTCCATGCTCCCAGATCTTGGAACTGTCTGTCAACACCGGCCAGCTGCCAATCGTTTTCAAGATTTGTAGAATAAACACACCAAGCGTCACAGACAAATCGTACACTTGCCTAGGCCAGGATTATCTCATGTGATATGGCAGCAACATCACATACATACCTACGTGGCCGTCACATCAAGTGTCTCGGCTGCCTTCCCATGCCACCTCTTGATTTGATGGTTCAGAGATCAATAGCTTCTTTCTCTTCTGCCACGTCAGCCAGCTGCCCTCTTCCTTTATTAGCACAAGCCATCCCACCTCCTGCACACTCCCCTCGCCAAGTTGGGGTGGAAGCCACACGCGCACACAAAGTCCAACAGCAAGAACAGCCAACATTATTGTCCCATGACAAGTGCCGAGAATCAGGGTACACGAGCCTCCGGATTTCCATTCATCTACACCTTCGCGGCAACAGTCCCAGCAGTGATTCTTCTACAGCACGTAGCGGCGTCGATCCCTCTCCTCCTCGTAGATAGGCCGTAAATCGCCGCAGAGCCTCAAAGATCTATTATTAGCAGCCAATAGTCACCTTCCAATTGTTCAAGGATCCGTAAAAAGATAGCTGCACATGCGCCTGCGTCACGTCACATACAGTTTCGGAGCCATCTCCGGCGAGTCTGTCTTTCCATTCTCCTCTGTTGATTTACGTTGTTCATGTAAAGGCGAAGCGGTGAAAGAAAACTCCAACGACATGCTTCGGTCCGATCGCTTTGCTTGAGGTCCATGTACGTCTGGCGTCGTTCGGTCCGTCCATAGGAGAAAGAGGTTGCGCGTCAGCCGCCACAATGCTCCAGCGTTGGAACTCATCTCCTTCGGCATTTTTCCCCCCACCACATGGCCAGCAAACCCCGAAAGGTTGCGTGCATCATGTCTGGCATCTGCAGCCGTCGCTCCCCGTATTCGTCTCTTCCGTAGCGGATCCAGCATGTCTCGAATCAGCTCTCGAATCATTGTATAGTCTCGGCGGCTAGGTGTAGAGAAGCGAGCTCCTTGATTTTCCTGCATACGTCTTTCAACATGGTCGACTCTGCTTGCCGTGTGGTACGTGACCAGTCTTCCAATATTGTGATAGACTGTCTATTTACATTAGCGCAGGCCACTTCCATGACCAGCGGACAAATGTCAATGTTTCACTCGTCTAAGTGAAGAGGCGGCCAAGGCAAACTCACGCCATTTTTGGGACGCTCTCTTTTAGTAGCCGCCCATCCGTATCATCTTTGCCAGGAAAGGGTTGTTGCCTCCTGCATGACTTTGGTGCCTTGTGGAAAATTGTACATCGGGTTATTTGGAATTAAACAAAGGCCGTTCTAGCGGTGGAAGTAGGCGTCAGGGCGAAGCTCGCAAGGCCAACCTCGCAAGGCGCTCGTAAGGCGTAACTCGCGAGGAGTATCGCATTGTACGTGTCGAGTATGTCTCCGCCCATTGATCGCACGATCCCATCATTGGCGACTCTTCTCAGCTCGCCTAGGCCTCCACATTGCTTCTTTCACACCCAAACTCCAACCACATATTTCTTTTCCCTCATTTTTTGTGTATTGTCATAAACTTTCGATCTCTGGGGAACCTTGGCGGCCAAAAAGTCCACCGGGGGCAAAGCTTGGATCTCCCAAGAGGTAAAGATGTAAAATTCAGGAATATCTTGATGGCAGAACGAGCACACAATTTCGTATCTTGAAAGAAGGGAGCTCGAAGCATATGTGTGTATGGAAATAGCGCGGGGCTCTTCCCCAGGACGCAACAATAGCAGGGCAAAAGGCAAAGATAATATACCCCGCTCTTATAGCATCACCGTACATTCAGCTCAGAATATCCATTCAGCCGCTATCATCATGCATATTAAATACGATTTAGCCATTGCTGTGTCAGGCTTATCGCGTTGAGAGGCAGCCCATCTTGTATCGCCCTTTGTTGTCCAAGTAGCCAGCCTCGTCCTGTCCAAAAAGGGTGAAGTTGAATACGCACAGGGTCACGAGGCTCATCCAGTTAAGGCAGCTAAAACAATCATCTGAGCACACTTGGCATACTCCAAGAGCATTTCAAGAGTATCCGATGGGTTCTAGGCCAATCTCATCATATGGCAATCCTGCCTCCCCACTTCCATTGATATGATGTGATCTAAGGAAGCGTCATGCATGCATTCAGCTGAGAGGTTTGGCAAGCCGAAGCCCAAAATTACATCTTCCCCTCAAACATGCCAAGTATTATTGCGCGATAAAAGTAGCGGATGCCTCGTAGGCACCAATTTGCCTGATCTGGCCGGACGCGGCTTCATCACAGAACAAACCTATAACTGCATCACTCATCCGGCTGCCTAGTACCTCAGCCCCTGAAAGCAAAGGATTCCTGTTTTTGCTCGGTCAACCGTTCAGGCCCCGGCAGGGGGGCCTACTTTGTTCGTGGAGCTTTTGGCGCAAAACACACATCCGGTCACCATTCTCCTTCCTGTCGGATAAGGGGCCATACGAGACGGAAACTTCACGATGCTGGACCACCCGCCGCTCCACACCACCGTACAAGCCGTGTCTACGATGGAAACAGTCTGGATTGAAAGTTCTGAGCGGCCGGAATTCGCGCTCTCCGAAGCCCATGCACATGGGCCAGTCTTGGCCATGACGACAACTTGCAAAACTCAAAGATTTCTCAGATGCCGAACAACCATCAAACGGTCGGCGGTTTTGCTCCGATACCACAAAAGCGTCGCAGGTTGGGGCTTTTTGGGGCAAGACAACTGCGGTTCAAATACCCCGGTCATCAACGTGATGGGATAGGCCGAAGGAGCATATCCACAACACCACCGAGCTTCCAGTTGACTCGTCTCTGGGTTTCTTTCACAAAGCCCTGCAATATTGGTGTTTTCATCGAGAATACAGATGCGCAAGCTTCTCCGGCTTGATGCACAGGTGGCTCGCAGCCCCTGACATGTGCTTGGGGCCCCTTACGGACGTCGAGAATCATCAGCCGCTCACGCTCAGCCTCTCGATAAAAACTCAATACAGTAGCAGAAACCCTGATCTCTCCACTCCGGACTGCGATCTACGAAGTACTCATTGTTCCTGCATATGCAGAGTGATGGAAGAGACGTGCACTTGCGGCCTCGCCGACATATGGATGGGCTATTTCATGATTTCCGGTCGGTCCCGACGGGCAGTTCCAAATGAAGACTCCAACTTCCATTCCTCTGCGGCTTCTCGCCCACTCAGATTCTCCCAAGGCTAGGACTTTGAGGACTCCAACGAGCGAGAGCCGAGAGATAGGCCTTAATCCAGGACTTTTGTGCTCCCCAACGCGATACCGGAATCAACGATCAGGCATCTCGCCTAACGGCTTTAAGGGGTGAACTTGGGGAAGAAGTGTAGGTACTACATTCTCCGCTCCATGTCTCCCCATTGTTGTCTAGAATATCATGCCAACAAGATGTATTTACGATGCAATCTGACATTGTGAACCGCGAAGATGAAGTGTCCAAATAAGTGCTCATATTTGTGATATCTCTCGGTGGTCAATTGGGTATGTCCCTCTCACATCGACGAATATGAAAGTCTTGCCCAACAGCGTCTGTTCCTGTTGCAGCTCTAATCGAGCCTCTTTCAGTTTTCAGCATTAACCATCCATGTCAATAACCCGTATCTCTTTGCGATCCGCGTATGTTTCTCCAACCTCGGATTCCCCTAATGATGAGGTATAGCCCCTCCAACATGCAGAACAGCAAACGTTGGGTAGTATTAGTACGTCATTACAGCACGGATCGATGGTATTCGCTGGCAAATTCAGTTGACCACGGCTCTGTAGTGGATGGGTCAGTGGACAAACAGGCACACTACCCCTAGGATCTTACTTGCTTATATGACTGTTGCAGTCAAGACCCTCCAACGTGGCACAAATCCGCAACCTGAAAGTCACGAACGTCATTAAACTGGTGTTCTGATACCTGTACCCGAAGACAGTTTAACTTCGATACACATGTTTTGCTCCACGGCAGCTCCGAATGACCCAACCATGCCTTCCAGTACATCTATATACATAGGATCGTGCATAGCCAGCAGATGCCATATTAGCAGGAAGCCTCACGATACGTCCCGTCCGACTCCTTTCATCGTGGCTCGCCTTTCACCGGCTTCTTTCCGGCAAGAATATCAAATGTATCCGTAACCTGCCGGCCCCCAATCTTTGGCCGCTTGCACTGCGTCGTCCAGAACCCGTTGTCTCCATTCGCACATTTACCCCTTAGGCATCTGTTTGAGTGCCTGAAGCACATGATGCGGCTGATGTTTGTCCATATCGAGTGAGAAGACCCGCGACGTATTACAGCATCCAGGAGCCGCCGGTCTATGATGGTGATGAGAGAGGCCGAATTGCTTGTGATGAGCCTCGGCTTGTGCCTGGTGGTGATTTCGCGGATGTTGATGGATATAAAGCTTGTACATCTCGCCCTCTCGAAGGGCTATACCTGCATTAGCATTGTCGTTCGACCTCACTTGGCCACGCGTAACCCGACTGCAGTGCATCTGATCGCCTCCTTTCTCACATCTCATTTTTTCTCCGCAACCAAGTCGCCTCCACAATGTCTTCCCGCAGCGCCATCTTCTACGGCAAATCCAAGTATGAAACCCTTCCATTCAAGTCTTCATCTACTCTTCGTAGAAGCCTGCATCTATCGGCGCACCATCCAAAGACTGTCCGGTAAAAGCACCACGTGAACTGACGAAATGCAGGGACAATGACGCTCGCGGTGCCCAATCCGCCACTTTCAATCACGTCCCTGACAGCCCAACCTACAGCTTGAATCGCTTCGCCGCCGGCCACTCCCAATCACGCCCGCCGCCAGGCTTGAACCAGGCCGTGACTGAAGACAAGGCAATAGCAAACGGACAAGCCCGCGCCTCTGCTAAAATACGCACATTTGATACGCGTTTCAACAATGCCAATCGACCGCCGGAGGGATAAAGATCCTGCACTTACCAACCTATGATAGTATACGGGTGGGCACCACGATTTGAACACAAGGCTGCAATACAAACAAGGGAGGGCCAACAGCGAGAGCGCAGCAGCAGCAAAACGCAGCCCTGCTGAAGTGACGGGCCGATAGCCGATTTTAGCATCAGAAGAGGCTCTACGTAACATTGAACTCGTCATAAATGATAGACGATTCATCGGGATACCCGACAAGTTTCTAACGAGACGAAGATGGGAAGCAGGGCGAGGGCCAATGGGGCCAAGACACGCAGTTTCCGAACCGATGGGGTAGCGGTTGATTCCGACAATGAAAGGGATGTTGTGAGAGACATGCTCGCGTGGGCATGAGGCTCAATGGGGGCCAATTGACAACGAGCGGAAATGCGGGTGAGACCGACCTGTCGGAGGGAGGGACCTAGAAGGCGGATGAACCAGAGGGTGTCATACGTGGCACAGGAATTGGCAAATGGGACAAACAGGCAGCAACTTGACATTTGGAGGAGAGTAATTTTGTATTTACGTAGTGTTTATGTGCTTTTAAATTGTTTTTCATTTGTTCCCATCTAACCGCGATCTGTATACGACTTGCAAGTGAGGTGTGATCGATGGCTCAGTTGCATGCCCCTGACAACCCGGACAGCATATACTAAAGCAGATGTGTTTGACGGCCATCTCGGCCAGACAGGCACCTTGCCAGTTATGATGCACACCTCACATATAATTATGATTCAGTCGGAGAAAATTCCCGCAGTTCGGCTGCATGCATCCCAGCGAGGCGAGCAATTCCCCGAAGCCTCCAGTAGGAACTTCAGTAGGAACGGGGTCAATGCTGTGTCTCACCTTCATATATCATTAGTGCGGCATCCCACCTCAACGATTAGCTAAGCGTAATTGGTTTAGTGGTAAAATTCTCCGTTGCCATCCGCAACGTCGGGGAGCCCTGGGTTCGATTCCCAGATTACGCAATTATTTTTCTCTTTTTTTCGATCCAATGTTCGTCCCTTCTTTCATCTTTTTTTTTTTTGTCCTTGCCTTCTTTATTGCGGTTCAATCCGCAGTCAGTAAGTTGGTGCTAGCATTTCCATGTTGCTGGTGGGGAAGAGAGCACTTACAATTGGATGCCCTTTCTCTCGAACAATTCCGTCCAATACCGTCTGTACACGCATCCCATCCTTCACAGCCCCAATCCAACTGCAACTACATGTAATTTCCAAGCAAGGAGGAATCGAATTTTCGCTACCCGTTTCAGGCCATCCGGTACAAATCTGCCGCCTTGGCCAAGCAAACTATGCTCCAAGGATTTCGCAGAACAGCCTGCATGAACATCCCAAGAGAAGCCCAATGTGGGCCAATTGGCTGACCTGGCATTAGCAAAAACTGAGAACCCTCCCCCCCCATTTGCCTGGTGAGCGACATGGAATCACACATTGTCGTAGCATCCAACAGAGACAGGCGTCAACAAATATGCATACACAAAACTTCGTGAACCACTACGGTGACCTCAACCCGACCAAGCCAGGTCCCACAAGCGCCCGTCTCACAGATCAAGATCGGACGGTACCTTATGTATGACAACCACACATGTCTCAGTACTCCTACCAGATTTCATCGAGACACATGCCGCCCTCGTACGAACGTTCCAAGAGCCTACGCAAGACAAACATGACTCGGCATGATAGCCCTTAACTTAGGCAATACTCCACCTCGCTCCCCCCCCCGGCGTCGAGAGCTACCCAAAGCAGCCAATCATCAGCCGCGCCCCGACCCAACTGGGAAGTAAATTCGGAAGCGTCTGGTCCCTGCTCTGCCTTTGAGCTACTACTAGTAGTGCGTGTACTCTACTAGTTCCAGCCCAGCACTAAAACACATTCGCTACCCCTAGACATAAGCTTCAGGATATTGATCTTGTTCAAGTTTCCATGATGCTGCTTCAAAAACGTCGTCAACAGCCTTTCGTCTCACCAGACATTGCTCCAGACATCGCTCCAGACAGCAATGAGATCCCAACAAGAAAACCACACTAAACCCATATCAAAAGAATGACGAGGTTTTCGCGCGCGCAATCCAATGACAACAATGTCGAATACTACCCTCGCGCGCCATAGAGGTTTCTGGTCATGGCATAGGCACTTATAACATGGAATTTTACCATGTTACAAGGCCCCGAAAATACTTTTTGGTCTTTATGATTGTGATATGGCAAGTAAGAGGCTCGTGGGACCCATAACGAGAATATCCATCCATTACCAGAAACCCCTATGGCGCGCGAGGGTACATCTCTCCCACAGGCATGCATGAAGAGTGCCCGTGTACACCTTCAGACCGCATCTACATGAGCTACTTCTTTCCGCATCAACACCAGCAATGCACAACTCCCCTTATGGCGACACTTTTAGGAACCATACACCTTGAATCGCAGTCATCACATGGGATACCTACGAGTACCATAGTTCCCATCCGCCAATATAATAGCATCGCTCTTCAGCAAGAGCTAGAATGATGGCAGCTCACTGCATCGAATATATGCCATTCCGATCAACCGCTGCCATCGTCGCGCCGACACTACCTCCTGTAGACACAGAACAACGCGAGCCAGCATTGCATAACGTATCGAGGTTGGAGCCGTCGCAAACAGAAGATTATTTCTCGAGAACAACATCTCATAGCTTACCAGCAGGGCTTCATCCAACAGCGTTTCTAACCATGATCCTGTCCAACACAACGTCTCTCAGCGTCTGCTAACTTCAAACCATGACTGTCACATCACAAGCATCACAACCATAATCAAGTCAAAAGAGAAAAGCCACCCTTCTACCTGGTCTATCACGACAATCTATCCCTATCGTGTCCAGCACTTAGTTCAAAGACAAAAGGCCGCGAGCCGAAATCGCATATCAACGCGCCAAGCAAACACAGTTCGAACCAAACCCTGTGTGACTATACAGAAGAGCCTCAGATCAAACAACACCCAGTGACCGCAAGAACGGCACTTGGATCAAGGTATAGAAAAAACAGAAAACCACCCTCAAAATCCCAGCAACGCCAAAAGGAAAGAGAAAAAAGACATGCTCACTCAACCTTGACCCTCCCCTTGACCCTCCACTCCTCCCAAAACGACGGACTCTGCTGCGCCCTCGCTGGCCCGCTCAGCCACGCCCTGCACGCCAGGTACTTGGCATACTCCTTAGGCTCAAACGGAATGTGCGCGTCGCAGACGTCAAGCAGGCTCTTGTCGTCCGAGTTGCGCACATCCACGTTGGCCCCCGCCATGACCAGCGCTTTAGCAGCGAGCTTGCGGTGGAAGCGCACGGCAACGTGCAGCGCCGTCTCGCCCTTCTTGTTCCGCGCGTTGACGTCGGCGCCCTTGGAGACAAGGAGCTGCAGGATGGCTGGCCCAAGCTTGTACTCGTCCTCCTCCGGCAGCGCCGCGACAAAGGCCATGAGCGGGGTGTTGCCAAACATGTTACGGTGGTTCGGGTCCTGTCCGGCAGCAAGCAACGTCTGCAGCGTCTCGTATCGCAATCGCAGCTTCTGCTCTGACGAGTCCACTGCCTCCTGATGGCTGGAAACGCCAAACTCCCCTGTTTCCAAGGAGATATCCAGGTCGTGCCGCTCTGCTAAGCTTGCCACGCTCAGCGGCGCCATGGCAAGGCAGTGGAGGCCATTGTTGCCGCACCGGTCCTCGTGGAAGGGGTTGAGCATCGACACCCTTATGTTCTGCAACAGCTGACTCTCTTGCGATATCGCTGGATGATCGCTCCGCCCAGGGTCCATGGCGCGGTCCGGTACTCTATCGGGGTCGATGCCTAACACACGTTCCCTCACGGCATTGGGATAGACTAGCTGCTCTGTCTCACAAGGCCCTACCGGTGGTATATTTCCAAACGCATCGCGTTGGAGATACTCGCGAGGATCGAGGCCATGTAAGCACCTTGTGTGCACCGTCTTGCCCAGCATCGTGAGGGAGTGCAAGGAGGACCGGCCAAAGCAGTCCCTCGCGAGCATGTTGAACCCCAAGGCCCGCGCGGCTTCGATGAGTTGTGACAAGCCTGCATCACTCAACTCATATGCATCATCCCTGATGAGGTGCATAAACGTCTGCCCAGCGGTGTTTTGGACATTGACGATATTGGTAGCGGCACCGCTGCTGAGAGCTGCATACAGCGCTTGAAACTGTCCCTGAGCGGCCATGAAATGCAGCACGGTGTGTTGATGGGAGTCGCGCCGATGAATGTCGTCCTGGGACAGAGACACCCCGAAAAGGGCGGCAGCACGAGAGGATGGCCCCCTGAACATCGTCCAGTCAAAGTGCCGTTGGTGTCTGTAAGCCCCATCTTCCCATGAAGGAATCATGCTGGGATCACACCCGGACGGAGCAGAACGGTTGAGGTAGAGCAGGCTCCCGGGCAAAGGAATGTCCCTGCTGGACAAGTCCGTCGCCTCAGGATCGCTGATCCAGTCCTCGTCCCACACCACGCGCATGCTGTGCTGGCGCGACATGCCCTGGCGGTCAAGCGACAGTGAGGTGAATCTCTTGACAAGACGCTTGACGACTTTGACGTATGGCTCCGCGTATCCCTTGAGATGCTCTCTGAAGGTCCCGGTGGTGTTTGCACTCGAGTCGGTCAGGGAAGTTGTCTGGCGGAGGAAGTTGGCAAAGCGCTTGTCGCGTGGCCGAGCGCCTGCGCCGTCGTCTCTGCTGCTCCAGCCCTGGCTGATGCTCTCTTCTGGTAGGATATCGCTGGCAGAGTAGTAAACCGACGCTTGAGACTCGAACAAGGCCTCGCTGCCAAAGAAGGTTGAGCCAGAGCAGGCGTCGCTGGGAGACGCACTGGATGGCCTTGACGGAGCACCCCAACTGCTCCCAAGAAAGTCGCTCCCACCGCACAGCGGTGATTGCTCCAGGCCGTGGTGAGTTGAAGGGAACTGCGCCTCCGACGCCAGACGAAGCTGCACCGGCGAATTGGCCAGCTCGGTGACTCGCCGTTCCATATCGTCTTCATCGCGCGGGTGAAGCCATCGGGGCTCTTTATCGAACAGCAGCTGAAGTCTTTTGTTTGCCGAGCTCTGTCTATTATGGATGGCATACTTGTCAGCGATCCGAGTCCATCTAGTAGTCTCTCTTATTCCAACAGCTAGCAGTCACATTCCACGTGCATTACATTCATGTAACTCATGTATAAGATACATGCTGCTGCCTGGGCATGCGCCAACTTACTTGATCGTTCTATCGGGAGACAGCGCGTTGATGATGGCCCGGATCTTGTCAACCGGCAGCGTGGTAAACAGATAGAGCCTCGCCATCTTGCGCTGCGCAGACCAGGACCATGTTGCGGGACGGCCATTGGGGCTGTTCGGCTGGTTGCTAGGCGATGCCGACTGCGAGGGTATAAGAAGCAAAGGCCGTCCGCTCATGGTCTCGTAACCGGGGCTGGAATTTGTGCAACAGCAGACAAGCACGTTTCTCGACCGACGGCGTTGGTCCGAGTGTCGATTTCAGCGCGGAAGCAGAGACAGCAGAGACAGCAGAGAACAGACAAAAGGCAGAACTCGGAACAAGTCGAGCAACCGGGACTGCCGTGCCGCAAGTCGCATAAGAGGCAAAGTGTTGGATGCATCGCAGCATGTTGGTTGGAGACTGGCGCCTATTTGAACGACGCTGAGCGGCGGCTGAGCAGGCAATCAAGTGACCGGCAGAGAGGGAGCACTGCAGCAGGCGTCTGGCGTCAGGCTGGCCTCGCCGTCGGCCACGATGCATCGCTCCAGTCCTGTCCTGCAGCCTTTCCCACACTTTTTTTGTTGTGCTTGATGCTGTGAGACAGCCTGGCGCACCCTGATTGGCTGCTGTGCTGTGGCTGTGCCGCTGTCATGACCGAACGAGGGCCTCGATATGGGTGTGGCTGTTCCGCGGTTGTGCTTCGCTGTTGTTTGTGTCAATCTGTACCATCATCAGGCGTCCAACAAGTCCAGTGTCGAGCGTGGCGGAGCGGCCAGAACGGCAGAGGGTCTGGGGGATTAAAGATGCCGCTTCCTCCCCCCCGCGAGTCTTTTACGGCCCCCATTGCAATGCCAGAGTTCCCACGATGCGATGGACAGCGCAGTCGATGATGTCTATCTTTTGCTGCCCAAGGGCGAGGCTCGAGCGGCATCAATCAACCGGTCTGAGTCGTCAGGCCGAGGCGCGAGTGGCTCAGATGCAATTGTTTACTTTTGTTCTCCAGCAGCGTCCATCGGTAACCGCTTCGGTCAGCAAGGCTTCAAGGCAAGGCAAGGCGTCAAGATAAGGCATCAAGGCGTCCAAGACTCCAAGACTTCCAAGGCTCCAAGGCGGCAAGGCAGCACTCGATTACTTAAGGCAGCCGAGACCAAAGTGCGTCATCAGCATCCTCATGTCTCTTCAGCATCTCCATCTGCACAGCATCACGAAAGAATGCATCCGCACAAGTCACAATCACAAAGTGCCAGCATTACTCTATACAGCAGACACTCACTCACATGCACTCACCAGAGCCGCGAGTCCAGACAAGCAGCAAAGCGAATACTAGTACTAAGCGACAAGGCTCCTCCTCACCCACCCCGGCCAGGCCGCAAAGTTCCCCCCTGGAGGCCGCTCTGCCGCCTGTCCGTACTGTGACTTACACCATGCCAGGCCATACGCACAACGTGCTGCAGCTGCATCTCGAGTCCCCTGCATGACATTCCAGTTTCAAAAATACCCGTACAAACATGCAAGATGCTCAACTCCAACAGTCTACTTTCTTTCGCCGCGCAAAAAGAGGCATTTGGCCGACAGACATGGTGCCAATCAGAATCAAAATAGGAGACAAACAGCGAAATCCATACCGTGCTATACGAGCAATTAATCTATTTGTACAACGTGCGAGAAGCAGGTCCACGCAGGGATTATTACAAAAAAAAAACCCACGCAAAAAGACTCTCCAATCTGGAAGGCAAGCCGCTTGGGAAAAGCCCCGGCTGTGCCTGGATTGTTCAGGCTCCACACAAGGAAAAAGAAAAGAAACAAGGTGATTTGTAAAATAAAGGGACCAGGTCAGGCATGGTGTGGGAAAGGGGGATTCTGTTGCGTGATGGATTTGCCCGTATCGCTAACGCTGGGAAAGGACTCGCCGTGACTCGTACGAGGCTGCAAGGAGGAGGATGCGAGCGGTGAAGACGGCGCACGCCGGACTACGGAATGCGGTTAGAGAGGGAGAGAGAGAGATGAACCGAAGAGCACAGCAGAAGAGCAGTTGCTCATCAGCTCGGGTGCCTGATTATCGCAATTCAGGCACAGGTACAGGTACAGGTACAGACACGGTGTGTGTGTGTGTGTGTGTGCAGCCTCCCACATGCCTCACACATGGCGTCTCAGCTAAAAACAACAATTGATCGACCATCGCCGTCTTCACCACCTGCGCAAAGTGGTCCAGCGTCACACTAACTCACTTGGCCCCGATCGCATCTTGTTTATCCGCAGCAAGCAACAACTCACATTGACACACACACACACACACATACACACACCCATCAAAAGAGACAGTGCCGAAGACCCCGAGCAAGCGTCGCTGCTAACCCCCCTTTCGTCCAAGCCCAAGCCTCCTCCGTCCATCCCCCCCCTCCACCACGTCAAAAAAGAAACCTGACAATCAAAGCTAGAGGCCACAAGTGAAAAACAGAAAAGAAAAGGAAAGAGAAAAACGCCTCATTCTTAGCCCGGCTCAAGTCGACGCACCAATGAGCGCCACATCCGACATCCCGCGCACAACTGACAGGAGAAAAAAGACAAGGGATGGAGCGGAGGAGACGTGCAAAAAGTGGAACTTTTCAATGAAACAGAAACTCGCACGCCCCCCAGTCCGTGCCCCTGGGCAATTTGGCTAGCCCCACGATTTCGGCGCACGGAGAAGGGGATCTTCGTTTGTATGGTTTGTACCTTGCAGCAGCAGCAGCAAAGGGTCACTCCTGGTCAGAGTGACAAGTCTCGTGCATATTTGTGGCTTGCTTGCGTGGTTGGTGAACCCGGTCTGCATTCCTCTCATTCCGAAGCAACAATCGGAGCCAATGTACTCTACAAAGTCTGTACAGTGCATCCTTTTCGAAGCTTGTTCCGTTGAATGGCATCAACAGCGGACAAAACAAGTCAGCTTTACTTGCGAGAACATGCCCAACCCCAATCCCTCCTTCCTTCATAGAGAGCCAAAGAAGGAATACTACCTTAGGTATTACAGAAAAGAACATAAACACGGGACGGGGTTTTGCTTCAGTCCATCTTGACCCAGTTCCCCTCATTTTCTCTCGCCATCAAAAAGCTCACGAGCCTTGCCGAACCGGGTAAAGCCGAAGAAGCCGGTCCGTTTCTTGTTTCAACTGCTTCTTTTGTTCCCACTTCATTGTCTTACCTACCTAGTACAAGGTACATTGTAAACTGGGGAACATAAGGTATCGTGATGATTTCTTCATAATGTCTTAGACACCACTTACACCGAATCGTAGTCACAGGGCAAAGAGCTGAAAAGGTGCACTCGAAGAGATTTGCCGGAGAAATCATTCGAGAACAGGCAAAGTCGTTCTCAGATGCTATGATTCCATCAATGATGGATCCACTTCAGAATCACTCAAGAAAGCAATTGAACATCAGCATAGGTAATTGAAGGCTTCAGTCACGAGACATCACGGAGCTTGAGAAGTAATTTGCACTGCTTCCCATTCAAAACTAATATAAGATAAAAAGAAAATAAAAATGGTGTTCGTTACCATTGAAGCCTTCCAAAGATCCAAATCTAGCGGATCTGGCGGCTGTATAGAATAAAGCAATAAAAAAAGCCAGCTCTAAATCATACTATTTACACGTTTCCGAACATCGTGAGAGTGACTCTCAAGTGCCGATGTTCTAGCCCAAAAAGACACACACTTTAGCTTATCCTGCTTACAAAAGGAAGACTGCGGCAGCGGCCAAGGCGGCGAACATGCTGCCACCAACACGGCCAGCAGAGCTGACGGGGATGCCACCAGGGACACCGGGGTTGCCACCAGCCGGGGGACCGGCAGGGTTGGTGCCGGCAGGAGGAGCGGGGGACACAACCGGGGGGTTAGCCGGGGGAGTGTACACCGGGGATCCGGCCGGGGCAGTGCCGACAGGAGGAGGAACAACGGGAGCAGTTCCAGCGGGGGGAGGAACAGCGTAAGGAGGAACCACCGGGGAGACGGCAGGAGCTGACTGGGCAGGAGCCGGAGCCGAGGGAGCCGGAGCCGAGGGAGCAGGAGCCGAGGCGGCGGGAGGAGCCGGAGCGGGAGGAGAGATGACAACCGGAGGAACCGAAGCGGGCGAGCTGGGGGCAACAGGCGTGACAGCCGGGGGAGGAGTACCGGCGGGGACGGTCTGAGAAACCAGAGTGGGAATCACAGAGGGTCCGTTAGGGTAGACCGTGGTGGTGACGCCGCCAGCGGGGCAGTTGGGGGTTCCGGGAGGGCATCGGGTGACGGTGAAGGTCTGGGTGAGGTAAGAGGTGGCCGTCGTGGTGGTGGTGGGCTCACCGTTGCCGGCAGGAGGAACAGGGTAACCGGGCTGGCTAGGGCTGGAGGGAGCAGGCTGGCCGGGGTTAGAGGCAGCAGGCTGGCCAGGGTTGGAAGGAGCAGGCTGGCCAGGAACCTCCGTGGCGGTGACAGGGCAGATGGTGGTGGAGATGGCGATGGTGTCAGTCACAGTCTTGGGGCGAGTGGGGCAGTTGGTGACCTCAGGAGGGCACTGAGTGATGGTGCGGACCGAGGTGGTGAAGATGGTCGAGGTGCTGAACTGAGGAGCGCCAGTGGTGACAGGGGAAGAGCCACCAGAGGTCTGAGCAGGAGCGCTGCCGGCAGGAGGCGTGGGGTAGTCGGAGCCACCAGCGGGAGGAGCACCACCAGCAGGGCTGCTAGGAGAAGAGCTGGAACCAGAGCTGGCAGGGGGGGCACCACCGGCAGGGCCGCTGGGAGAAGAGCCAGAGCCGGCAGGGCCAGAAGGCTGAGCGGGCTGGCCGGGAGTCTCGGTGGCGGTGACCGGGCAGATGGTGGTGGAGATGGCGATGGTGTCAGTCACGGTCTTGGGGCGAGTGGGGCAGTTGGTGACCTCAGGAGGGCACTGGGTGATGGTGCGGACCGAGGTGGTGAAGATGGTCGAGGTGCTGAACTGAGGAACCGCAGAGGTGACGGGGGATCCAGTCTCGGTGGCAGCAGGGCCGGTGGTGACGGGGAGCTCGCCGGCGGAAGTCTCAGCAGGAGGGACGGGGTAGACAGGGACAACCTGGGTCTGGGTCACAGGGCCAGTAGGAACAGCGCCGGTCTCGGTGCCAACAGGAGAAGTCTCGGTCTCGGTAGCAGCAGGGCCGGTAGTGACAGGA